TCGGCCATGACAATGGTGGCAAAGTTGATTATGCTTGCCACGATTTTTTTCATTCGATCTTTCAATAGGGGCAAAGTTCATACCTTTCCCCTGAAGGTTTTTCTTTCCATTTAAAAGTTTCATTGACGTTGCTAGCATTCTGTACTCAACATTAACAAATAGCAAGGTTCACACACATCCCAACCTATAGGAGTGGGACGGGTTTCCATTGAAACTAGTTCCAGTGTAGTTTCGTTTTAATAAAAAAGCTATTCATGTGTTACCCTCTGCAAGTTTTTTCTCATAAAAACTCAGTAGACCGATAAATCCTTGCCTAGCCCCAAACTTGCCACCTATCGATCATAAACATAAAGATGCATTTGGTCTGTTAGTCTTTTATATTTGCCATTCCCTGTAACAAACAAATAACAATGCAAATATATCAAGAGCTACATCGTTTAGGCCTATGTGAATATTTTTATGAACAGAAATTCACCCGCTTCCAGTGGAACCATTTTGTTTTAACTTGAACCAAAAAACCTTCCTTTCGGGTTTTATATGTTTAAGTATATACTTCAGTATATTTCATCACAGTGCATCCAGAATCCAACATTTTCAGGGGCCTTTAAGCAGGCCCCACGCCGTAAGGGCTCGGAAAATAAAACAAAACATACACGACGGAATTTACTAAATGTAAGAAAGCAACCTAGCAACAATAATATTTACATGCGATGTTATGCATAATGACACAATTCTTTTTCCAGAATTAAATGGAACAAAGAATGGAGATAAAAATACAGGGTTTTCGACTTTTCAGTACAGTAGAAACGTTATAAGAGCAACAGTGTATTCTAAACAAAAAAGTGAAATAAATTGTCTTTATAATCTCAAAAAACGTTTGCTAAAAAAGTCATATGAAAGTGGCCAGGAATCGCCTCATATTGCACCACAGAGCATCCATATTTCAAAACTTTGGGGCCCTTTAAGCCACGCCGTAAGGGCTTTGCGCTCCGCGTTCGCATTAATTTTGTCTGTCCTTTAGAAATTCCAGCACCCCCCTGGCAAAAGTTTGTTCCAGCGGGCTTGAAAATAAGGTTCAATAGTCCGAAGGTTCGATAGTCCGAATTGACAATAAGGTTCGATAGTCCGAAAAGACTCTATGATGGTCCGAATCGACAGTTAGGTCCGATAGTCCGAATCGACAATAAGGTCCGATAGTCCGAATCAACAGTAAGGTCCGATAGTCCGAAGAGTCATACTGACGAACCGTATTGCCCATTCGGACAATCGAACCTTATTCTCAATTCGGGCTATCGAACCTTTTTCTCAATTCGGACTATTGAACCCTATCGTCTGTTCGGACTATCGAACCTTCGGATTAATTAACCATATTCTATTTTCGGACTAATGGGACCTTCGGAGTATCGAACCTTCGGATTATCAACATTCGGACTATTTAACCTTCGGACTAACGAACCTTTGGACTAATGACCATTCGGACTAGAGAACCTTCGTACTATCGGGCTGTAACCATTACAAACACAATACCAGTGCAGCAAGTCATGTCCTGCAGTTTGTAAAGGTTTTTAGTTTGGGACGTGACAAAGACAAACAATTATCCATGATGCACAAGCACAAGTGTGTTTCTCGATTAAATGCACCATCCTTGTCGTTGATGGACCGTCTATCCTATTGAAGTATCCATCAGACATCTTCTGTGTGACACGAGCAGAGCATTTCTGAAGGTCCACTGTGTGAGTAGTTTATCCTTTCTTGTTATCTTCCACAAAGCTGGATTGCGACTGAGATCGTGCAAATAAATAATCTTTAAAAAAGCTTCATCTGTAGTCTTGTTTATTAATTATTAGAGATTTTGGTAAAAATGAACAGAAGTCTTTGTAGAAATTGTAGATATAATTCATCTTGCGCAAAATATACCTTTGCAAGTTTACAAACTTCCACAAAACGTATTATTTTGCAACAATGGAACGTATAATTGGTTTGAACATTCTACCTTTTTATTGCTTATGTGAACTGTTACTATCGTATTTCAGGACAGTCATCATGGATTGGACTGCTTGCATTATCTGCATGCAAACTACACCAGAAAAACTACGTTGTCCACAAAAAGGTTTAAATTGTAACGCCGGAGAAGTATATGCTCAATTCCTGGCTAATGTTGAAGGGTTTAGGGCAATAAATGCATTGCCAGTTGATGTAGAATACGGAGCCGAAGGGACAGTAGAAACTTTTGTGGAAAATAATGCCTCGTGGCATCATTCCTGAGGTAATCATTTATGAGATAATCATGACGTAAGACATTGCATTTTAACGAATCATTGATCACAAGAGGGGATAGGAGCGAGGGTCAAATGTACATGTACATACATGTTTAATTTAATACATTAAATTAGGAAACATCCCTCATTTTATCAAACCATTTGTATTTAAATCTTTTAAAGATAGTCTAAGAACAAAATTGGCAACTGCACTGATTTCCTTGATCTCAGAAACGTATGTTAAATGTAAAAAAACGATCCATGGCTTATTCCTAACTAATATCTCAATTTTAATGTATAAGTGTGTAATAATTAGCTGATGACGTCATAATGATGTCATAAATGGCCCTTCCCATCATCCAATTTTTTGCATCCTACTTTTTTTTCGAAAAGGTAAACAATGGAGATGCTTTGGTGTGAAAATTGTGCTTTTGTCCACCCTTGTCACGATGTTATCACTAAGGTACCTCACTTTTCCGCTTATCTTTGGAACAAGTTTAAACATTTAAGATACTAAAAATCAATTACAAAAACTCTTTTGGCATAGAATTTGAGCCTTTCTCTGTGACTTAAAAACAACATCTCACAATACCACATACTGTTTGCATGTTAAAACAAGGTGTCAAAGTGACTACCCAAAATCCATGATTTTAGCCCAAAAAACAGGTCTTTTGACCGAAAAGGTTTTTTTGACCCACAAAATCACCCTCAACTATATTCCATCCCAATGACATACCGCTCAAATGAAAGATCTTGTTGTCTCCTTCAATTTGATACCAAATTTGTTGTTGAGATGCTTGCAGTTCTGAAGATTATTATTAATTTATATTGTTTCATGTAATAATTAGCTGATGACGTCATAATGACGTCATACATGCCCTTTCCATCATCCAATTTTTTGCGTCCGTCTTTTTTTCGAAAAGGTATACCATGGAAATGCTTTAGTGAAAAAATGGTGCTTTTGTCCAATGTGTAACGATCCTTAGCATTTTTGTTACTAATGTACCTCACTATTAGAGCAAGATGTGCTCAGTAGTTTTTGAGTTAGACAAAAAGTATTAAGGAGGGGGGGGTATTTTTTGGTTGAGTTTAGTTGAGTGTATTTGACTCTTGTGCCATGTGTCCAAGTTGGGCCCATTTTCTGACTGGCTATATGGTGTCTGTTTAGTGTTCATGCAGGTTGAATATTACACACCTCTGCACCTCTTCTCAACTTCCCAGCAACCTCGTTAAAGTGGAAATATTTTCTCGTTAAAGTTTGGAAATTTCTCAGGGAGGTATTGGGGAAACTCAGGGAGTAGAGTTTTTTGGTTTCATAAAGTGCTCAATCCTGCACAAATCTACTGTATCTCCTGGAAAAATTTGAAGAGTTTGTGAGGGTAAGGGCCAGTTTTCCATGTCCATGAAACCTTTGTACTGAGAAAAACGATCGATTTTGCAACTGAAAGCTCAGAAAAAAAGTAAACGATTGAAACCAAATGATCCAAAAACGTCAACTCTTACAACACAATTTTAGAATAAATTTTAACATTTACAGAAATATATGAACGTAAAAAAAATATAGAAAATAGTTTGTTTAAAGTGTTAATATTACCAGTTTCATCAGATATTAACATAACATTAGATTAAATATGTTGACTCTGTAATTTTTTGCTTACTTTGTATGGTGCAGATGTTGTCTGTTATTGATTCAAAGAAATTATTAATTGGAACAAACTGGTCCATTTCATATTGGTTTCCTTTGTGAAAATAAACAAACTACTTGTCTCTTCCGGCCCTGCTCTTTCTTTTCCTGTGAAATCATGTAAGGAGTGGAAAACAAAAAGATCCCCAAAATACGAAGATTGGGGGGAAAAGGGGGGGGGGAGGGGGTGGGGAGGTGGGGCTTGGGGTGGGGGAGAGGGGAAGAGAGCCCCAGAGCAATGTAGGGTCTTTGTTTTTTGTTTGTATTTGCTTAAAGGCATTTCCTTAAAAAACAATTTGTTTAAAAGCTTTATACTGGGTGGTGCAAACAGAAGGAAACTCACTTTTGACAGCAATTTTCACCTACTTGCTGAGCATATTTCACAAATTTTATTTACATGTAATGGTATTTAAAAATTGCTCTTTAAACATAAGTGACCAAAAAATTATTGCAAATGGGCAATTCCACGGTTCCTCACGTAACATTTTTTAGGTACTTTTGAGTTTCCTTGGGCTGTAATTACCTTACTGAAAAGGTTTAATAACTGTTATTCCCATGGTAGATAGAGTAGACCTAGACCTACCTAAGCACCAAAGATGACATCCAGAAAAATGTGTTATGTATGATAAACTAGACGCACAAAATTGGTTACTCACGTTTACATTTTTCGTAGTACCTCAAAAATGTAACGTGAGTAACTGTGGAATTGCCCAAATGCATATTTTGTATCTGAGATATGGTAGTTTAAAAGTTTCATGTGCCAAAGCTGTTTGTCCACGGAGGGCTGGAATTGAAGACCAAAAAAAAATACATTAGACTTACACGTGGACAAAAGTGATTCTGGTGGCTGGTTTTCAAATTAGCATAATAACACTATTCTTGCAAGATTTTTCATGATTTTATCAACACGTTGAAGAGCTATACTTTACTACATGTACATCATAAAATGTCCGATGTAAACAAGCGGGTTTTTTCGTCTTTTCTCGGGAACGGTAAGACATTAGGTTGGTTTCCTTTCAACCAGATGTTTGATATAGGCTAGGTAAACAATCCAAAACATAAAGTTTTCGGGGATTTCAGGACCTAGTGTCCTTTTAAATTCCAACTTAATTTTTCAAAATCCTAAAATCATGAAAAATACAGACAAATAAATTGTACTCGATATTCATTGCAGCCAATATTGTTGGATCAGTTGAAATCACACCACTGTGCTCTCAGTGAATATTTCAGAGACTCTGTTTTAGAAAAGTTAATACGAAAGTTATCTTTTGCCTGATTTGTAGGGCTCCTCTCTGTACCTGTTCTGTTCAAGGGCGAAAATCCTAGGGGGTATGGGGGGGGGGGGGGCGGATATATTCACCCACTTTTTGAGGGTGCGGGTGGACCATTGGACCACACACTCAGGATTTTTGTGGTGAACATTAAAAAATTCTTTGTAGCAAATTTAAAAAAATCAAAAGTAAAACGTGAACTATTTAAAAAAAATGTACCAAATTGAGGTAGAGCACTCATAAAACAGTACCACTCATGTCATAGATTGATCTTTATGCAGCTTTATGAACAGCGCCACCTAGTGGCGAAAGTCCCTCACCCTGACCCAGATTTGCAACGTCTGGACAAGTTTCAGGATTTTAGGGGTGTCATCCCTCCTCCCCAGTCGTCGAAACAGATTTACGCCACTGGTTCTGTTTCATAGTGGTAAAGAGTTCATACTTTTGCTTTGTAGACATATCACAAACTTACTGACCAAAAAAAACCAACGAGTGTGTAGTAGGCCACTAGGCCTACAATCGAGGACAACAAACTTGAAACTGTTGGCCTGTGGTGCTGAAGAAATATACATGTATCCTGAAACCCCGCTTGGGTCGTGAAAAATGGGAAGATCTTGCAGAAAAACGTAGCACATGCCTGCTCACCTGTTCCTTGACAGCTCGTTTTGGCCCCCCCCCCCATAACCAAAGTGGGTCCGCCCCTGATTCACTATGGCTCATAATATGGTAATGTACTATGTACAAGATAGAAAGGAAAAAATATAGAAGAGGACAAATTTCAGAAGACACTTATAAAGTGTAGGGCACTACTCCCTTCAACCTGCCAGTGCATGCCTTTCGTCGCAGCGCATGGTAGCCGTTCTGAATCATGGATCATCTCACACCAAAGGCAGATTTCTTGGAAGCAAATGTACATGGACCGTCCTGGATTTGGCTGTAAGCCAGCCCAAGTATTAATTTTGTGTTCATTTTCTTGAAGTGCTTGTGACCCCGTTTGACCAAGATATCGTGGTCATGTGACTAAACGTTGGGATCTGATTGGTCAATGCCTACTTTTTGATTGACAGGTTAGGAGGGTCCACCGGTAAGGGAGTGGTCAATCACGATTTCTGGGCGTGGCATTACCTTTCATCATATCACTCCATCGCCGCTGATTCCCAACTTCTCCTGCAGCATCTTGGCGGTCTTCCGAAAGTCCTCCTCCATGCTCTCCATGTGTCTCAAACCCTCACTGACCGTATCCTCAAACCGGGTGTGGCTACTGTTCCAGGCATGGCCACTGTTCCGGGTGTGGTCGCCATTTTTGGCATAGCCCCCATTGGCCCTCTCGTCCTCATTGAAAAGTGAGAGGTCCTCTCCGCTTGGTTTTGATGAAGACGGATCCCCCTCCGTCATCTCAAAGATGCGGCCGGACGCAGCTTTGGCGGATTTAGCTCTGGGTTTTGAGGAGCTGGAGGGTTTGCCGGACACAGGGTGTGTGGTTTCGTATTTCAAAGGCCGCTCCCCTTTGGTTGCGGCTATGACTGTAATGAGTGTAGACAATGATGTCAGTGAATACAGTGTATACATTTCTTTGGTATTATTTGGAAAATACCACGAAACAAGGATTAGATTGTAAGAAAAATGTGACCAGCTATAGCATAATGAGGAATAACCCCCACCTTTGGCTTTTCTTATGTGCATCGTGTTGAAGTGCCAATCATTGGCTTTGTAATGATCCCAAATTTATTTCTGTAGCTAAATCTATTGCAACACTGCAACGCTGTCCTACCATATCTCGCAAACCTCATTTCGAGAAAAACAGCTTTGAAAAACAAAAATAGACATGCATTGCCCCACTGATGGCAGTGAAAAACGTCCTTCAGTTTTCGACTTTTGTGAGTATCCTCCCCCCCCCCCAAATGCATAGTGTGAATGTTTGATACCTTGGCTACTCAAAAATACAAATCAACATCGATCAATATGAATATCGATTTGGACATGATTTTCTAGTATATCTGACTTCCGACGTTGATTTACTCAAAACAAGGTTTTTTTTTGGGGGGGGGGGGGACATTCCTCATTTTGCCTCAGTAGGTCACACATTTTTAAAAATATGCCACGACAAATCTTTGGTAAACTGTGTTGTTTTGTGGACATCCGTGCAAATTATTGCTCATGAGCGATCATTTTACATCTTTTTGTTGCTTACCGGCGCTCTTAGGCCTTGCTCTTTGGTTGTCTTTGAGTTTCTGGTTCCCACTGCTGGGACGCTTGGCCTTGCTTCGGTCTGGTACCACGTGGCTTGCGCTAAACAAATCATGCTGATTCTGGATGTGACAGAAGAGAACCACGGTCAAAAGGGGAAAAACAAGATTCGTGAAAATACATGTAAACTCACACACACACAAAAAAGCATGGAGTCCTTGCAATCGCTTTCAACGAAATTGACCGAAGCAGGATTTGAATCTCTGATATTCTGAATATTTAAGCAGTCAATGCTGGAGGACGTGTATCCACAATCTGGCAATGTATATTCGCAAGGGCGAGTAACAGGTTAAGTCGTCAAGCTTTCCCCTATTCTCCGGCGGTGGACCTGTTCACACGTCAGTTGTTCCCACTGAATTTGTACACATGGGCTGTCGTCTTAGCAAATATCACTCCACTGCGGGGCATTGGAGTATTGAAAAATATGAAGTTAACCCGTTCCACACCGGGATTATTTTGACATTGACCGGACCCAGGCGCGGGATTGACGGGTTCAGGCGGTCATCTGCTGGTAGCACACCCTGATATTTCTGTCCTCGCTCGCTGCGAGCGAGTCGCTGACAAGATATATTTCCAGTCTCGCTTGTTGCGTGTTTATCCGTCATCCGTTCCGAGTCCTGCAAAACCTTTGCGTGCACACACGTCATCCAACGGGAACTGGTTAAAAGGTGAGAGGTATCATACAAGTACTGTACAAATGACTCTCAAGTGGTTAAAAAGTAATCACCAGTAAATCACAAGACGACCACAAGACAAAACAATCCCAAGACAAGCACATGTCAATCATAAGTAAATCACATTTCAATCACAAGATGATCAGAAGTCAATCACAAGTCAGACAAATGTTATCATGTCTCAAATCCAGGGACAAGCCCTTTAAATGAGAGGCAAGTTATAAGGCTTAGTTATTTTCAACCTCTATTGACTCTTGATCGACTGGTGATTTAACTATGATTGACTTGAAAGTGACTTGTGATTATATGTGCAATTAACTTGAGTACAACACTGTTGACGTAGAGAGTTTATATAAAAAAGCCCAAGTCAAAATTTGCAAAGAAAGGAAACCGACCTCCCTTTCCATCTTGGCGATATTGGCGAGGTGCTGCATCATGGTGCTGGCCACGACCGGCTCCTTAGGAGGCCGGAACTGCTTAGGGTAGTCAAACTCTGGCTGGGCCAGGGGGCTGGGTTTGGAGGACTTGGGTCTTGAGTTCCAGCTGCTGTGTGGCTTCTGGGGCTGAGGAAAATCAGTTTGCATTCAAGTCTTTTTTTTTAAAAAGAAGAAGAAATTCCATTGCTCCAATCCTAGTTCTTCATGATAATGGGTCATGATCAGAATGTTGTATATTCCCTTCAACTGCAAAGTTCATTGGGACTGTTTCCATTAAAAACTATCTTTTCATATTTTGGTAATGGGGAAATTCATTAATTGTAATTTTTGCTGGTCCCAGAGGGCTAGCCTCGTGTCCTCTTTGTACCTATTTCACTGACTCACGGACTGACTACCAGTCTGACTGACTCACTCCCCCACAATTCCCCTGTAACACCAATGAATGGGCTAATTGTGGCAAACTGTGTAGACCAGCAGCCGATTTCACAAAACTGTGCGTAGCTTGCACCATGCGTAAGACTTACGCAACAAATTTGTTACGCAGCTGCGCAATAAACTTACGAACGATTTCGCGAAACTTGGCGTAGCTGCGCAACGTTTTAAATAATTAAAACATCTTGGATGAGGATAAAAACAGCATTGACGACGGCTGTTTGTGTGAGAATTTGTTCTTTCGGGAAACAGTGGTTGGATCACCTCAGCCGGCCATTTTGAAAATTGTTTTGTCTGACGTTCTTTGGTATCGTTCGGCAACTCTAAAAATTATGTTACGAGTAAAATAGAAATTCACTTACTTCAAACATAAAGTTGTGAGTGTCTTGTATTAACCTTGTTAAGTTGTGCAAAAACGGGCTCTACGACAGTGCCGATTTGCTCGTAAAATATGTCATTGTCAGTGGTTATGCCACAACCTTACGCCACCTAAAATGATTGTGCAAGTTACGCCATAATTTATGGCGCAAGTCGTGGAGTGGACTTACGCACTATCCGACTTTCGTGAAAAGACTCTCAATAAACACCCATTCTGAAGTGGTTGAACAAAATTTTGTGCACTTTAACCTGCATGTAGGCTGGTCTGGGATCAATTTACTACATATGCCTAGCCTTATTTACCTCAAGGTATGGATTAGAAGTCTTCTTCACGTCGGCCAGTCCTCTGCCGCTGGCTTCTCTCAAGAGCGCCCTGTGCTTGGTCAGCTGTTGGTCTAGGTAATCCTGCCGTTCTTGGAGTCTCTGCTTGGCCCTCGACAAGGCTTGAGCTTCCAGTCGTCTGTAGTGACGATTCAGGAGGCCGATGGACAGCATCGCCCAGTGGTGAAGGGATCGGTTCTTAGGGGCAAACGTAAAGGTGATCACAAAGGCTTTTCAGAAGAGCGTTTTAAAACATTAAAACCATTCTTTCCTGTTTTTGTTCAATTTTTCTGTAAAGTAAAGAACTACTTTATTTTGCTCATTCTGACCCACTTCCTCTTGATTGTTTCATGTTTAATGTAAACAAACTGTTTTTTTAATAAGGCCAAAAAACAAAACAAAAAGTTCTGCTTCCGATTACATGGCATTCGAAAATAGGGCAGGTAGGTAGGGAATTTTTTTAATTTTTTTCCATTTTTTTGGGTGTACGATCATATTGAGGCGTCTGCGTGTAGTCAAGGGTAAAAGGTAGAAATTGATGGTTTTTGGTGTTTTTTCCCCTCATTTTTCCCATACAAAAATTAGGGTAGGGGCTGTCAGAAAAGGGTAGGTAGGGAAACCAGAAGCAGAACTATTTTTTTTTTTTTGGCCTAACTATTTTGGAAGTCTGCACCCCACCATCATATGTTTTTGTGTTGTTTTCACTCAGATGCAAATTCGCCCTTCACTTAGTCTGATTATGAGTCCCAACATTATCAATACCTATTTGGGGCAGGAACCATTCTACTCTGAGGGGAATTAAATTACATATACGTGTATTGTGGAGATGAAAAACTACTTCCAAATTTGTAGAGTAATTATTTCGTTAACCAACACCAGCTGATTTTGTTCTTTCAATGTCTCATTCAAAGTGAATATTTTTTGTATTGCTAGAAAACTGGCATTTTCTTTAAAAAAACATTTTTCAGTTAAAAAATTAGTATTATTACCTTGTTTATCGCACTGACTTCCTCGTTTTGTTCATCTCTGAGAAACTTGGGTGGTGCTGCACCTGAGAAGGGGGAATATGGGTAAAAAAGGTTAATTTGGTTAATTTGGCAGTTTTTGAATATTAGAGAACTATGTATCTGTGAAACTTGGGCAAAATCCTGCACAACTGATTCATTCAATCACAAGAACTTATTATTCTTACAAGCTGTTCTATTTGCTTTACTGTGATAGCCATGGGGGTGAATGATAATGGAAATTGGAATAGGCGAATGAAATTTAAAAAAAACCATACTTCTTGAATGTTATCGTATGCTTAGAATCATTTTGCTGTCCTTGAAATCAGGTTTCTCAATCAAAACACGGACCAGAAGACTTGGTGCTTTTGATGTGATTCTGAAGACGGGCAATGTGAATTAGAGTGCTTGTTGATAAGACATGAGTTGTCTCATTCCCTAATCAAATGAGTTGTGTTAATCTCAATCCATGGCAGCACTGTTTGAAAATGATTGAAGTACATCATGCTTAGAAAGTTTGTAAGCTACTTTTTTTCCTTTTAGCCAATAAAGTGCTTCTTATGAACTGATCTTATGAACAATATTCGGCAAAAACGGCTGCCCACCCCTTAGTTCTTTGCCGGTGGTTCGAGTTATGCCCTACATTTTGTGAGTGAAATTGGCAGCGGGTACATAGTGAGCTACGTGGAAACTTACCAACAATGTTAGCCACATGGACAGCGGCGGCCTGATCCCCCATCCAAGCCCTGTGTCAAAAAGCAACAACGTTGGGTTAACTTCAAATGCAGAGGGGCAATTCCATAAAATCCGACGCACGTCCGACCACATGATGTACATGTACAATGAACAAGGTGGTCGAGGGTGGGGATATCTTCAGAGTACGCATTCTACTCATTAGCAGTGATGTACATGTATCACATTCATTTTTCCAACAGCAGTTCATTAAAGTGGCTGACATACATGTACCTTATGAATCAATCTTTTCTGCAGTTTGTACTGTCTTCATTCACCACTCACATCACCCCCATCTTAAAGTCCCTCCACTTGCTCGATCCCCATCATCGAGTGCATTGCCATCATGACCCTCCTTGTTTTTCACTACAAGGAACTTCACCGGACTACGTAACGGATATTATCATGAAATATCAACCGTCACTAGTCTTCATTCGGCAAGCGTAAACCAGTCTTTCTCACGCACCGCTTCCGAACCCTGGCACAATCTACCCTTTGAAATTAGTCAGTCATCATCATTGTCTGTATTTAAACCTTCTCTAGAAACCCACATGTTCACCTCATGTTTTTGTGTTTAATTTTATTATTTCTGTCACTAATTTCTGTGAATCTAATTTAATTTCATTTTAAAATATAAATTTTTCTTTGTGGTATTATGTGCCATGAGCGTCTTGCTTGGTGGATACCTGTTTATTATTAATATTATTATACATGTAAAGGTACCACTAAGGAGACACGTTATCGTAATTTCTTCGCACAATAAGAGACATCAGTCATGTCACAGCCCCCCTTTAGAGGCACAATTTTACTGTCACAATTAGGTTATATTTGCTGCTCGTGGTCTAATTGGTAAACATACTGTTCATGGAAAAAAGGGCAAGGGAATATTGGGTTAGGGCACATTTAACTTTGAAAGATTTTCTGCACAAGTCTATGGGGATGTCTCCCAAATGTCCAATCCAGGGTAATACTTATAATTATTATTATTATTATATCATTGAAATTAACAATGTGTTTTGGTGGTTTTCTTTTCTTTTCCGTTTAGTACACTCCTCCTTTTCACATTATTTAGTCATAAAGGAGGGGGGGGGGTACCCCTGTAACTCTGCCACTGATTACAGGCCAATCAGTGATCTTAGTCCGAACGTGATCTTGGTGGGAATGGTTGACAAAGGCATTTAAAAGCATGATATTGCCCTCGAAATTGGACAGTTCAATTACCTTAACAAGATCATTTGCAATACCACAAAAGTAACAACTGCAACCAAATTATTATCAATCATGTTTCAAAGATCGTACTGGTACTATATACACTCCCGTGAAGTTGTTCCGGCTGTTTGTCTGTCATTTCAAAGAAATCATGAAATGTGTGTGACTTCTGACAAGCAGTCAACTGACTGATTTTTAGAAATAAAAGAGTGCTCAAATAGACAAAATCGTGTTTCATGATCATAAGGTTATGCTTGGTTTTTCGCTCGTTTGGAAAACTATAGGCCTAATATCTACTGAGCTGAAACTTCAACTGGTTAGGTTTTGAAAATCCTTCTTTGGATTTCAGTTGTGTTATTATTGGAAACGCATGAAATGCACGAAAAGCAAATGATCCTTTGGGCTTCGTGCACAAGTACTCCTTCAACGGCCAGAAAAAGGAGAGTTGGGGAGACCTATATTTCGAATGATCCAAAATTATTGGGGGGCAGGGATAAGTCTGGGAAACCATCGCAAGATCAATTCAAATGTAATCGCGCCGATGACGCCTGATGCTCACGTAAAGTTGCTGTGGCTAATAGCTATGGCACATTCAGGAAATCGTGCGTACTTCCAGCGGACTAGTTCAGTACAGAACACACACGCTATGTGTACTGTCCACAGGGATCTCATAAGTGGTAAAAACACACCCTCTATTGCTGGCACATGGAGCACCTATGCTTTTAATATACGGACCCGATGATAAAAGTGTATCCAGACTTGTTCAACAGGCATGGCAGGGTAGACTTTTTACCTTTTGACAAGCATGATCAGGCAGTTGAGCTGGTCTCTGACTCGCTGAGTCTCCGCTTTGGCCTCAAGCACCTCGAGTCTCATGTTGGCGATGGCTTCCCGAAAGGCCCTGTTGTCAGGACCAGCGCTGCCCGAGCGGAGGTGCACTCTATTTGACATTGCAGCGGGCACAGTTTTTTCTTCACAACAGCTTTTGAAAAAAAGAAAGAAAGAACATGAACAATGAAGAATGGATTCGTTGACTTAGAATTGGTGGGGGAGGGGAGGTAGGAGGAAGTAAAAAACTCAAACTTCAGTTTGAATCCCAAGTTTTGATAAAAGATATGTTTATGTTGTTCTAGGCCTTTGTACTTTAAAGTCTGTACACAGGCCAGGTCAGCTGTAGATTTTGGATTTTCGACCTGTAGGTACAGACTCTCAAAAAAGGGGTTCTAGCCAGTGTTGTAGTCGAGTACTTTTTTCCGAGTACCGAGTACTGCCGAGTACTTAGGTTGCCGAGTACGAGTACGAGTACCTCCGAGAACAAGAAAAGGTCTCCGAGTACGAGTACTTGTACTTCCGAGTACGAGTATTTCCGAGTACTTGTATTTCCGAGTACGAGTACGAGTACAAGTACGAGTACTTGTATTTCCGAATACGGCCATACGGCAAATGGTTCATTGTGCGTAATTTGCCCAGGCCCAGTCAGACCGAGAACAGACCCACTTGTGGCTAGATATTAAATGTGTTTGTCTGGACGTGCACAGAGGAAAATCAGGAAACGTCGATTTCTCCACAAGCCAATCAACCATTTCAAAGTATCGATAAATTAACCGCGGTAAGTTAAGCTATACCATTCCCCCCCCCCCCCCCCCCCCCCGAGTACTGCTATTCGAGTACGAGTACTTTGAAGGTCGAGTACAATTTTGACATGTCGAGTATGAGTAGGCCTACTTTGCTCCCCGAGTACGAGTTCTGTCATTTCGAGTACGAGTACACTGACATTCGAGTACAAGTACGAGTACTCCAAAAAAGTACTTGAGTAGTACCCGAGTACGAGTACCGAGTACGAGTACTACAAAACTGGCTCTAGCACTGCCACCCAGTTACTGGGTCTCGGTTTAACTTAGACCTAGTATACTTGTAGTATTGCCGCATATGTTGAACTCCTTATCTTCGGCTTGGATTGGTCTGGGGGTGATATAGCTGGTATTGCCAATCCGAACCAGAATTTACCACCCCAAAAAGAGTTTTAGTGCCCCGATTACTGGGTCTAGGTTCAGATACTTTGTTCAATCACTTTTTTTTGTAGCAGTTGGCAAGTATATTTGTTGGGAATTAGTAGGATAAAGAACTCATAGACTGATTTTATGTTTACAATGTGAGATGGGCAATTCCACGGTTAGGCCAACTCAAATTACATTTTCGATGTACTTTTGAGTTTCCTTGGGTTGTAATTACCTCACTGAAAAGTTTTAATAACTGTTATCCCCATGGTAGATAGAGTAGACCTAGATAGACTTACCTAAGGCTAAGCACCAAAGATGACATCCAGAAAAATGTGTTTTATGTATTGTTGATGTACCCTAACGTGGCGCACTTTGATTTTTCGCCTGTAGCGCCTAGCTAGAGCAAAAGTTTTAACTGAAATTTCACAGAAAGTGAAATTTCATCAAGTTATAAACACTCCCGTTCATAAATCGCGAATTTATTTACCCGCTACAAAGTTAAAAGAAAAACTTATTTTGGCGTGATTTTCCGATTTTATTTTCAAGTGCAAAGTGAACCCTTTGAAAATGCCCCGAAAAATAAGAAAATAATTTTGTGACAAACATCTGGCTGGGTATGTAAGTAGAGATAATAATGATTTATCAGAATTTATCAAGTTTTCAGAAATTCTTAAATGTTAATTTGGAATTTCCCGAGATTTATTTAAGTGCGCCACGTTAGGGAACACTCCGCCAAATTGTGCCCAATTTCCGGACGCCACCGTTTTTTAATTTCGGCTTAAATTTTATGAAACCGAAATTGTTCACAGAGGTTAAACAGCAAGCATTAATAAGGTAAAAGTACCAGTATTTCACTGCATGAATTTGAGGTTTGTCAACAAAGAGGTTTGGCAACACTACACGAGGAAATTTGGGTAAGCTTCGAAGTGCGCCACGTTAGGGTATAGCCCCATAAATGTGGCCTATTTACTGGACTGCCTCCGTAAACATAGGCCACACATCCACATGTACAAAAAACATGACAACTTTGCCAAATTTAGATTTTCACATTTAGGCTTACTTTTTACGTTTTTTTTGCTTTAGAAGCATTCTCACCCTCTATATAGGCTAATCAGAAAGTGCTGCCTTTTTCAGATGTCCATTTTTCGTAAAATTTCCAGATACACGTTTGCGTATCAAAATTTCAACATGAAATTTCACAAAAATTAGACATCTGAAAAAGGCAGCACTTTCTGATTAGCCTATATAGAGGGTGAGAATGCTTCTAAAGCAAAAAAAATCTACAAAGTAAGCCTAAATCAATGTGAAAATCAAAATTTGGCAAAGTCGACACGTTTTTTGTACATGTGGATGTGTGGCCTATGTTTACGGAGGCAGTCCAGTAAATAGGCCACATTAATGGGGCTAGTTAGGGTACACCACCATATGATAAACAAGACGCACAAAATCGGTTACTCGAGTTACATTTTCGTAAAGCATGAGGGAAAATTGATGTGTTAGGCGGGAGATAATGTGGAAGTTTAGTATGGAAAACATTCCAAAAAAGGCATTGGAATTTTCAAGTTCAACAAATTTCACTTAATAATTCCTGTTTCTCACGAAACCGATGCAACACAAATCACATTGTCTCTCCTGCTCTCAAGAGTTGGTTATTCGTCATACCTTAGCCCAAATGACAAAAAGAATGCGTACTTATCGGTCTTTTATAAGGAAAAAGAAATCATTGCAAACAAAGTTTGAATAACTTACCAAAAAACAATTCATGCATAAACTGATGACGATGAAACCGTAGATAGATCAGCGTTCGACAGAAGGAATGTCAATGTACGCGTTCCGTGTAGTCATGGAAAGTAGTCTGTTTACAACCATTACAATGCTGTATTTCCCCTAGTTATTCATTGGAAACTAGACCAAGTACGCTCGTGGTGGGCGGGGTAACCGGTCGTTAAGATAAGGGAGGGGGGGGGGGGTTGAGGTTCGACAGGAAAAGATACGATAAAATTAATTTGAGATAGTGTGTGTACGGGTTTTTACGGTGTGAAGAGGAAATTGCAAAATCTGTCAGAACTGTTCCGTCCGCGTACGGCCGAGATATACCCAAGGCGCAAAATCGGGCTGTATCATATAGTCCGATGTAGGCGCCTCATACATTTTTAGTTCCGACTCGGACGTACGCCTCATAAGTCCGATCAATTTCGGACTTAAAAAGGCGTCGGACTTACGAGGCATAAATCCGCCTCATAGGTCCGACGTCTCATAAGTCCGACGCCTCATAAGTACCACAATGGACAAACGCTGTTTCGGACTTATGGGGCGTCGGAGCTATGAAGCGTCGGACTTAATGCATCGGACCTATGAGACGGAATAAATAAATGTTATGCCTCATTAAAGTCCGACGCCTAAAGTCCGACGCCTCATAAGTCCGAAATTTCGGACTTATGAGTCATCGGACTTATGAGAGGACCCCGTCTACCGTACCGCTTAGCCTAACACTTTTAACAGAATATTTTGGCCTAAATATTTGTGCTAAGAAGCCTCTGAAAAGACTGAAATAATTAAAGTACCAGTAGTTAAAATCTCAGAAATGTGTTTCCCTGTCAAAGTGTTAGCAAATTGAATGATGTACAATGTAAAGTTTACCTCAAAGATCCAATAGTACGTATGTTACATCTTACTTTGATAACAGGCCCTACATGTTCGCTTCTGTTAGAATTGCCTAACATTCCTATGTTATTTTGTAATTATCTTTAAAGGGCAAGGCTCGATATGTAATGTATTATTTTTTAATGCAATCCTTGAAAATGAAATTTTGTGTTCCATTTAACCTTATTTTCAATTTTCATTTTTCCAATTTTGCTTTTGGGTGCCCTTTTTGTTTTTATGCCTAAGAATTTCCATATTCACAATCCCGTGTGATACTCATTTCAGCAATTTTTGGAGATTCGGCACATAAGTACAGGCGTCGCTAGACCATTTTGAATGGGGGTGGGGGGTGGGGGGGGGGGGGGTGCCATCATTACATCTGCCGATGGACCGTCCCGCAAATGAGTGTAATGGTAATTTCCGCCGATGGATTAGATTTTTCAGTTTGATAAGTTCAATTTTAAAAGTGAATCGTCACAATTTTGCCCTATATCATATTGAATAGTTTTGGACTAAATTGGAAATTATTTGCTCGTCGCAAAATTGCGTGTTCACGCTCAGTGAGTGGGCTCAAACCTTGTTCAGGCCCGTTCGGGGGGGGGGGGGTCTTTAAATCCTGAACAGGAACTTTTCATATAGCGCGCGCAGTATTGACTCTCTATATGTCGATCAAAAGGTACCTTAGCACAAACTTTTTACAAAAATTTGACACAAACTTTATATTGTTAGAAAGCTGATGAATAGGGCTACAGCATACAAAAGAACCAAGACTTGAGACTAAAATATTGTTAGAGAAAATGCAAGATGTAGAAACTAGGTTCTTAAGGTTTCGTTCTGTGCAGTGAATCTCGTAGCAAGGCCTGTTAGCGTCTCGCAGAATTGACTCTCTATATCTCGATCGAAGGTACCTTAACATAGGAAATTTTACACAAACTTTATATTGTTAGAAAGCTGATGAATAGGGCTACAGCATATTTAAGAACTAAGACTTGAGTTTAAAAATTGTTAGAGAAAATGCAAGATTTAGTAACTTGGTTCCGAAGGTTTCGTTCTGTGCAGTAAATCCCTTAGCAAGGCCTGTTAGCGTCGCGCAGTATTGACTCTGTATATTTCAATCAAAAGGTACCTCAACATAGGAAAATTTACACAAACTTTATATTGTTAGAAAGCTGATGAATAGGGCTACAGCATACGAAAGAACCAAGACTTGAGACTAAAAATTGTTAGAGAAAATGCAAGATGTAGAAACTAGGTTCCTAAGGTTTCGTTTTGTGCAGTAAATCCCATAGCAAGGCCTGTTAGGGCCGCGCAGTATTGATTCTCTATATGTCGATCAAAAGGTACCTTAACATAGGAAATTTTACACAAACTTTATGACCTAAATTGGGTAAAATATGTCCTTTATCAGATAAATGTGCGCAACAGTTGCCATGGATAATTAGCGTAATTATTAAAGTAAAGCTCTTGAAGCTTTGAAACTTCGTGCAATGGTAGGCCTTGATGAATAATGTTTAGAAATGTAAAAAACTGAAAATCGAAAAAAATATGGAGTGTTACTTCGTGGTGTCGGTGACGAAATGTCGTTTCTTTATGTGTGTCCTGGGTTACATTTACACCATAAACATGTGCACGATGAGGGATAAGCTTATGACTTAAAATTGGTGCTATAGCTGCTTGACTTCGTGACCTTGTGACCTCTGAATCGTCCTTAGTTCTCTTCTCGTCCAGCTACGATGGAGTCACCAACACTGGGCAGAGGAGCTTGGGTAACGGAGGCTGTAATGTCATACAAAATAAATCAACTGATTTATCAATGAGCTGAGATTTTAGCATGGAAACTATTGCTAAACCCGTCAGATTTAGAAAATAATTTGTCAATGCATTCATCACCTTCATGTTTGTGTGTCATGAACAAAACAAAGACGCACTATACCCATGCAGCTATATACTATAGTCAAATTCAATGTCTATGATATGAGAGCAGATTAACCTTGACCTCGAGATTATGACCACTTAGCGGGCGCCTTGTGTCGGGTCTTCCGTAACCGGTTTTTGTATTACAAAAACGTGGCAGCCAAATTGACCAATCAATATTTAAGTCCACAGTTCTGATCGAAATGACGTCACAATTTCCGAAGTCCGATTGTTTGGCGCGCGGGGTGGCATAAAATTTGCATAGCTCAGATTATATCAGACGTTGGATAGGGAGAGAGCAGTTTGTCTGCTCCGTTATACCGCCTACCAATAAAAAAAATCTGGTGGTTAAGAAGAGCCATATCACACCACACAGTGTGCAGTGCAGCAATAATATGGATGAGCTTTTGATTTTTCTCCTGAAATAAAATAAACTCTGGTACCCTATGTTCTTCCTGCGGAGGCTCGAAGCACTTCCATCCAAGTCAGCTTATTGTTACGGACACTTCCCAGCTCTCCTAGAGGTAGAAAGACTATGACATTCACGCCCTCGACACGCCCACCCAAGTCCGTCACCAGTAACGCCCTCTGAACCTGAAAAATAAGAGTATTGGGATACATCACTGATCGCGAGAGGGCGCCACAAGGACGTGATTCAGTAGTCGAGTACTTTGCCATGAGTGCCTATATCGTCCGTACGAGCACGGGTAAAAAAAAAAGTATTCGAATAAAAGTAACCCTAGTACGCGTACAATTAAGTACGAATACCCCACACGAGCTGGAGCAAATTTCAATGGGTACTGTGTTCTCAATTAATGTTCTTGATGTCTGAAAACAATCAGAATACAGTGTTGTTTTAATTAACAAAATTAGGATGGACACAAAGTGAAACCCCAAGAGAACTTAACCATCCGAGGGACGCATTGCCCCTCAAAATCACACAGGAAGGCGCCGGTCAAAAAGTGTACAAATCAATACTGTCGTGTAGGCCTATACGTTTATTATGACGGCAGATATAATGGGAAGCTACATCTCAATGTGCACAGTGATGGATGCGCTCTGTATATACAGTCAGTTCCGGTTCAGTTTTTATACAAACCGCTGGCTGGGCCAGTCCATGGTCGGAGTTTCCGTGTCTGAGCTGAGTGATATCATTTCGTAGTAAAATTCCTCCTCTTTCAAGTTAAAACCACCACATATTTTCACACAGACTGAACTTTGTAAAGCCGGGAAAGAAATCATGGATTTTGTACAGGACTGAACACGACAGTTGCGAATCACTTTCGACTGTACTGTGACAGTTCCAGATCAAGTTCCGTTTGGGCGAATGCGGCAATAAATGTATTTATTGTATTAGGCCTATAGTGAAGAGTATTACAGGGGCGTAGCTCAGTCTTTTTGATTGGGGGCAAAAATTTGTGAAAGGGCACTTGCACATCCGTGTTAAAATGTAGACACATTTTTTTTTCTCCGGAAACTCGGCCTCCGTAAAATCAAAAAGCGGGGGGGGGGGGGGGGGGGGGGGGGGGGGGGGGGGGGGGGGGGGGGGGGGGGGGGAATCGTACCCCCTGTTTAAAATTGACGATTTTGCACACTAACGGACCATTTATGGTGCTTTTCGGGGAGATACATCCGTGAAATAAAAAATTAAAAAAGACACCAGGAACGGCCGATGTCACACAAAAGTCACTTGTTCAGAAAAAAGGGCACTTCTTAACAAAAAGGGCACTCTTTATAAAATGTATTCAGGGAACCAGAATGTTGCCTTAGCTGTACGCTCTCCCTTTCACAGGTAAAATACAAAACAAGTAGACATTTAATTTGCTGAAATGGATCGTGGGTATAATGTTTGGGAAGTTTCAAAAATGTTTTTTCCCCGACACTTGAATAATAATTGACGTTTGTGAAAAAAAATATCTCGGGAAAAAAGTTTTTTTTTTAGACCTACAGTTGAATGAATTGTTATTTAATCAAATGATCCAGAACTGTCGACGATCCGGAACTGTCACATTGACTGTAGTATAATAATGAGACATCAGTGATTAACATCAAACGTGTCTTTTGGAGCCTTTGGCGTACCTTGTACACTGGGCAAACGCACAGACAGCAGGGAAAGCACAGCGCCCACCACATGGCTAGCTCCTCAGATTTGATAACATCCCTGCAAGCGAACACCTCCGCCTTCCGACCGTGGTTTGTTACGGTGACCTTACCGTGCATGCTGACGTACAGTGCCTGTCTGTCCAAGCAGGATGTGTCTCCATCGTCGTGTCCAGCCCACACGAAGGCAGACTGCATCCACTCCTCGATCACTTTATTGAAGTCAAACTGCACAGGAAGGGTTGCATTCCCACCAACCCAAAATAAAAGCGGGAATCGCTCGATTATCCGAAGGTTCGACAGTCTAAAGGTATCGTTAGTCCGAAGTTTCGATACTCCGAAGGTTCGATAGTCCGGAGGTTCGACACTCCGAAGGTTCGACAGTCCGGAGGTTCGATACCCCGAAGGGCGCTATCAGTCCAAAAATAGAATAAGGTTCGATCGTCCGAATAGACGATGAAGTTCGATAGTCCGAATCGACAATAAGGTTCAACTGTCCGAATTGACAGCATTGAACACTATTCTAAATTCGGACTGTTGAACCTGTAGTGTGTTTTTGGAATAATGAACCTCGGAGTTCGGACTATTGAACCATGTTTCGTTTGGGACTATTGAACACTCGGACTAATTAACCTTGTTCTACATTTGAACTTTGACCTTCGGACAAACTGAACCTTCCGATTATCGAACCTTCGAAATATAACGAACTTTTGGACTATCGCATTAAATACCCGCATTAACGAACATCATATCAATTCGTGAGCGCTCCTTTCCAAGCGTCCACACAGGAACTGATTTTTCCGCTATGGGAATTGCCAAACGGCGCCTCGATTGTTTTTTTTTGTACACCATTGGAAAACGGAGCACCGCTTTGACTTGTTAAAAGAATATAAGACAGATAATTTTATTCTACTTCATACTGATATAAAATATTGAATTTATATTAAAAACAAAGCCCGTACTTTTCAGGATATATATTGTTGTTTTAGCAGAATTTAACACGATTCTGTGTGTAAATCGAGGTTTTCAGTAAACCCGCACCGCTTCAACTCGCCGTAAACACAAACAGCGCCACCGTACGGCATTGTTAAAAAAAGTGTTGTTAGGGAAAGTTCTGGTCTAACTAATTATCTAACATGTATTTTGATTGGACATTGTTAAGGCCCGTACATTGAGGATTGAAGAAGATGATCGCCAATCATAACCCTGCTCAAATACGTCGTGGGCATTGCGTTGTACGTGCGTACACTACGCTCAAATCTTGTCACGCCGGCCGGCCGCTCACGTCCACACACAGTACACGTTGCGCGTACGCGCATTTGTATTACATTTTGTTACAATCGTGCTATGCGCAAAATCGGGTTGAATCAGGTAAAATAAATAGGAGCGGTTTTTGCCATAAACAAATTGATATGTATTTCATTTCGGATTAATGAACCATGGACAATTAAATTGTGTTCGGCCCTATCGAGCCTTCGGATCAATAAACCTTCAGACTATAGAACCTTCGGACAATCGGGCAGACCTCAATGAAAGCAATAGTCAATGAGCACTTTGTCACTTTGTGATGTCGCTTAGGCTTAATAAACATTTTTTTTGTTCGACATAATATATAGTTGAGGTTAATGATGAAATAACGAACTACAAGTATTGTTGACAGAACTACATTGCAATGCATCTTTTTATATCGTGTAATTATCATAAAGACAAGCCTTATCTTGGAATATGCTTCAACGGAACATACAACGTTTCAAACCAATGCTTGTAATAAGTAATTAAAATATTATGAATCAATGGGTTAAAAGCACTTTAACAAGGATCGAAACGCTTCACATCATCAATTATCCCCTGCTCATTGGACCAAAACATCTCTTAAAACAGATCATCGTTAAATGTTGATACAGACTCACAACCAATTATAATTATAACGATTTGTCAAGTGGCATTTGTGAAGCTTCGAAAGATGAACGATGACAACTTGACAAGCTCATTTTAAAATTGAGCGACTTTTGTACCTCGAGTGCGAACCTCTTTCCTTTACGCATCAGCCTCATGGCCTTTGAAAGCAGCTTCTCAAAGTGCTCTTTGATCACCGGATGCTGTGTGTTCACGATCACGACTGCTTTACCTGTGAATTTGGGAACGACTTTTTGTCACAATAAATCAGATTTTTTTTTCACGAAGTAATAGACAGAGGGCAAGCAACACCCAGAGCCAGTGCAAAAAATATAATATTTCTAGTGTAATAACAATAAAAACCAAAAATGGTCTTTTACGGAGACATTTCCATAGACTTTTGCACACAATTTTCCGACGTTCCTGACCCTAATTAACCCCAATTTTCCGTATCCTATACCCCCACAAATGTTGGCTTTCTTTACCAATCAACCAGACCACGAGCAATCGATCTAGTCTACTTGCGACACTAATTTTGCCTCTAAAAAGGACCTGAGACATTGGGGACGTTTTGTGTCTCCCAATGGTACTGTTTACGATATAATCTTATCTAATTATAAATTAAAGTGAAAATCAAGTGGGAAAACATAGATCACGTGGAGTTTTGTTTTGCAAGTTACAATTGTACGTTCTCCTCGTTCTCTTCAATTGTTCAATAAAAAAAAAAATAGTCTGCACTAATTGGGGCGCTCAGTTTCCCCTCCCCTCCCCCCCCAAAAAAAAATCCCTATGTTTTCAAGCATTTTCCCGATTGATCATTTTTATTCGAGGGCGGGCAGGGACAATTGTCCCCCCTCCCCAACCCAATTAAATTAACAACAATATGATTTTGCGCCTCCCCCCCCCCCTTTTTGGCCCCTGGGTCACGCGACGCCCATGCACAGTGAATTTCGGGCCGCAAACAATTCGAAATTTATAAAGTATATTGCACGTATACGATGGCAGATTTAATTTGTCTTTATGTCTATATCAGCAATATTTCCTTTTTAAAATACATCGTAAATGAACAGAGCAACCTGCCTCGGGAACAAAAACAGGATCATGACCGAAATCGATTAATCGACAGTCTCGAAACCGTATTTCCGTTCACTTAATTCTGTTAAGGCCCTTGTGCCACGTTTTAGTCGCCTTTTTTTACCTTTTTCTGCGATGGATGTGCTACCAGACTTGTGATAGCGCTTCACGAGAACACTGAAGACGAGTGGAAGAGTAAGCAGGTCCTCCGTGATCGTCTCAAGATCACTCTCGTTGCGAACCATCAGACATCTGATTGTCAGGGCCCAGGGGAAAAGTGAAATGCACATACGTTAGACATTTTTTTACGCACGGAAAAGGGGAGCGAAGTCAGGGTACACGTCGACTTGTTATTCCTTTTCCAGTGCAATGTAACTCTTTACTTCAAAAGAGATGTGATCATGGGAGAAAAATCACCCTAAAGTCATAGTTAAAGGGGCACTATGTCCTGAAATCCCAGCACACTTCATGCTTTGGATTGTTTACTTATCCTATTTCAAACATCTGGTTGAAAGGAAACCAACCTAATGTCTTACCTTTCCCGAGAAAAGATGGGGAAAAACGCATACGTTTTTCCTGTCGTTTTTATTCAATGTAAGATACACGTTGTGTGTTTAACATATATATTACACACAGCAATATAGTTTCTTACATGTCCGCAAAAGGCGAACACTTTACGGCTGAATTCACAACTTACAATTACAATTCAATTCAAGAAAACATTTATTCCATACACCTAAGAGAAATACATCCATAAATAAAAGAAATGGAAAGATAACAAAATCAATAAATAATGTCTCACAACTTAGCACAAAACAGCCTGATTTGTGGGGTCGCAACAGTGGACTGCGAAATTCGTTCTCGCACGAAATATCACAGAACGCCCAGTTTTTCAAGGACGGTTGTGTGGATATATTTATCTTACTTTTGAATGTTCTTTCCGATTAACATCATTTCGTTGAAAACGCGTTTTTTTAGCCCAATTGGGCGCTTTCCTGCACGCAGTTCCCCCTTAATTCACAAAATTTTGAATAAAAAGTGAAAGAGGTACATCAAACTTTAATTTAATGTATTGTATTTGAACACCTTTGTGAGACTTTTTCTCCGACGGTTTTCTTTTAGGTAGGGTATGATTGGTGCGTCTATGGCAGTTTATTCACAGGTCTACATAATATAGGAATACGTTTCCCTCACCCGCCTTTGGAGTTCAGGAACTTGGCAGACCGAGCGCAGACGATTACCCGTTCCGGGTCGTGAGTGAGCCGCGGACGGCGCCTCTTCTTTCGGCCGTCGTCCCGGGCAAAAGTGAAGAAGTCCGGTGGAGCTGCCAGAAAGTCGTCCATGAGCGCGACGTTCACTGCGGGCCCGCCGGGCGACAGGTTCAAGGAACGGTGAGCACGAGACATCGTGGTCACGGCTTATAAAAAGAACGGGAAGCAAGTGTGGGAGAACTTTGCTGAAAAAATGTCGAAAACTTCGATGCAAGCTGAGTTAGAGGTCGAGAGAGGCTGTTGATACATGTATCAAAGCGAGACTGCGCGAAACAATTTCGACGTGCGCTTCAGGAATGCTGGATCCTTTCTGTTTGTCAAAGAGCGCGCACTGACCAATCAGTGGCGCGTCTTTCGTCCGGTGAACACTGCAGAAGCTCATCAAACTTAAAAAAAAAACCCACCTTAACAGTGTGAAAAATAGAACAAGGAAATACTACACAGTGGTTTGCCTTCCTATAGTATCACAATTTATTTCAGATTTTATTCCTGTTAATCTGTGTTGTAGTACACAAGGAAGCTTTCACAATCGATTACTCATTTACAAACTGAAAAGGGCCAAGAAATGGAGAGCAAATGTAACCTGGATAAGATCTTTTGGGTCAAATGAGCTTCAACAATGGAAGAGAAAGCATAGGAATAGAAAGTGTAGAACCTATTGGTTTTCAATTTTAAATTAGCGGTTTGAAATTAGTGTTTGTTTCGCTAGTCAGTTCAGTTGAGGAAGAGTCATGCTCTTCACTGTACATTTAAGCTGAAACAGGATATATACTTTAGCCATGTTTGTAATTAATAGGCAATTGGCAGGAATAGCCCGCGAAAGTCTATTTCCAATGGGGTCCCGTGATAGAAGATGGTCAGATAGATATAGATAGATATCGTGATATAGAAGAACTTTGACATAATAATTATGAGAAGTTTTTCCCGGCTTAGGGCTGCACATACAGTCGACTCTCGTTAACACATACAAACCCAGCTGGACCTATATAGCCAAAGTATTTATTATATCAGAATTAAGTGGAGTGCCGATCCCATTCATTGTGTACATAGATCACAGTCGGGACCGGCTTTATGCTAGACTTGAAATCAAGTCTGTAATGAGTGCAGTGGTTTTAATCGCGTCTGCCGCGCGCGACTCAACTGCTAAGCTCTGTGCCGGTGTCACATGAAAATCCGACTCCTATGAAAATCGGACCCCTTTTTCCCTATTATTGGTTAATCCCTCGCACGTGACAGGTCACTCTCCCGAAACGATCCTAAAAATAGCACGGTATATTACTCACGCCTGCGTAGCACTATCAATGAGTCCACATTTCACGGAGTCGGATATTCACGCTACACCTGGGGTAGTACGTACCGCGTGCTGTCCTAGTAGCGGGGACGCTACGTACATGACTTTGGCATGAATGGTTGTAGCGCTCATGTAATTGCATGAACGGCGGTGGTATGCGGATTCTGGCGCTGATGACGGACATAAACCACTATAGTCTAACGACTTGTCATCAAGTCTAGCTTTATGCTGGCAATAACCAGAATTTGTATTAATATTGTGTTTGTGTTAATGAAAGCAAACTGTAATATTTAACTTCAAGAAGCGTTTCATTTGTTGCATGATATGAATAAAACTGGGTTAAACACTAAAGTTGTTCGGGTCGAAGCACAGAATAAAATAAATAAAGGTTTATTACATAATCCAATCAACGGTTAATTTATAAGTCAGTTATTGTAATTACGATACTAATTTTTGTATTTTCAACCACGAAAATGCACCGTTGCCCTTTGCAATTATTTAGTGGATTTTCATGCTCCCTGAATGTTTTCGTCAATTGCAAACTGTTTTATGGGATGGTGCCAGACTACTGTATGATTTGAATACGTTAAGCCTCACGTTCATTTGTTTTAATGTGGCTTACATGTAAAACATAAGGGCATGTTCACTCACAAGTTTTAAGTTATTCATCAGAGCAGACTGATAGTAATTTGTAATTAACTTTATTTCATTGCTTTCATTTCTATTCGCAAGCCAAGTTCCAAAAATGAAGATTTTACCTCGCTTTCAATTCAATATGGCCGACTCGTGAATAAATTATTGTTCTGGCGGACGCAAGCTCAAACCGTCGCTCCACTGAGTCAAGTTTTTATTCTTTTTCTTAAAATTTCCAATTAAACAGATCAGTTGAGTATCAGAAAATTAAAAGGCATGATTTGGAGGAAAAAAATCAAGACAAAGTTGGAACCCCACACCTAATTTGGTGTTTCAAAGAACCCTTCCAAGGGAGTCGATTTTGATCGGACTGCCGTTGGAGCGGGCGAAGCTCTGAACCGCACGGCGCATGTAGTCCAGACGGGCGAAGTCGGCGTCCGTGATTTCCATGGTCGGGTTGAACGCTGTAGCGTACAGCTCTTCGGGAAGCCGTCCGCCAAGGTCGGTCACTCTCAGGCATCGCTGGAGCTGGGAAGAAAACACGCGACAAATGTTAACTTCGACTCGAAATTTACTTCGTAAAGGAAATTTACAATCAAGGTATTAATGATTATCTGAAGGGTTAGAACTTAGAGCGAAGTTAATTGAACAATGATGCTTAACTGTATAGTTTGCGCAGACTGCGCTAGAACTTAGGCCTAAGATTGATTATTATCAGCAATATCTGTGTAATGGACATGTGCTAACCCTGTAGATCGGACAGACCACGCAGCAGCACGGCAGGAAGAAGCTCCAGCTCAGTACACGGCAGGTTGTCTTGCTGCAGTCCGGGCAGGTGAAACACGGCGCCCTCTCCCCGTAGTTGGTGACGGTGATCTTAGCGTGCCTGCTGATGTAGCGGGTGTTACCCCAGGGCCAGGTGTTACCCTCCTCGCCTCGGCTGACAAAGACGGACTCCAGCCACTCCTCCAGAACCGAGTTGAAGTCGAACTGGAGATTGATTCAAAGTAACCGCACTAAGTTATTATTTGAAAACCTATTATTATAAACGACTGTAATACGTGTTCTGTCACAATCGGATGCGTACTCATGGGCAGAGATTGAAAGGGACATGCGACCAAAATCAATTTAGGGTATTTGTTTTTCTTTTTAATCCCTTCAACTATGTGTTTCTAAAAATGCCAAAAATAAAGTGTAAATGTTTAAGGTCTTTATAATAATTGACGTCAATTGCTTTTGGGGTAATTTGCGGATGTGTATCAATGAGGGATGCTTCACCAGGACATTAATCCTCTGTTTCATCTTTTGAGACATTACCAACTTCAACTGTGTGTAGTTTGCTGGCTAAGAAAAGTCCGTTTTCAAATCGTCATTGTAAAGGGACAGACTCCCTCCGGTTTTTTTTTTTTAAACATTTCCGCTGGAATTTTGGATTATTTAGAATGTTGCGTTAATAAACTAACTTGACCAGTTTACCTCGACGGCAAATTTCTTCCCTTCGCGCATGAGATCCATAGCTTCTGCTAGCAGTGTTTTGAAGTGATGCTGGATCTGCACGTTTTGGGTATTGACGATTACCGCTGCTTTGCCTTCAAAACAAATAAATAAACATGAATCTAAACAAATAAAGTTGACACAAAATAAACACCACAAACAACGTGTGACCAGTGACGTATAACTTGGGCCTAATTTTGCAGAGGGCACTATTATATGGGGTTTCAATTTCTGGTTTGGGCACGCAACTGAGCTTACTTGTGTAACAGGCCGATTTGGAAGAGTATGCTTTACGTTACTCATAGGCCAGAGGGTGTCGTCAGGCCATTTTGAACCGGGGAGTGTCGAATGTGACAACAAACACTATGGGACAGGAAACTCTCGGTCATGTTAAGTGGTGCTATTCTTGCCGGCGTTCTGCCGACCGACACAAATGTTGCCGACAGGTTAATGGTTGTGCCGACAAAAACGAACATACTGGAGGAGGTTGACATATCCACGTACCTCTTATCAACGTGCCTGACTGCGCCAGTGGCAGACCTACGGGGGAATTAGGGGGTGTAAACACTTCTCTTGAACCGCGTAGAAATTCGCGTAGAAAAAAAACACAAGAAATGTCTGTTGCACCCCTTTGGCAGCTAAACTCCTCTCTTGATCCAAATGCAAGACCCGCCTCTGTGAGCAACCAAGTTATAATATAAACTGACAGTAGCCCTTGCCACGTTGCAACTCCGACCCTGGAAGGGGTCTAAATTGACCGGGGTGGTGGTTCTAGTGATGGGTGAAGTTTAGAAGGGCGAAGCCTTGGGGAAGGTCAATACATCCACGAGATTATACCTGTGTGTACAAGTGTCGTGTTGCTGGTCTTTCGGTGATCTCTCTTCAAGCACGCGGTCAAGAAAATGGGCAGGGTGAGGAGTGTCTCCGTCAGGGTCTCAAGCTCTGCCTCGGTGTGAACCCAGAGACACCTAACGATGCCAAGTGGAAAAACAAAAGATGAATGGAAGGGGTTTCATGAAACCACGGCTGCGACTCCAACTTCGGCTTGAAAGATTTTCTTAAGTCCCTTTCCGTGGGGAACTCGATCTGGTTCGATAATGGTTCAGAACAATGCATCCTATAATATTATTTGGCCGGAGTTTATAATGATCCCAATTTTTGGACATTCTGGAGACAGAGATGAACTGGAGGTTTCGAAAACTCAAAACTTGTTTTTTTTCTTTAAATATTACTCAATTCATACTTTTGGGGATCACTTTTCAAGAAAGACTATATAATGGAAGAAGAAACTTAAATTATGAAAGTAAAATTTGGGTGTGGTTACGCTGTTTTGGGTTTCAAAAACCACTTGCTGAAATACAATAGACTTCCCTTTATCGCATCAGATTTAGTATCGTGTTATTTCCCAACACCATTTTGTTTTTCAGTGTCAGTTCAGCAAGCACTTGATCCTCAATTTTTAAAGTTAAAGTTTTTTAAAGTTAAAATCTCAAAATTTGTTATATGCGGCCACTGGCAAATTGCAATTTCATTAACTGATAGCAACGTACCCTCCTTTGGAGTCCGAGAAGATGTCTTTTGCGGACCTGGCACACGACGTGATCTTGGTGGGGTCTGAACTGAGGTACTGACGGCGCTGCTTCCTCCACCGAGTCGTCCGCTCCTTGACGCTGAAGCAGGCCGGCGGATGCTTCACGAAGTGTTGCATGAGCGTCACGTTGATGGCCGGGCCGGTCGGCGTGAGGTTGAGGGGGCGACGTCCTACTGGCATTCTGGATCCACCGATATATTTGAAACCTCGCTGACAGAAAATTATGTTGGGGGAAATAATGTTTATTACGGTTCATACGTCCTGGAAATTTGAAAATGATTTCTCAATTCATAATTTTAATAGCATTGGAGTCATTTGTTACCGACGAAACAAAAATCGGCCATGGTGAGTTGCAGCTTCAACTTTCATTTCTCTTCATTTAAGAAAGGAGAACAATATAAACAACAAAACAAAAAACAAAAAAGTCAAACAGAGTAGGGAATACAGAAAGCGCTATATGTAGATGAAGTACTAAACAGTTTTCTCCATATTTTTAGCGGGGATATCAATTCATAGCTAAATGGTTTGCTCAGAGACGTATAATTTTGAACGGCTTTTAATTATACATCTTCACTTAAGTTAATATCTCGCAAATTATTCCAAGAAAATGGGACTGAAGAGATGTGGAAATCAGTTGTTGGAGTCTTTATTCCACGCAAGCCCTATGTAGTGTTCGAAAAATGATAAATTAAGATTATTTTACCGAAAATTGGAAATCCCTTACCTGCTGAAAAAGATTAGGAGATTCAATAGCGTTTGGTTCTTGCTTCGACGTCGAAGAATGTCACTTCCAAGCAAGTCCACTTGTAAACGATTACTGACAGATCCGCAGAGAAACATGAAATATCTCCAGTTGCAAGAACGATCGAGCCTGTCACTTTGAACTTAAATGCTGGCAACAACCGGAAGCGGAATAGCCGAACTTCTGATCCGGACGCGGATCTGTTAACAGGACATCGCCAAGGACAAGGTCACGCGAGCGACATCGCAGACGGGGATTGGACAGGAGTTGGGACTGGAGGCGGGATTTGGCAGACACTCAACTTAGTTTCAGGAATTCTTCGGCTGGTCATTAGACTTAATACAAGGACGTGAAAATACCACCTCTAGGAAATGTGCAAATGAATACATTGTAGACGTTTTCACCGCAGGCTGACGTAATCCCGCCTATGCACACGTATACACCAAGAAACGTAAAGAGCCATGTACTTAATTTTTCTTTAAGAACATATTTTGTGCAACTTTCTACTTCTCTGAAAATGTATAAAAATTATTTGACGTCCCTTTTTGGTTAATTTTAATGCAAAGTGCACTTCTTTAAATATTTTCCCCCATGGAGTTATCCGGACAACTGAGGGCACTGTTGCTGTGACGTCATTTCAGGAAGAAACCGGACGGACACTTGGCCTCCGTAAAATCAAATAGGTGTGGGGTGGGGGGGGGCTGGTACCAACTTTCAAAACAGGGGCCGCTCTTCAAAACCGCGATGCAAACTACGCACTGTGCGCCCATTGCTTTTCATATTCGTTCATATCAGAACTCTCTATACCATATGGGGAAATGGTTACTGAAAAACAATTAGCCGCAATTTGGGGAAACTTATTAGGGCGCTCGTTTTTGGTCACTTTTTTGGATCAATTTTCCGTATGAGGCGCCATGTGTAAATACTTTGTTCTAACAAAATTCTATATAATTCATTTGTTATTATTTATTATATGATTTACTTTTCCGGCTTATTAAGACTTATTTACTTATATGTAATTCATTATTTACATTATCATACATTTCTTCTCCGACAATTATATATTAATAATTGTTTGGCAGTTTGTTTTATATGTGAATGCATTTATTTGCCACTATATTATTTACCAATAACTTTTTTTGCAACATAATTATCTACAAATAATTGTTTGCAAACTATAATTATTTATATATAATTTTGTTTGCAACATAATTGTTTACAAATAATTGTTTACAAACTATAATTATAAAAATATATAATTTTATTGGGAACATATAATTATTGATAAATGCTTGTTTGCAAACTATAATTATTGATAAATGTACATAATTTTTTTGGGGCCACTTAATTACATGTTTTTGCAAATAATTGTTTGCAGACTTGTATGGGATTATTCTGATATCGTTTTCATGATGCGACACGGTTTCATTCTCCCTGAAATATCAAGTACATGTATCTTAAATGTGATGCGTGCACAGAATTTAAAAACTACATTTGTGTTCAAAATAATATACATGTACATTTGTAAATGTTACTCAAACAGTACAGAGTGATTTGAATAAATTTTGTACTATAGGAAAGCTCATTAATTGAGCTTTCATTTCCTAGATCTGGAAAGTACTACATGCAGAACTTCTTTACAACCTAGGGGGCGCCATTTCGGATTTCCTTTGTTTTTGTTACTTACTCCCCCTGTACTGACGAGAGTCAACTGTAATATTTAACACCGAGAAAATTTCATACTATATTCACGGCATGATATGATATGCATGAAGGCTGTGCGGGAAGGCTGCAGCACAGAATAATTAACATCAATAAAACTTTATTATATAATCCAGTCAAAATTTAATATATTATGTCATAATTATAATAATCACAATAGTAATCTCATGTGTTTACAAGCATAATATTGCAACATTGCCCTTTACAAATAAGATTTCAGAAGCATAAATGCAGCCATTTTATGTACAAAACAGCCCCAAACTTGGCAAAAATGGGGAACTGCCAACATAGAACTGGATACTAGCTCAGTTGGCAGAGCAATGGTGATGAATTCCGGAGGTCGCATGGCTCACTCTCAGCTCCGGTCAATTTTTTTCCCATCAAATTTTCAATCAAACAAATCAGTAGAGAATTAGAATGGGGTCCGCTCATAAGTCCGACGCCTCATAGGTCCAACGCCTCATAAGTCCGAAATTTCGAACTTATGAGGCGTCGGACATTATGAGGCGTTGGACTTATTAGGCATAAGATTGATTTATTCTGCCTCATAGGTCCGACGCCGCAAAAGTCCAACACCTCATTGCCCCGACGCCTCATAAATCCCAAACATCGTCTGTCCATTGTCGGACGATTTGTGCCTCATCAGTCTGATGCCTCATGGGGCATGGGACCTATGAGGCGTCGGACTTATGATACGGCCCCATCAGAACATTAAAGGCATGATTTGCCGAAAAACAATCAAGGCAAAATTAGAAACCTAATCTGATGAAGTGAGTCAATTTTGATCGAATTGTCCTTGGATTGAGCCAAGCTCTGAATAGCATGGCGGGCGGTCGAAGTCGGCGTCCGTGATTGCCATGTTCCGGTTGAGCGCTGTAGTGCACAGCTCCTCGGGTACCGCTCCGCCGATGTCGGTGGCTGGTCCTTGGATTAAGCCAAGCTCTGAATAGCATGGCAGGCGGTCGAAGTCGGCGTCCGTGATCGCCATGTTCTGGTTGAGCGATGTAGTGCACAGCTCCTCGGGTACCGCTCCGCTGAGGTTGGTGGCTGGTCCTTGGATTGAGCCAAGCTCTGAATTGCCTGCGGGGCGGTCGAAGTCGGCATCCGTGATCGCCATGTTCTGGTTGAGCGATGTAGTGCACAGCTCCTCGGGTACCGCTCCGCCGAGGTCGGTGGCTCTCAGGGATCGCTGGAGCTGGGAAGAAACATGCAACAAATGTATAAACATCCACTCTCCATAGATTTCTCTCATAGGAATATTACAACTGCGTATTCAACGCCATCAGGTGTGTGTGTGCGCGCAGTGTGCAAAAATGATCTAAACACACATGCGTGTTGCTCAAAATTTCTTCGAAAATACAGCACAGCCGATGTGCGTTTTGAAAATTTTACAAAGGGTGGTCAAAAAAAAAAACCCAAAACAGAACGACATACTTTTCACTACCTTGAGACTCAAACTGTACCAATTGATGGGTAATCCATTATGATCACAAAATCTCCCGATTCGGTAAAGTAGTTTTTGCTGCAGAGAGCCTACTTCAAGAAGGATACCTCTTTCATGTGGGTATTATTAGATAACAATCCCTTATCAATTAAATTGCAAGTCAAATTCTCAGGCACAGTTTAGTATTGAATTCATCGGTACAAAATGACCCCCACCTTGCTTCACAAAATATAGGCTCTAGAACAGAATACTTGACCAAATCGGGCAAGCTTGGTTTCATTTTTCTTCTAAAAAGACTCTCCATGCATTGATACACGTATACATGTATGTGGTTTGAGTCTGAGGGTACTAGAAGTATAAGTTCCAGGTTTTTTGGAACACCATGTATGATACACAAATTCACTTAGGCAATGAAGTCACACCCAATGCAACAGTGGAACAGAATAGGGCTCACGTACAGTAAGAAGGTCCGGGATCGAATCCCATTTAGAAGAGTTCTTTTTTTCCTGAATCGAGGCTCCGGAGGATTTTTTTTTAAAGCGAGGTAAAGTCCTAAATTTCACTACGCCTATAACCCCCAAGCTACATGCCAATGTGACTATATGGGGCTGGGTCTGGCAATGGCTTTTCCACTTGGTTTTCCACGATTTCATCTTTGTCATTGTTGTATTTTTTGGGTCATTTTCTGAGCGCTTTGTATCCCTAGGAAAAGGTGCTTTATAAATGTTATTACTATTATTATTTATTATAGATAGGCCACTATTCATGCAAGACGGCCCGGCTGATTGTGCACTTGCATTTGTTTGTTTTTCATGTAATGAACATGGGCTTACCCTGTAGACCGGACAAGCCACCCAGCAGCATGGCAGGAGGCAGACCCAGCTCAGTATACGGCAGGTTGTCTTGCTGCATTCCGGGCAGAAGAAAAAAGGCGGCTTCTCTCCGTAGTTGGTGACGGTGATCTTAGCGTGCCTGCTCATGTAACGGACGCCGTAACAGGCACAGGGCCCGGTGCTGCCAGCTGCGCCTTGCCTGACAAAGGCAGACTCCAGCCACCCCTCAAGAGCGGGGTTGAAGTCAAACTGGAGACCGATTCAAACAGACTGGTCTAAATTATTATTTAAAAACATACAGCCATTTGTAATAGAAAAACTGTGACATGTTCTGTCAGTAAAACAGATGCTTCAGTCTCGGGCAGAACTTGAAGTGGAGATGCGACCAAAATCTGCGGCCAAATTCTTCAAATATGTGTGGTACTTAAAATGTCTTAGCTGAACTGCAAAAGTTTCAGATCTTAATTTTGCCTCTGACGTTGATTGCTTTTGGAAAATTCGCAGAAGTGTATGATTCAAGAGATGCTTCACCAGGACTTTCATACCCACACTTCCTCTGTTTTCATCTTTTGAGATATTATAATATACATGTAATGTCTCAAAAGATGAAAACACAGGATGAAGTTGATAATGTTATTATCAACTTCAACTGTGTAAAATTTGGCTAAGAAAAGTCAGTTATTTAAATCGTCGTTGCAAAGGGAGAGACTTCCTCCCCCCCCCCCACGCATTTTTTTTTCACCCGTCAATTGGACTTCAGATTATGTTGCGTTAAGAATTGTAACTGGACAAATTTACCTCGACGGCAAAATTCTTCCTTTTGCGCATGAGGTCCATAGCTTCTGCTAGACGTCTTTTGAAGTGATTTTGGATCTGCCAGTTTTGGGTATTCACGATTACAAATGCTTCGCCTTAAAAAACAAAAACAAATAAATATAAATGAAACAAATATACTGAATATACAAAAATAACCATCAGACGCAACTTGTGACCAGTGGTGTAATAAAGTTGGACGGGACACCGTCGGCCAATAGCACTGTGCGACAGTACTGACATTGTCAGTACATTTAAAAGAATTGTTAATAACGCTGTTATTTTTCCCAAGGAAGCTAGCCAAAAAAGCATCCGAGTGCCCTTTTGACCAAGGCTGAATTTTTGACCCTGAATTTCTGAGGCAAAGATCAGAACCAGGCCAACTCACAATGGACTCATCTGTTTAAGCTATATACATGTAACCTCAGGGGCTGTTGTGGTGGGGTACATTGTGTATCTCCCAGTAGCTCTTGCCACAGTGTACAACTTTGATCGTGGAAGAGGTCTGAATTGAGGGGGGGGGGGGGGGGGGGGGAAATTAGCAAGGTGACCCTTGATGCAGATCAATAAATCCAAGAGATTACCTCTGTGTACAAGTGTCTGTTTGCTGGTCTCCTGTGCACCTCGCTGCAACTGGGCGGTCAAGAAGATGGGCAGGGTGAGAAGTGTCTCCGTCAGGGTCTCAAGCTCTGCTTCTGTGTGAACCCACAGACATCTAAAGACGCCGTGGGAAAAACACATAATGAGAGGTGAGTGGAAGGGATTTCAGGAAATCGCTGCCATGTCAAATTCAGCTTCAGTAGATTGTTAAGTTCCTTTCTGTGGAGAGTTCTGATTCAATGATGGACCCATTATATTCTGTTTGGGGAACGTTGCGTCCTTATATTATGTGGCCTGGGTTTATAGTGGTTAAAAACGTGCCTTCTTATTGTTGGAGTACGGAATCCATACACTATTTTCTGTGCCAAAAACCCACTCCACTGACACAATGGACGTCCTTTCGGTCAGATTTGATGTAGTGTGTGTCTTCACACTGACCAACACCATTTAAAAAACTTCAGTGACTTTTTGATCCGTTTTCAAATTTAATTTGTTTAATGTTGAAATCTCAAAATTTCAACATGCGGTCTGCTAAAACTGTAAAAAATAAGACGACCAATTTCTAGAACATGGGGCCAACATATAAAATGATATAATGAACCTGAGCTACAGTGAACCACAAATTAAACTGTTGACATTAAACTGTTTGACATTGTCGAAAACTTATACGTACCCTCCTTTTGAGTCCCAAAAGATGTCTTTCGCGGACCGGGCACACGATGTGATCTTGGTGGGGTCAGGACTGAGGTACTGGCGTTGTTGCTTCCTCCACCGAGTCGTCCGCTCCTTGACACTGAAGCAGGACGGCGGATGCCCCACGAAGTATTCCTCGAGCGTCACGTTGATGGCAGGGCCGTCCCGAGTGAGGTTGAGGGGGCCGTGTGCACACGGTGTGCCTCTTAATGGTAGAAATAGGGGGTGAGAGTACATTCTGGATCCACCGATGTATGTGAAAGCTTGCCGACCGACAATTATGTTTCGGGAAAATAACGTTCCGGTTCACACATCCTGGAAATTGGAAAATGATTTTTCAATTTATACATTTTGTTCAACATGAGAGTCATTTTGTTATCAATGAAACAAAATAGCCCATGTTGAGTTGTGGCTTAAACATTCATTTCCCTTAATTAAAGAAACGTGAACTCAATACAAACAACAAAAAGTGTAAAATACAGAAAGTGAATCCAGCAAATGGAATGTATACAGAAAGTGCCGTTTTGATAAAGTAAAACAAGAAAGGTTTCGCCCATAATTCGTGAGCAAGGGAATAGAGCCCGAAAGTGTGCCAAATTGTCTTTGAGCCATGTTAGCTGCCGGACGCCTCCATGACCCTTCTGCATTTTACAGGGGGCGGCCCTTTCTGTTGCTATAATTTTGGGCGGAATGATTTTTTAACCATTCTCACCCCCGAGAAACATTCATGTTGGAATTTTATCTTGGCATTCCCCAAGGGAAGAAAAAAATGACCAGTAATCAGTTTGAGATTGGTGAAACGATCATCAGAATTCATGCAACTTAAACAGAGCGTGGCGAAATGTTTGTCAGAGTTCTACAAAAGGGTTGCGCAAATGAAATGCATGTGATGACTCATGATGTAAACAAATGACTAGTATATTGACGGTAAATGACCAGGTTGGGGGCCAGCACCAAATATAGCGACGTTGCTACATTGTACAACAGCCGCTTGATCAAGCGACGTTGACGTCACTCTATTCTCGCGATATTTCAACAAGCATGACAAGTGTTAATTGAGATTTCCAGGGTACGCTTCCGGCCAGAAACCGTCGCTTGATTTAGTGACAGTGACATATCACTCTTTTTACTCTTTGACTTTGACAGGTCTTCTGGAAAACCCAAGGAGATTAATGAAGAAACTTATCAGAGGCATTACACTGACAAAAAGCTTAGCTAAAACTTATTTTCTTGGTAGCCTGCAATAGAAGCTTGGAGGACTAACAGGTCTATAATATTTGGTACAGCAGCCATTCCGGTTCATGCCGGGGACCTAAGCCCCTCCCATTTTACGCCCACTGAACCAATCAACTTTTGGAAACTTGTCAGGTGACTATATTGGAAAAATATTTGGCTATATTGGAGAATGCAGACGGGAATCATTGAATCTACTCCACGAAATCGATGGAGACATTTAACATCAACTAATGCCGTAAATTTAGCAGAACTACCATTGTACCAATGTTTTCTGAAATTAAATTTTGTCATTCGAACTCGCTAACACATAAACGGTACAGCAGTGATACAAAATTCAACACCGCCGGAAAAGCTAAGACGACAAATCTCTTCTATGCGATTTTAGAGAACCCAGATGGAAGGAATGTTGCTATTGGATGTTGGGTAGCATGCGTGGTGTAAACCAGGCCAATCATTGTCATTCTTAAGATTTAGGCCCATGAAGAAATCGAGGTAATCCCAGAGCTATGATCTAAAAATAACTGAAGAATGACGTCCTTGTCGCTTAATCAAGCGGCTGTTGTACAATCTAGCAATGTCGCTATATTTAGCGCTGTTCATGGTCACGTACCTGATGGCGGAACATGGTATGGTAAATGGCACAACATCACGGCTTGACAAGTTGTTACGTCACACTTCTGACTGGATTCATGATGATGGTTGACGTACATGGCTGGTGTAACATGGCCTATCATGAAGTAACGTAACATGGAACATGAATGATGAAGCATGGAGTATGGTTCGATTATATTGTATAAATTTAAAGAGAAAAAATAAAATATAATTCACTTAAATTAAATTTAAATACAATACACATACACAAACATGTGTCCAAAAAAACCTCTTAAAACGTGTAGGAGAAAGAATGCTAGGAACCTGACGCCACTTTTTCTTCATATCATCTCAATAAAGTCAGTCATTGCAAAATTGTTGTTTTATTAGGAAATAGGCCTAGGCCTAGGCCCTATACTATAGGAAATTTTCTGGACTCTCCACAGACTTTGTACACATGTCATGACATAACCGTTGAAGATCTCTATCCTTGAAGTAGCCCCACTTGTGTGGCCTCGGTATTGCTGCACTGTACGTTCGGCCACGCCCCTGGTTTTCCAACCTTAACTGAGGAGTTTAGTCCAAAGCCTGGCGCACTTTTTTTTTTTATTTTGGGGCCTTTTTTTCACATACCACTGGCACTGCATACGGTTGTATTCTGTGATGTCTTATCTTTTGCCCTCCGGGTAGATACGGTAATCTTTCTTCAAATTTTTTTAGAGAAATTTAGACATCTTTCTGGAATCCTCATAATGCAAGTTTCGGAATAAACTCCTCAGTCATGTCAGTAGATTGGGAAACCAGACGTGTGGCCTAACGTACAGCGCAGCAATACAGAACAGAGGCCACACAAGTGGGGCTATCCTACTCCTAGTATGAGGCTCATAGTTCTAGAAGTAGGGCTATCCTTGAAAGTTGAAGAAGGTGTTAATGACGCACATAAGAATTAGGCGGTGGATATTTTGCCGGAGACGGCAAACCTTTAGTAAACGTTAGTTTGCCGGATATGCACTGAACATGCGCAGTTACTGTTTTTTTTTACTTAAACATTTTCCGGTGACAAATTTTAGTCTGGCTCCATGCCAATATTATCGCTGTAACCTCGTATTCACAAGATGGGATTCAGACCATTTTATAATTTCGGACTTTATTTCCCTTTTAAAAAAAATCCTCCAGAGCCACAAATCTGAAAAAGAAAATGTAATCGCAGTGGCTATTGTTACGGCAGCCGTAACGCATTTCCCATTTTCTATTGTTACGGTATAGACTGCAACTTTTATAAAAACATGAGAAGAAAATAAAAAATTAGAAGGAAAAAAGTGAATTTGAACGTTATGAAATTCGGACTTTATTTCCCTTTAAAAAAAAATCCTCCAAAGCTTCAGGTTAGAAAAGGAAAATAATTCGAGTGCAAAACTGAGATGCGAACCTGCAACCTCCCGGTGCAAAATCCTACCCTCTATCGACTGGGCTATCGCACTGCTCGCTAACACGTGGGGAAACAAATAATAACCTGCGTGTGTATCAAAAAGGTATCGTAGAGGGCGCTAAACAACGGCCGCCGTAACGATAGCCACTTCGAAATGTAATACTCTGTAATAAAATGTTTGAGACATGTTAAAATAATAAAAGAAGAATATTCTTATTTATTTGGGGATGGGAAAAAAAAACTTTAAAATGTGGCGGGGGATCGGGATCGAACCCGAGTCATCCCGCTCACTAGACCCATGAACGTGGCGTTGTATACAACGCCACGTTCTTGTTTCATTTCGAACCTGGCGAAATCGATCCGACATACATAATTCCGTATGGGTGTTGAGTACTCACCTAGAAATCTAAATTTGCCCGTCCGATTGTTTCGGCTGTGTAATTTCGACGAAATTTGCCCATCAGTAAAGACCCATACGAACGTGTAGAAATTAGATTTTAACCTGACCCTGACAAATAACCCCGGACGCGTCTGAGTCGCTTGGACAGATTGACGGCTGTTTCATGTCGCAACCCCGAAAAAAAAACCCCGCAGACGATTGGCTGCTCGGCTCATCTCGTGTACAGTACGTGTGTGCACACACACGCGGGCGCACGTGCGACCGCGTGCGGTGCGGTGAGAGAGGAAAGGACTTGAAACTTGTCTAAAACGATGTCTCTTTTAGCTGCGACAGTAAACAGCCGTCGAATCATACGAAAATAAAACGCAATGCGCCTGCGTCAGTTGGGGAAAATGGCAGCTAGCTAGTAGCGGACGGACTTCATGAATCGGGGCCAGAATTTTCCTCAATTTTTGTCAAATGCAAGTTTTGACGAACAAATAGAATTCAAGACAGCTTCATATGTGAGAACTTATTACATGGGCAAATAAAGTCCAGTGTGTGTAACGGAGGGAGTCAGAGGTACACGTTCGCCAGGTTCGAAATGAAACAAGAACGTGGCGTAGTTTACAAGCCACGTTCACGGGTCTACCCGCTCACCAAAGCCTTTGCTTAACCACTACACCAAGCGTGCTACACAAGTTTTGATGGGAATTTAATACATCTTATAATTCAGCCCTATCTTAAAGAGTACAGCGCCCTCTGTTGATATGGATTGCAGCCGGCAAACCTTTAGTAAACGAAGTGGCTATCGTTACGGCACTCGTTGTTTAGCGCCCTCTACGATATTTTTTTGATACGCACGCAGGTATATAATTATTTGTTTCCACACGTTTTATCGAGCAGTGCGCCAGCTCAGCCGATAGAGGGTAGGATTTTGCACCGCGAGGTTGCGGCTTCGAATCTCAGTTTTGCACTCAAATTTTTTTCCTTTTTTAACCTGAGGCTTTTGAGGATTTTTTTTAAAAGGGAAATAAAGTCCGAATTTCATAAAGTTCAAATTCACTTTTTTCCTTCTAATTTTATATTTTCTTGTCATGTTTTTTTTATAAAAGTTGCCAGGTTGCAGTCTACCGTAACGATAGAAAATGGGAAATGCGTTACGGCTGCCGTAACAATAGCCACTGCGTTTAGTAAACGTTAGTTTGCCGTCATTACCTCCGGCAAAATATCCACTATCTAAGAATTAAGAGTTTCTGCTGAATCTTTGGACAACTAATGGAAATACCTTTCAGTCACACTACATTTCTTTCCAGTAATGTATCACCTTGTATTAAAATGATCTCCCAAAGTCCCATGCCCGAGCTCACCTGGTTTGTTCTGCACAACCATAAGCCGCACCAATATTCTTTTAATAGAGGGCGCGCCACATAAATAGTTGCCCCCCAAATTCGTTTGGTGGTGGATAATTATCGAGACCACTATTTATGTGGCGCGCCCCCTATTACATAAAAGAATATTGGTGCGGATGCTGCACTATTGTTGAACAAAAAATAACAACTCAGTTTCCGATCAATAACTCAAGAAATACAAGATGTATTTAAACTGAAATTTCGTGCAATTAGTTTCCACGATGTGTCACAGAGGGGTATTGAATACCACGAGAAACAGTCCGACGATAAAAATAATATGATCGTAACAATGTAGTGTTTTACACGCGAAAAATACACATTGATTTTCATTCGGATTGCACTTGTCGCGCTTAAAACACTGTATTGTTACGGTCAATATTGCTTCATTGTTTGACGTTTTTTTATGAAATTAAATCTCGTAATGTTAAACATAATGACAAATCACCAGACGAAAATTCAATTGAAATCATCTTGTATTTCTGGAGTTGTTGCCCCCAAAACAAGTTTGGTGGTGGATAACTATCGAGACCACTATTTATGTGGCGCGCCCTCTATTACATGAAAGAATATTGGTGCGGATGCTGCACTATTGAACAAAAATAACAACTCAGTTTCCGATCAATAACTCAAGAAATACAAGATGTATTAAACTGAAATTGCGTGAAATTTATTTCCACGATGTGTAACAGAGGGGTATTGAATACCACGAGAAACAGTCCGACGATAAAAATAATATGATCGTAACAATGTAGTGTTTTACACGCGAAAAATACACATTGATTTTCATTCGGATTGCATTTGTCGCGCTTATTAAAAACACTGTATTGTTACGGTAAATATTACTTCATTTTTCGACGGTTTCTTATAAATTTAAATCTCCTAATGTTAAACATCATGACAAATCACTAGACGAAAATTCAACTTAAAACATAGTATTTCTGGAGTTGTTGCCCCCCAAACTCGTTTGGTGGCGGATAATTATCGAGACCACTATTTATGTGGCGCGCCCTCTATTACATAAAAAAATATTGGTGCGGATGCTGCACTATTGAACAAAAAATAACAACTCAGTTTCCGATCAATAACTCAAGAAATTCAAGATGTATTAAACTGAAATTTCGTGCAATTAATTTCCACGATGTGTCACAGAGGGGTATCGAATATTACGAGAAACAGTCCAACGATAAAAATAATATGATCGTAACAATGTAGTGTTTTTACACACGAAAAATACACTTTGATTTTCATTCGGATTGCATTTGTTGCGCTTAAGTAATATTTTCATGTTCCACAAGTGCCAAGGCATCAATACAAACTACTTTCATTTTCTCCTCTCGTTGCAACGGTATCAGCGAAAAGGAAAAAGAGGGGGTGACGGCCACGCCCTCCGCGCTTTTAGGGCCGCTCTTATAAGTTAATTAGTCTGATCTAAATTGCTCTTAAGTTATATTTCCATAATCTACAAGTTCCAAACTATCAAAGGATACCGGTTTCGTTCTTGTTCTCAAAATTTTGATTCATTGCAAAATTTGCCACATTTGGCATGTCGCCAATAGGCCTTTGTCTAATCTATCGAAACTTTAGACTGGCCATTCTATGATCATCAGAGTCGATAAAACTATACTTTTAAGACAATCAGGGGATTTGTTCCTGAAATTTTGATTCAACCCTATCCAGCTCTCAGTCTAAAGTGTGGCCTAGTTATTTACGGAGGTAGTCCAGTAAATCGGCCACATTTTATGGGGCTAGGAGCAAGTTTTTAAGGGACACTGCAATGGCAACTAAACTTGGGAGAACCGTCATTCATCTTGAACCACGTAGAATCATTATGTACAAAGTGTGCAATTGTACTTTAGTCATTCAGGTGACCAATATATTTTCACAGGCAGCAACAATGACTCCGTCAGCCTATTGAGTCTTGAACAAACTATTGAGTCTAGCATTTAACAGGTCACGGGGCTAATGATTATTTCATTTGGGGGGGGGGGGGGCCTCCACACCCCCATACCCTCTTTTTATTGCTTCACCTCTGGTACAAAGGCAAGCGTTTCATCATATTTTTCTAATCAAAAAACATTCTCATTGTTGTCATTTTCAGGTACTGTATACCAAGGCAGCGTCAACCACTACACCCAAACAGATGTCATGCAGTCATCATCAGTTTTTTTTTTAAACAGTACATTTATATTGAAGAGGATATCATTTCTGGGAAGGAGGTCATAAGAATGACACTTGGATTATGGAGTACCCCGGCCCCATGTCCGGGGCCGGGGTACTCCATAGAACTTGGCCATAGGCTTTCTGTAATTGAGATTAAATATATACTGGTAATGCCCCTTCAATTTTCTGGTAACTTTAATTAAATAGCAAGTTACTAAAACCAAAGATACCAAAAAACAAACAAACAATAATTCCCCCTTTTATTAAATTGAAGCTGCAATAAAGCTGAATGCTATCAAACATATTTGTATGTCGCATTCATCACCTAGTAGATTTAATACAGTTTAAAGCTAGAGTCCATCATTTGCAGCCATCCGAAAAGTAACTGGCGTAATTATTGTTGAAAAACAAACTTGGTTGAAAGATAGTAAGGGAACTAAACTCCCTGTGATGTTATTCTTTCTGGGAAGCTGTCATTTTGAAGTAATCAACGAAAGAAGGCATTTCCAACGGTGATTCTTAAGAAGCACCGTAGGAAAATTTAAATTAGTAGTTCGTTTTGTTATTCAGCGCAGCGCGCACAAGTATTGGAACAACGCACACGCGCGCGCGGTTGTTGTAATTCGTCGGATTAGTGCGCGACGTCGCGTATAGCTGCAATTCAAAACAATTCAAAACATGATTCAGTAACTTTTGATTTGAAATTGAGATCTTAGAATGTTGTTTTTCTCGGAATGTGCAGCTGAAGCTTAGCTGAAACTTCATCAGGTTAGTTGCTCAGTATCCTTCATTAGATTTTGAACCCTCTTGTTGCTTCAAACGAACAAAATGCACAAATTACAAATGATGGACTGTAGCTTTAAAATGTAACAAATGTATAAAAAGGCAGCTTTTATTCCATGATGGCTTCGATATAACTTTAATGCAACTGCAGATACAAATAAAAAGTATTGTTTTTAAATAAATGTCATGAATGGGAAAGCATTTTTGTGTCTTGTCCACTGTCCAGCTTAATTGTGTAGTATATCAGCCAATTGATGTAATGAATATTTAAGAGCATTTACAGCCAAACTGTGCAAGTATGGCACGGGGGAGGGGGGGATATCCAGATTCGGATTCAGCACCCTCGAATCATCTTATATCAGCTATTTGCAAGTTGCCTAAAAAGTTTAAGTTGAAAGTCATTTTCTAGGCCGTCAGTTGACGGCCTATTAACATCATTGCCTTGTTTTCAAGCTTTTTGAGTCAAGAAAAAACAGGGGATGAGTGACCACTGATAAAAATAGCTAAAAACAGCTGAAAAAGGTGTAAAAAATGCTGAACTATGGAAATCTCCAATACTTTTGTACACAGCAAGTGAGGGGAAAAAGCTGAAATCCAAAACAAAAAAAAGCTGAAATCAGCTTAAGCTGAGATTTCACATCCCTGAAAAAAGAAGATGCATATGTTGCGGGTTTCTCAAAAAGTATCTATATACTAAGCAAATGTCGACAGCTTTCGATCAGACTTATTGTAATGTTGTTCCTTGAGTCTGAAAAAAAAACCACGCTTTTTCAAATGTGTTCATGACCTTTAAAGACTTAGCAGACATTGCAGTGAACCACACAAAATAAATGAAATAACTCAGGATAATTTATTCTTAAATTTACAAAATACTGTGAACAAAATGCCGATTTGTGTTTACACAAATAATTACTTAACTTTACACACCTGTGGAAATGCAACCTACATCAATTTCAAAGCAATAATTACCGAAAAGGATATTCCAATAGACATTCCAATAGACTTGCGCACATAAACCAAAAAAAAAACAACAACTAAAAACTCCTTCCATAACCCCATTTGAATATACACCCCCCCCCCCCAAATCGTTTTAAGCATTTTGTGACGATAACATTTTGTTCTATAGAACGGTATTTAAAGCATTGGGAGACACTAAAAATGTGTGTCTCTAAGGCCAAAAAAAAAAAAATACCTCGGTCTCTGGTCAGCGCATGCGTCTTTTTTAATCATGCGCGTCAACCTTTTTTTCCCTTCAAATTAACACAGAAGCTACAACAGCGCCCTCTACTGCCGCACCTTCTCAAATTTTTGTACCAAGGAGCACCAAGGAATTGGGAAATTGCACCAAGGCAAATGATAAAGGGCACTAATGCAAATTATGGAGGACACCAATGTATAATTAGGACACCAAAAAGCAAAATAGTACCCGCCTTATCTGTACAATTCAGGCTTGAAAAAAAAACACAAAAAAAAACACAAAAAAAACCGCGTCGCCGCATCAATTCCGAAATTTCGGTCTGACCAGAGACCGATTTTTTTTTTTTTTTTGGCCTAATGTTAAATAACTTACTACAAAGCGTGTCCGTGTATCGATCTGTGCAACAAGGTCACAACTCCATTCTGCAACAAAGTCGTATCTCGACGTCCATTGACTTTGTGTGTACATCCGGTTTACTTTAAGTGATATACATACACAACCTTTTAACATTCTGAAACTTGTACGGCTCATTTCAAGAGATACGACCTTGTTGCACGTACACGACAACATTTTAAGTGTCTCTGTAAGGTGCATGTACCACTAAATTTTGGAATTCAAATATGATACATTCAAATAATATTTTTTTTTTTTACGAAATAGATTTTATCACAGATCATTCTGAAAAGACTTCACTTAATTCTCCACAATGCAAAGCAAAAGCGACACCACCATATTTGTCCATTGCACAATAGTCAATACAGTTGTAACAAAATACTTTAAACATCTGGTACCATAAAATGTATGGGTTCTTTTACGAGGCATATACATTGTAACAAAATACCTCCAATGACTGTGGGGGCGGGAAAAATACTTTCAATGCATGCTCAGAGATCTAGTTACCACAAACCATAAATGCACCGTAAAACCTCACACACAAAATATACATGTATTCACAAATGTCACGTTCCTTGCCGTCTTATTGTAAACCAATAGAAAAACACTATAAAATTATATCACTAAAGCCGCCCCCCCTCCAAAATAAACCCTAAAACCTATTAAGAACCATTTTACAAATACTTTGTGGTAAAGACTTTCTGTGAGAAAACCCCCAAAAATCCTAATTTCATCTTAATGTCAAAATGATCATCTAAGTTAAATAGCAATCATAGAAATATGTACTGTGCGTAAGTTAGTGGTTTTCTCCACATAAGAATACATGTACATGTACAAATGTATATGTCTTTAAACTTATTAAGAGTAAACTGTCAGTTTTAAGGTATGAATATTTTGTAAATGGTGATGGACCTTTTGTTTTATTGTTTGTTATATTTTGGATTTTACAGTTATATAGCTTTTAAAAAAGTACATGTACAATTCTTTCCGTATTTTATTATTCTTTTGCTGATTGCACACACCAGAGAACACATTTCATGTAATTTTTAAGTGACAATTAAATTTGAACATTGAGTTTATGTGTGTGCCTTTCACAAGAAATGGTCCCAATGTTGTGGATCTGCTAGCCATGGAATTCTGTGCTTTTGCTGTCAGCACTCTTTGCTTAAAAGGTTTAAAAATGTTGCAACCTGACGCCACATTTTCCTTCATGTATCATCTCAATGAAGGTCATTCTTGCAAAAATGATGATAAGACATGGATCTGGGACTGAGAAACATTTCCAATTTTGTCATGTTTGTTTGGAAATACTTTCTTGACTCTCCATAGACTTTGTACACAATCGGGGAAGTGTCGTCAGGCTTCAACATTTTTCCCTTAAAAGTAATATACATGTATATATACAACATTTCCAAACATCAAAAAACAAAACTACCAAATTTTTATGAAATACCTCACTTGACTGTCAGTGAATAATAGTTTCAAGCATCCTGTGAAATCATGGCACCTGGTGTGCTGTCTTTCTCAAGAAAAGTGGAATTTTGTATCAATCTCCAACGATGGTCGACCGACCATCGTTGGCAAAAACAACCAGCCTGGTGCAAGCCAGCTAGTCTGGTTCCCTGACCTGAAAATTGCTCTGTTTTGTCTGAAGTAGGGTCAGGGTTTTTCCAGCATGTAGGAACATAAAACTTAAAACAGGTCAGTGTAGCAATATTTGCTATAAAATACTTACCCCCAAATCCATCAATTACAGCAAAAGTAAATGTTGTTTATTACATTTAAAGGGAAAATACAACATTTGCAAACATCGAAAAATAAAATGACCAAGATTTTACGAAATACCTTACAGGATGTTGGTAAATGACAGTCTAAAGCATCCTGTAAAATTATGGCACCTGGTGTGAAGTCATTTTCAAGATAATTGTATTTTTGTTTACATTTCCAACGGTGGTCGGCCGACCACCGTAGGAAAAACCTAACTATTTTTTACTACTGCTCCAAATTTACCATTTTTTCAGTCCAATTTTGTTTGCTAATTGGTTTTATGTTCATGAATGGGTGCAGGTCAGCTAGACTGGTTCCCTTAGCGTACAATTTTCCGGCATCTGTAAATTGATCCATTTCATCTTCAGTGGAGTCAGGGAACCAGACTACTTGAAATTTTTTGTTTTTTTGGGGTTTTTCCAGCATTTTCGAAAACAAAACTTCAAACATGTCAGTGTAACAATAATTTGATGTATTATACTAACCCCTCAAATAATTCATTTCTGAAAATTTAAGTATAAGCCAATGATGTACATTCCCTTTAAAGCTCACGCATTGACCTTCAATGCTTGAACTGTGCAAGCACAGAATCCTTAGCTACGAGATGTACGCGCATGAGCCAAAGCCCAACAATTCCATAACTGATTGAACATGCATGTACATGGATATAGCACCATGGAGTTCTTATTCCTCCATGGTAGCACGTACATGTAGCACACACTCAAATAACATTACATGTATAACACATCACCCACAGATTCTGTTATCTTGATTTAGTACTATACCCGTAGCAACCAAAGTACTTTACCCATAGCAACCAAAGTACTATACGCATAAGGCCAAAAAAAAAAATATTCGGTCTCTGGTCAGACCAAAGTTCCGGAATTGACGCGGCAACGCGGCTTTTATTTTTTTTGGCTTTTTTTCTTTATTTCTTCAAGCTTGGATTGTACAGACAAGGTGGGTACTATTTTGCTTTTTTGGTTTCCTCATGTACATTGGTGTCCTCCATAGTTTGCCTTGGTGCTTTCGATCATTTGCCTTGGTGCAATTTCCCATTCCTTGGTGCTCTTTGGTAAAAAAAAATGAGGGGGTGCGGAAATAGAGGGCGCTGTTGGAGCTACCGCGGAACATTTTGAAAAAAAAAAAAAGATCGACGCGCATGATTAAAATCGACGCGCGTGCTGACCAGAGACCAACTTATTATTTTTTTTGCCTAACACCCGGTACTGTGTGCAACGGGTGTGCGTGTTGCACATATTGTTCCCAAGAGCTAGCACTACAGAGCTAGGTTCAAACATTTCATGAAGAGGTAGTTTGTTTGGAAGTAGAAATACAATGTACATTTTAATTGTATTTAGATTAAATTAATCATTTATCTCTTAAAAATCAAGCAGAATCTGTGGGAGAGGTGTTATAAAGTAAATACTGACTGCTTTGTCTCGTGGTATAGTAAAATAGCCTTCCTGGGTGATCCTTGGAGCATTCCATTCCATTTTCCCTCGGCAAAGTAGAATGCTTCATGGATCACCTCGGGAGGCTGTTGCAAAGACATTTCTTTTGACATGGCAACGGTGTACCATTGACCAATCACCATAAACTTTATAGTCAAGGGTAAAAGGTAGAAATTGATGATTTGGGGTATATTTTTCTCATCAAAAAATTAGGGTAGGGGCTGTCAGAATAGGGTAGGTAGGGAAACCGGAAGCAGAACTATTATTGTTTTTGGCCTGAGCATAAACAACACAAGGTCTGGCCTGAGACCTTGACACAGTGCATCCTCCAAAATCAGCCCCACCTTTTTACTACCTCGGCCTCAATCCTCCAAAATCCTCCGTTTTGCAAAGAGGATTTTGGAGGATTTGAGAAGGTTAGGGTTAATAACACTTTTAAGCAATTAAACAAGGCTTCTTGCTCTCCCCATGATATTTTCAATTTTCACCCCAAAATAAATTTCTTCTAAGTGCTTTTTTTGCAAGCACTAACTTATTTCTTTGAATGAGGAATTGAACAAACCAAAAATATCCTACAAAACTCTTTTTCCTTGGAGTGCCATTTCAAGACGATTACAGCGCAGAGTACAAGACGTTGGATTCAACCACCTGACACCTTGGGAAACCCTCGCACACGTCTTCATAGTACGGCTGGAACTTGTTTACCACGTTGACCAGGGGCCACATGACAAAGGATCCAATCAGTGAGCCGATCTGGGTGACGCCGCCATACCAGATCAGCAGGCTACGGTTCCCCGGTTGGGTCCGCAGGATCCAGGCAATGGTGGCTCTGGTGTAGATGAAGAAACCCATCATCGTTATCCAGGCTAGGATCTGTAAGGGTTGCGAAGATGATTAGGCTTCATTATTTTTATTCAATCCAGAGTAATTTGCAACCGTCAAGATTCATTACAGTGAATCTTGTACTAAAATGAGGCCAGTTTTCTTGTCACATCATGAGAAAACTTTGTTGGTAGACATTAACCCCAACAATCCCCATCCAGTCAAACTCCAACACCAGGGTTTGTTGGAGTCTGTTGGAGTGAGTACTGCACTAGTAAACTGATTATGCTTTACATGGGGGCAGGCATACCATCATAATCAGAGTCCAACAGTTTGGGTGTTGAGTAATGCATTGTACATGTACCATATGGTGTTGGAATTTGCAGGAATGAGGAAGGTTCCTTGGGTAAACTTCACTCAAGGGGTTAGAGTTTAAGAAACATGTTTCATTTTCTACCTCAAAACTCAACAGTTATACTGAAACACATGTTTTTGCTGGGTTTTTTTTGGGGGGGGGGGGGGAAGGTAAAGACTGATATGAACATGACTCATTTCCATCAAGGGTTTTGTATGCATTTGGGTTGATCTTCCTTTGGCCTTTCTGTATTCACCTTTCTCAAAACTACTTGAATTATTGGCAAGGATGTTCTGATATTTAAAAATTGGGAGGGGGTGGGAGGGAGACCTCAGAGGATAAATCTTCTCCCCCAGGGTTTGTGTTCCTGGGTCAGACTGATGACAGACTGCACAAGCCTGGATCCCATTACCTTCAGCGTTGTGCAATGAGAAAATTCAAATAGTGATAACATTTATGTATGCAAAGATCAACTTACGATTAATGCACTGCCTATGGGTTCATGCTGTAGGGGTGGTGTAGGGCTGAGAACTGCCGTCAGCATGCAATACGCACCGACCGCCGTACCGCACAGCGTCGTCGCCCCAACCAAGGCCAGATTCGTGGACGGCACCAGCATGACTAAAGTAGCAGCCATCGGGTTGGCAATGTTTGCTAGCGTAGAGGCGAGCAGGTAGGTGTTGAGACCGTAAGGGCCGCAGGAGAAAGACTGAATGGACGGCAGGGCACCGTTACTGAGAGAACAGACAAAACACAGCACTGCAAAGAGGTAGACCCGCTGTCTTTTGCTCAGGACTCTGTAGTCTGTGGGAGCTTTGCTGCCAGTGCCATCCTCTGTGTTTTCCGGATTCTCCTGGGGCACTGGGAGTACGTCTACACTTAGATCTTCATCCCCAGGGTTGGTAGGGGGCAGTTTGTCAGTTCGGTGGGTGACGAGTGTGTGACTCTCTGAGGAGGTGGATGAACCTGTTGTGGAAGTTGATGCTGACGCAGGACGAGTGTAGATGTGTTCCTGCTTGGCCAGTGGAAGGTAATTGAGGGAGGTGAAGGCGATGCCACATGTGAGCATCATTGCAAAGAGGAAGCCAAAGAAATCCTGGGGAGGGAAACGAGCGGGCGAGTCTCTGCTGATCCAGTTGGTGCAATTCTGCAGGATGGTCTCGTTACCGACCGTGGTCCGGTTGATGTAGGTACCGTTGGCCACACACTCCACACTGCCGACTCCTTGGATAAGCGCCATCACGCTGGGGAGCAGGGAGCTCAGGCCTTCCCCGATGAAGTACCAGGTCAGGTAGGAGCTCTTGAGCAGGGACATGAAGGGCGTGAAGGCCACCGAGGAGGTGCAGTCAACGATGGACAGGAAGAAAGCCAGGACCAGCAGAGCGGTGCTGTGAAGTTTGCCATCAACCTGCCACACTGTGTAACGATCCCAGAAGAAGATGAGCAGCAGGGAGGAGATGCAACCCAGTGTGACGATGATGAAGACGGTAGGGATCTCAATCCGCTTGTCCTTCATCAGGAAATAGTGGGTCAGGGAGAAAGCCAAGGGTCCAACGTTGGCAAGCTGGATGATCACCGTCAGGTACGAGGCTAGGTTGTAGTTCTCGGGGATGTTGAGGGAGACTAGGAGTGGGAGCTCCACCCAAAGGCCGTTGATGGCGATCCAGGACCCGACACCAAACAAGGTGGTCAACAGGACCACGGGGACGCGGACTCTTAAGGGACTCTTCACTTGAACTGTTTCCATCGTGGCGACGGTGGCGGTCACTGTGGACTTGCTTAGGAGAGGCTCTTCTTCATGTGTTTCATGGATCATGAACCTGGATTGATGTCTGTGCTAGTTGGGCATGAAGCCAACTAGCTGGGCAGTCTATCTGTAAAGAAAGCAACAGTAGACTGTAGCCTTGTGTAAAATAAGTCAATGTAAAATAACCAGTTACTGTACATTACGAATTGTAATATGAGTCAGCACATGTACATCATTATTCTATACCTACATGATTTCCTAATCCTTTATTTTATGTAAAATGCCGGAGTCTGGGAGCATTTTAGTGGATTTTGCAACATCAAAATTAAGTAAATGTACATGTATTGTTATATTGTGTGCAGTTGTATACTGTACAGTAAACTCCAGCCCAGTCAACATCGCACAAGTCGTCAAATCGCTCAAATCGGCTGTCTAACTGTCTGTAATGCATTTGCATTGAATTTTTTATTTCTAAGTCGGCTTTAATAAGTCGCCATTTCGCTCAAGTCGTCGTGTTACTCTCGGTTCCCTTTCCATAAAAAGCACAACAAAATCCTTTGTGTAAGTTGGCACTTCCTGCACTGGGGTTGGCAAGAAGTGTCGAATGAAAAGTGGTTTGGCGCGGCCCCTGATCGCTGCATCGGTACGGTTCGTGGTGTCGCTGCACAGCCAAGCCAAGGCCAGCCAAGGGGTTCACTGCATGTATTGTGAGCATGTATCATCAATACCAATACCAGTACCCCTTCTAGGCCTATACGCATGCACTCTGTCCATTTTGGGTGTCGTCTTATTGAATGATGCAGTCAATACCACGCACGCATTTAATTCGTTAACTGTACACGTACATGTATGTATTACTATTTTGTTCACGTGGTCTCCACTATCATGACTATCAATACCCCAGCCCGTGATGATAACATTTGAGGATTATTTCGCTGGAATCAACTCAACTTAAGCATTAAGGAGATAAACCAGGGTAACTCGAAGCCAATTAGTGCAATGAATCGTATGTGCAAAAAGGCCGTTCATGTAAGTCGGCAAAATGATGACATACAATAGATGTCGGCATTCGCGTAAGTCGTCACAAATTCTCGGGTCCCGAGAGTGCCGACTTAGCCCGAGTTTACTGTATTTTCATTGCTTTGAGAACTGTCCCGTCTGGGGAAAATGTCCATACTCGATCGTTGGTTAACCTCATACATGTACAATGCACATTGTCAGATTGTGCGCGCACATATGCGTACGCACTCGTGACTCGATTGAGAACCACACGCCAATGCTCCCCTACCTGCCTACACGATCATCACATGATCATCGGTAAGTGGGGCAACAGTAGAGGGTGGCGGCGCGACAGTAGAAAGAGGACTTGTTAAATGTGATGATCATTGGTAAGTGGGGCGACACGAGAGGGTGGTGGCGCGACAGTAGAAAGAGGACTTGTTAAATGTGATGATCATCGGTAAGTGGGGCGACACTAGAGGGTGGTGGCGCGACAGTAGAAAGAGGAGTATTCCACTCAACGTGAATACGTACCGTGATATATTACTCATGAGCTTCTAGTGACGTCATATTTATGCATATTCATTACTCGCTCCGCTCTCGAACCTTTTTATGCTACCGAGCATGTCAGCTGGAGCTGGAGTTACTCAAGCTAGTTCAGTTGATTCCTAAATTTTAAAATTAAGGCAGTGTATATTTTGCCGGAGACGGCAAACCTTTAGTAAACGTTAGTTTGCTGGATGCACTGAACATGCGCAGTTACTGTTTTTTTGTACTTTTTTGTACTGTACGGTTTTTTTTGACAAATTTTAGTCTGGCTCCATGCCAAAATTATCGTTGTAACCTCTTATTCACAAGATGGGATTCAGACCATTTTATAATTTCGGACTTTATTTCCCTTTTAAAAAAAATCCTCCAGAGCCACAAATCTGAAAAAGAAAATGTAATACTTTGCAAAAAAATGTTTGAGACATGTTAAAATAATAAAAGAAGAATATTCTTATTTATTTGGGGGATGAGAAAAAAAACCTTTAAAATGTGGTGCGATCGGAATCGAACCCGAGTCATCCTGCTTACTAGAGCCTTTGCTTAACCACTACACCGAACGCGCTACACAACTTTTGGTGGGAATTTAATACATCTTATAATTCAGCCCTATCTTAAAGAGTACAGCGCCCTCTGTTGATATGGATTGCCGCCGGCAAACCTTTAGTAATCATTAGTTTGCCGTCATTACCTCCGGCAAAATATCCACTATCTAAAATTAAAAGTGCGCATGGGTGGAAAGTTAGCCGATAAGTCGTGTAGGTTCCCGAAAAATTGCGACTTACCAGCAAAAAAAACCCCTTTCCATCTGCGATTCTGAGTACATAAATGATAAAGACATAGGCTTAAGCCTTAAACATGACAAAAAACAACACGCAATTTCAGAGCAAGAGGTTGCTGCTGTCGCTGATGACGTAACATACAGAAAAGCAACAAAAGAGGGCGCTATTGCCGGCACAGTCGATCGAGCGCGAGCGTGACTAGACTCGACTCAACTAAACTCGCGTCGTCGGGGTCGAGCGAATTTCGAATCTGGAAAAGAATGGAAAGTAGACAAAAGTCATCTCTGTGATCTTTGTGATCAGTGGTGGTGATCTTCGTGACCTTCGTGATCTTCGATTACACGATAAAGAGTCAGCAACGAGTTAAATCGGTAGGAGTACGCAAGTGAGTATAAAATTCCTGATAGTGATAGGCCTAATCAACAATAGCTTGAGAAGTTGAGACTCCAGCTGACATTCACCACATAAGTTGTGTTTAACAATCGCATTCAGTTGTACTTTGGTTTGGTCTGTCTGTATGTATAGTTGGTGTAAAATTTGTCTAACATGTCTAATACTTAATAGCATGCCAAAAGTTTGTGTACAAACGATAACGGATTAATGTGCTTGGCAGGTATGGTCTGGGCATTTTAGTCGATAGGCAACTTGCGTTTAAAAACAATACGACCAGATTAGGGGAGACCTCGCTCTTGAAATGCCAGTCCAATGTTGAATTCATTAATTTCATCAATCAATGAAAAAAATGTGGGGGGGGGGGGGATTTCATGCCCCCACTTTGTATATTGGCCAGATGATTTGGGTCCAGTTTAGCATTCTAGAAGTAGGTAAAAGAAGGAATGCATTAATCGTTATTTAATTTGTTTATTTATTTTATATTTAAATTTTTTTCCTTTTTCACAACCATAAAAGTTACCATGTTTACAAACCCCTTGTTAATATTTAATAAACTAGTTATTGAAATAAATAATTTATTTTGAATTAATGGAAATTTGGATCTGTAATATGAAATCCTACTTGAAACACGGATATTCTCAATGATGCGCAATTCAGAATATTTTACAACTTGGTTAAAAAGTGTTGGGAAAAGGTTGGATTTTGGATGTCAACTGCCTGTTTAAGATAGAGATTTACGGTAGCACCATGTAGCAAATCACTTTGGTGAGTTTGTGAGGTTCTGAAAAGAACCGGAAAAAACTCAACGTCGTTCGTTTTGCCTGCTTGCAAAGGCTAGTCCTAAAATAATGAATGTTTATGAGTGCAATGGTAAGAATAATTTCATGTGGTGACAAATGGAATGTTCCATTCCAAGAGGGAAAGCCAAGTGGAATGGAACATTCCATCTGAAGCATTCCTTATTTGTTTGATACAATGCCTGAACACCAATTGTGACCTTGCAATTGAACTTCTTATTACCATGGAATGGAACTTTTATTTGCGCGGTGCAGCTCGGCCGGCTGTTGGCTGGGACGAATAATTCAATGACATGTGATAAACGACCCACCAATCAGATGACAGGCCTTTACTCAGGCGTTGTATAAATACAAAATATCCTTCGTTGCACCACGGCACATGGGCCTATTCACGAGTCGGCCACATGAATTGAAAGTGAGGTACATGTAAAACCTTCATTTTTGGAACTTGCGAAGGGAAATGAAAGCAAGTACATGACTGAATCATTCAAGTCCGCTTAAAATGAATAATTTAAAATTTGTAATTAAACATTCCCTGATGTTTTACGCCAGATTTGGGAAAAATCTGGAAAGTAAAATAAGGCTGCAGTCTCGCGCCATCCCATTCAACAGTTAACAATTCATGAAATGCATTCAGGTAACACGACAAAAATGGCTACCTCGTGAATAAGGTCCATTACAGTTTTTCAAGTCATGTTGGGCTGACATTCCTGCTTTGAAATGTTTCCTTTGGCAGGAAATTACAGAGAGAGATCCCACTTCCTTTAAACAATTTCCGGTGAGAGTGAATTGAAAGAACTAAGGCTGCCCCAGTGCCCACTCCAAAATGTCCGTCCAGCGTGCCAAACGTAGGAAACTCTCCGAGGAGTTTCTACCGTCACAGGACAATTCGACCAGCCAACCAGACAACCATTTTGATTTTGCTGACTTTGAGAATTGGACACCGCACGTCATCTGCAAGTATCTAACAGCTAAAGGATTTGCTAATGAAGCACAGTTGTTTAAAAGTAAGGAGAAAACATTATATTCAATAAATATGTTCTTGATTTTACCAGAAACGCTTACATGTACTTGTGTTTGTATACAGTATACAAGCCTTCCAAAAAAACCACAAAAATCCTCATCAATTGTCATGAACCACTACCATGACTGCTGGTTCCATATGGTTAAATTGTGGTTAGGCCTTATTCACGTGTCGGCCATATTAAATTGAAAGCGAGGTTGAAAATCTTCATTTTTGGAACTTGCAAATAGAAATGAAAGTAATGAAATAAAAGTAATGACAAATTAATACCAGAAAAACAACCAGATTTGGGTCTTAACGCTAGTAAATTGAGAAATAAAAGTGATGTTTGCTTGATGAACAGAACAAGAAATATCTGGCAAAGTTATGGACAAGCTGACAGAAGAATTGCTCCACAAGAAGATTGGTGTGAGGTAAGACAAAAATAACCCTTTTGTATCGGTCTAAAGAAACATTGATTAATTTTAAGACATGTAATTGATTTGTGTATTATAAAAATAAGTTTGTTGTTGCACCATGTGAATTGGAATCAGTTTTGGGAGTCTTCTGACGACGAGCAGATTAAACGGCGGTGCACCGGGGGGGGGGGGGGGGGGGGAGTTCCAGCCCGACCCCACCCCCCCCCCCCCTTGATTCGCTGATTATTTAGGCAAGACAATCTTATTTTGACTGCTAGATTTTAGTCCCACGATTTGACCTTGGTGATATATACATGTATGTGGCCTATTTTCGAGTAGTGTAATATGGGTGTAAATGCACCAACGTCAGCAGCAAGTTGGAATAATTAAACATAAATTATTTGCCTATTGTGCAAACCTTCAAATGTGCTTTACATCGTGGCTTTTTATGCTGTCTTTTTTTTGTATGACATTTTCCATCATACTCTCAGGGTTTTGGGGAAACGCTTAGAGTTACTTCAAGAATTCCAGAATCTGAAGAAATTGCGTGACAATGCCAGGCCCAAAGTCTTTCTAGATTCACTCAAGGTAAGTTAATACCTCATCTGAATCGGGTATGATCACTCATATGTCCTAACCCTGCTGAATCCAACAGGATCCAACTGTGTCATATACCCGATTGAGCCTGTTGGATTGAGCAGTTAACCCCTCGTGTACATTAATGCAAAATGTTGGATTCAGCAGGCAACTGAACAGCGTTATAACGCCATGTTGGACTCCTTTGGAATCGGCAGACAAATGAAAATGAGGCACGGTGGATTTAGCAAGAAACTCCGGTTGGACTCTGTTGGATTTGGCAGGGTAGTCCTGAGGAACTACTAGGGGTTAGGGTTAATTTATGTGATTGCTTTATGGAGGACTCTGTCGTGTTGTGTATAACTGTAGAACTTTGCACGAAAAAAAATAGTTAAATTTGCACCTCATGAAATGGCTGCTGAAACTTTCCGTTATTTTTAACCCACCAATTGACTGCTTTATCTCGTGGTGTAGGTAAACCAGCCTCCCTCGTTGATCCATGGAGCATTTTAATTTCCCTCGGCTTTGCTGCGTGACAAAATGCTCAATGCTTCTCAGGGGGCTAGTTTTACTACACCACTCGCAGCAGTCAATATACTTGTATAAGCTTTCCAGTCCTACAGTGTTTTAATGTGTTGTCACTGTGTTCATGATTTTTGTCATATTAGGTATTTAACGACCCAATCCATGGACATATTGAGGTGCATCCACTCTGCGTTCAAATCATCGACACCCCACAATTCCAGAGGTTGCGGTACATCAAACAGCTGGGCTGCAGCTACCTAGTCTTCCCTGGTGCAGCGCACAATAGATTTGAGCATTCATTAGGGTAAGAAGCAGCTTGAGACGGAGACTAATTTCATGCACAGACGATAGAACAGTGGACCCGCTTCAGTGGACCGCTTAACTGAACTAAAATTAGCTGAACATACCAAACCGAACCGAACCGAGCTGAATTGTTTAGTTGAGGATGTTTGGAAACACGATTTTTAGTGACGCATATTTTTTAAGAGTGCAATCAAAATAATCAAAACTTGAAAAAATAGATTATCAAATTTTACGTGTACTTAAAATAAAATAATATTTTAGGATGACAGTATCGACTTAAAATGAAGGAAATTCTCAACAATTTTACAAGAACTGGCTGACCTATGAAAGCTTAATAGGGTGAGCAGACAATAAACAATACGTTTTTCTTTTTCCATTAGAGTGAGTCACTTGGCAGGGATATTATGTCGGACTCTGCAGGAAAGGCAGCAAGACCTGAACATCACAGAGAAAGACATCCTTTGTGTTGAAATTGCGGGTCTCTGCCATGACTTGGGTAAGTATGCAAATTATGAACGTTTGTGAGTGCAATGGTTAAAGCTACAGTCCATCATTTGTAATTTGTGCATTTTGTTCGTTTGAAGCAACAAAAGAGTTCAAAATCTAATGAAGGATACTGAGCAACTAACCTGATAAAGTTTCAGCTAAGCTTCAGCTGTACATTCCGAGAAAAACAGCATTCTAAGATCTCAATTTCAAATCAAAAGTTACTGAATCATGTTTTGAATTGTTTTGAATTGCAGCTATACGCGACGTCGCGCACTGATCCGACGAATTATAACAACCGCGCGCGTGTGTGCGTCGTTCGAATACTTGTGCGCGCTGCGCTGAATAACAAAACGAACTACTAATTTAAATTTTCCTACGGTGCTTCTCAAGAATCACCGTTGGAAATGCCTTCTTTCGTTGATTACTTCAAAATGACAGCTTCCCAGAAAGAATAATTTCACAGGGAGTTTAGTTCCCTTACTATCTTTCAACCAAGTTTGTTTTTCAACAATAATTACGCCAGTTACTTTTCGGATGGCTGCAAATGATGGACTATAGCTTCAAAGAATAATTTCATTGAGGTGACAGATGGAATGTTCTATTCCACGAGGCGAAGTTCTATTTACCGTGGAAGAGAACTTCTATTTTTGTTGTTAGGCCGTGCCTCGCGTTGGGACGAATAATACAATGGTCGACGACCCACCAATGAGATGATGGGCATTTATTCAGGTGTTGTACAATGTTCATCGTTTGACTAGACTTGACGACAAGTCGTTAGATCTTCGTATTTTGTCCGTGAACTTCAGTCTAACTCCATCGGTGCTGCTGGTTTAAGACTAGTACACAATCGGCCGGGTTGCGACAAATCTAACGACTTGACGATTACGTTCTCGCACCATTATTCATATATGCAAGCAGCCCAATACATTATGCAGTGCATTTTGTGGTAAGATCCAATCGCGCACTACCAGCAAATGAGGACTCATTCATTCCGTTACACGGGTGGTTCTTCTCAATATGGTAAGGACATGTTTGCAGATCTGGTGACATATTATAACCAATACACTCAGCTTGGTCAGTAGTGTGTAGAAATAAAATGTATCATGGTTTTTTAGTCGTGTACATGTTTGCCCTATAATGAATTTTGTAATGTTACGCAACACAATGTATAAACCCTCGAAGTAATGAGAACGACCTTCCCTGGTGGCCTAGAATACACTCTGAAATCTGAACCAATCAGAGTGCTCGCATAGAATGCACTGCCGATTCAAAATACTCCCATAATGTTGTGTACAAAATTGAAAACGTTTTCACAAAGTTTGTAATTGGTCATCAGTAGTCAGCATCATTTGGTCTGGGATCCAGACTACGCGTATTGCAGCAATATTTAATGTGCGTGAAGCCAGTAACCGTACGTACAACTATTACTGACTTGGCACCAATGGCATCGTTCGACTGGTCTGAAAAGTCAGGCTTTCTTGCTTTACGCAGTTGAATATTCCCGTCATGTTACTTTCCATTCCTATTCAGGCCATGGTCCATTTTCCCACATGTTCGATCAGCTCTTCATTCCGGCCGTCAGACCAGATTCAAACTGGACGGTAAGTAAATACGACTAAACGCATCACCCCCATCAGAAAAAGAATAGGTTTTATATTTTATGGCTGCCTAAATGTATTTTGCTATGAGAGTACCATAAAGTTACGTGTACATGGTTTAACTTGAAGTTTGTACCTTCAAATTTTTGTGTGACTTTGCCACATTTTCCTTATTAAAAAAAATGTCAAAATTATTGAGGCAAACAAAACAGTCAGATATAACTACACATATTTACTAAGCATTAGTGTGTGCGTAGTGTGCAAAAAGTGTTACGAACACGCGTGTGTGTTGCTCGAAATTTCCTTGAAATACGGCGCAGCCAGTACACGTCACAAAAATTTGATGCCCAAAATGTTGATTCACGTCTGCACGTGGAAGTCTGTAGGAAGTGACATCATTTGAGAGAGACCTATTGTGCTTATTAATCTAGCAGACAAATTGCAGAATTTATGAAGCGAACATATTTTGAGTACTTGGAGGGCTCAGATGAATGCCATTGATACTATGATCATCCGTAAAAAGAAACTGTTTCACTTGGTGTTTGTTCTCTTTACAGCACGAGAAAGCCTCGATGGACATGTTTGACTATCTGATTGAAGCCAACCAACTGAAAGACGTCTTTGCCAAGTATGGCTTAGACGCCCAAGACATCAGTTTCATCAAGGAGCAAATTGCTGGGCCACAGGAGCAACATAATGTACGAACATAGTGCAGTACTGCCATACATAAGACCAGATGGGTTTTTTTTTTTTGGGGGGGGGGGGGGGAGCAGTGGGGTCCGTATTCTCTGAAGGAGGGGGGGGGGAAGAGATGTTAGTGGGTTGAGCATTCTCACTTGAATTTTCCCACCTGAAATTGTAGCTTCAAGCAAATTTAAAATGATGATTATTTTCTGTGTGGCAAATATTTTTCAGCATGGGGAGGGGGAAATTTCAGTCGTGGATGGGGGGGGGGGGGGGGGGGCTTGGGTACGCCTGGTGAGCATGGTGAGACAGCTGAGTTTTTCATTTATATTTGTATTCTCAATAAATACTGAAAGGTGTACATTTGGTGGAACCACACGTGAAAGCAAACGTGAAAGACGCTCAATACAAACCAAACCATACACACCAAAACATCGTTTCAACTTTGCTGGTCGTTACCGGAACCACTTCTAATTATTTTATAATAGTCTTTCTGGATTCTCACAGTCATGGAAAATCCTGGTATTTAAAGCTATCATGGAAAGCCACAGACAAATCATGAGATTTTGTTATTTTACAAGGGTCATGGAAAGTTGATATTGCCCCCAAAAAGTCGGGGAAAATTCATGGAATCCTACACAACCCATACGTGATGAAGCGTAATATTTGGCTATCGCGGTCTTCCAGTTTGCATTTCAGTTCACTATACTTCCTCTTTATGCATGTATGCTCTATACTTGTTGCATGTTCAATGCACCATTCTGATGCTTTTGTGGTGCTCAGTGGTCTTGTGTCAAACTGGAAGGCCGAACGGGAACATCCCTTTCCTCTTGTGATGACTGGCCAGTGTATTGTAAATAGGCTCCTATGCCAAAGCAGCATATTAATTGATCATGAAAAGCACTAATTTTGTCTATTCGTAAGATGGAATTTTTGCATCGGAGTGCTGTAAATCAAATTAGGATATGCCCTTCACCGACGTATAAACACTGCATACTCAGTGTGTTACCTCCCGAGTGAAAGTTGGAACAAAATCACCCGGATGGGACTCAAACCCACGACCTCCTGCTTTCTAGTGCAGATGTCTTACCACTCGACCACCGAGCTAACAGGATCAGTTGGCTGGTTTGAATCTAATGTACATAGCAGCGGGTACCGCATTAACTAATCATAAGATGCGTAATTTGATTAATTTTGTCTAGGAAAGTAAGTAAATTAAATTCTAGTTCGGTTTTTAATTGGGATTGTTGCTATTGTGTCTTGTTCTATTGTTAAGCTCTTTGAGGAATCTTTGATTCGTGTTGCATTATTATGAATGCTGTTTTATTTTTATCATCTCATTTTTTTTTCTCAGAAATCTTGGCCCTACAGAGGCCGTACCAAGGACAAGAGCTTCTTGTACGAGATTGTCGCCAACAAGCGTAACGGTATCGACGTGGACAAGTGGGACTACTTCTTGCGAGACTGCCACAACCTGGGCATCTCTAGCAGCTTTGACTGCCACCGATTCATGAAGTTCTCCCGAGTCATCGAGGTGGACGGCAAGAAGCAGATATGCGCCAGGGATAAGGTTGGTTTGGAATTCCAGCATCTGCATTGCAGTCGAGTCCTTTACATCTAAATCCAATCCACCAAGTACTCAGAATTGTATGAATTTAGTCTAAGTGAATATCATTGACTTGGTACTTTGAATTAGTTGAAATATGAGTTAGTCCCTTTCCCCCATATCGTAAGATTTTAAAATAGGCACTAAAGGAAACTTTGCAAACGTTTGTGATCTTTTTGGGTATAGCCAAGGTGAAATCGCCGGCAGCGTTCACGCAAGTGGTTCGCACCACAGTTTGTATTACATGTACCTAACAGGTGGAATTTTGGTCACACTAGGTGTTTCAGTGAATCCATGGTACCAGTACTTGATTGAATAAAAGTGTTGTTTTTTGGCTGTTCCCTATCCAGGAAGTGGGAAATTTGTACGACATGTTTCACACACGCAACAGCCTCCACCGCCGCGCCTACCAGCACAAGGTGAACAAGATCATCGAAAGCATGTGAGTTTGTGTCCAACATCTTGGAACAACCCTCAGTTCTTTTCAGTTTTTTTTCCGAAGCTGTTACTTGGTCCCCAGTCTCTTCCGCCATGTTGACAAGAAATCGCCGTTGCTTGTCAAAAAAAATCATTTGTTTTCATTAATTTCATTCTCTTCCAAGATATTTAAATTAAATTTAATTTTCGAAATGTTCCACTTGACCTTTAGTGGACTCAACATTTATTTCTTTTTTTGGTTGTTCCTTCAAATTTTGCTTTTTGATCTAGGCTGGTCCCCCGTCTCTCCCCCCATGTTGACAAGAAATCGCTGCTGCTTGTCCAAAGAAAACTTTTGTTTTCATTAATTTCATTCTCTTCCAAGATATTTAAATTAAAGGGAATGTACATCATTGGCTTTTGCTGTAATTTTCAGAAATGAACTATTTGGGGGGTTAGTATAATAGATCAAATATTGTTACACTGACATGTTTGAAGTTTTGTGTTCGAAAATGCTGGAAAAACCAAGAAAAACAAAAATATTCAAGTAGTCTGGTTCCCTGACTCCACTAAAGATGAAATGGATCAAACATACCAGAAAATTGTAAGGTAAGGGAACCAGTCTAGCTGGCCTGCACCTGTCCATGAACATGGAGCCAATAGCTAGCAAAACAAAATTTAGACTAAAAAAAAATGGTAAATTTGATGCAGTAATTGAAAGATAGTTAGGTTTTTCCAACGGTGGTCGGCCGACCAGCGTTGGAAATGTAGACAAATATACCATTTTCTTGAAAATGGCTTCACACCAGGTGCCATAATTTTACAGGATGCTTAAAAGCATGTCATTTACCAACCTCCTAGTAAGGTATTTCATAACAACTTGGTAGTTTTATTTTTCAATGTTTGCAAATGTTGTATTTTCCCTTTAAATTTAATTTTTGAAATGTTCCACTTGACCTTTAGTGGACTCAACATTTCTTTCTTTGGTTCCTTCAAATGTTACTTTTTGATCTAGGCTTGTTGAAGCATTAGTAAAGGCAAACGATCACTTCTTGGTCAAAGGAAAGGAAGGGTGAGTAGAAATAGCAACTGAATTTTTAAACAGGTTTAGGGCTGTGCCGAATATTCGGATATTCGGTTATTCGATCGATAAACGAATATTCGAATATTTATTTTCGAATAAGAATATTCGGTGGTGATATGCAATGAAATAAAAAGGTGAAAAAAACTTTATTTTTTAACAACAAAAGTGTATTCTCAAAGTTAAGTTTCAAGTTGCTGCCAAAAAAACCCATAAAAGTAGCTTGTATATATGCCAAGCAATAATGCCATACATATATTACTTCTGCTTTGGGAGTGCTTGCAGTAAAGCCAACCCATTTTTTTAACGCCGGACTGCAACACCAATCGCTGATGCTTCCGACAAGATAAACAAGACATTTTGTCTTTCATGTCTTCACAAAACACTTCCTGACACCTTTTCATATCAAACTTCTAGCATGAGTAGTAACGTTTCCGTTGTCCGTATTTTTGTTTGTTGTTGTCCTACTTACAATCCCTACTTTCAAAAGAAAACCGCCGCTGTTTTTCCCCGATGCGATCCTGGCAAGTTTCCCCGCGCGTTGGTGTTACATGTACATGTGTGCAGCATAGGAAAATGCAGCGTGGCATTGGAGAGGAGCACGTGTTAATTTGCCCACGTGCGCAGTGGGAGGGGCTTACTGGATCGGCTATTGACATCGCGAAAATGGCATGCCAACATCGATGTAGAAGACCTCTGCAATCTCATGCAAAGAACTTGATTTCTTTTTTCTGTGTGGGCCTTTGTATTTTCCGTTTTCATGTACTTATTTTGAGGACGTACTGCTCGCACAGGGTCGCACAAGAAGCGGTACATTACACTGATACAGCGAAGCCTATTCCCCCCAAGGTTTTCCATCGCCTGTTCAATCGTGTCGAATGCACGTGGTTATAGGGAATCGCCTTGCACGCAGTATGCTGCTCACAGCACGTGGCGGTGTTGTAGAAAACTTGTCATGAACCCCAACATTACATTAAAACGTTTTGAAAACCTTGGTTCATTTACGTTACGGACTCTGGGATTTTTCTAAAAGAATTTCTTGTTTACTTTTAGGGGTAAATTTATTATGGCTGTTAGATGTTCGCCTCAATGCCTCCGTAATTATAAACATGTACATGTACAAAATAATCTAGTTTTCTCAACTGATCAGAGCACCCTTTTATCGAACACATTTTCGTTCGCTCTTTGTTCGCTGGGTTAGTCTGCTAATTGCACCCAATATTTGCGCAAATAAAACATACATAAACACTTCAAAAACTAGTTCAGCAATTATACTTTCAGTAATAATAGCGGGAACCTCTGGCTTATGTCCTCCAAGTTGAGCAAAACGCAAGAAAAAGGGCAGACAACAGAGAGGATTTCAAACTCAAAAGAGCTCTCATTTATTTCGCCAGACAGACTTTGCGGTCAACTCACCGCACCGTACCCCTGATTCCCAGCATAGAAAACCCCAGCTAGACAAAATGTATCAAAATGTTGCAAGTTGGAATATCCAAACCTTTTAGTGGCCTATTTGTTAGAAATTTATCTCCAGAGCACGCACTTAGCCAGACAAAAGAACCGGGTCAGCGCACCTGTGCCCTAATTAGCCCGCCAACAATGCGCCCGCCGGAGCTCGGCTGGCGATTTTTAATTTTTTTTTGCTGAAATGTCACCCTTCGTGTTTTGGGTACACAGCTTATAATACATCCCCTGTGGGCAAACAAGGAAATACTGCTTTGCACGTGTCAAGCTGGGGCGTGTGTATGCCGCGCCCACGCCCATTATTTGCATAAACTTAAATATGCATTTACAATTCAAAGACCCATATTTCATTGAATAAAGACATTAAATATCATAGGTTTTTTTCTTGGAGTTTTTGGTTGTTGAGAATAAGTTTATTTAAAATGATATAAATTCATTTCCTCAATTCTTGGTGACAAAAGTGCGAGTTATTATTATAAAAGTGATTTTTTTATCCTCGATACTGTGACTAGGAAGTACACCGTTTTGTAGACTTCAAGAAGCTTCCAGTAATAGATATGCTCGGTTCCTGTTTGCGAGTTAAGGGTCGGAGAGTCACAATAGCTGACGCCACCCGCCGTGTTTGGGGTTCACGGCTTAATACGTCCCCCATGCAAACAAGGAATCCTTCACTCTAGCTTCTCTGGTTATTGTTAATCTTTAAATTACTGACGACTGAAGAACAACTGATTGTTGTCAAATACCTGACTTACCTGTGAAGAAATCATGCATGGCATGCTGACGTGCGCACGTACGTTGACTTCATGTACATGTATGGCATATTTTTGCTCTTGAGGGAATTTGGAATGGCCAAATAACCGAATATTCGAATATTCGTTCGATTGGAAGGTCGAATATTCGAATATTCAATTATTCAAATTGACTCAGCCCTAAACAGGTTCAGTGAATTTACGAACAAATGCAGATGGGTCCAGCAGGCTACGATTCCTTTGGAAACCGTGGCTATCCTTCAAATCAGCTAGGGCTGTCCCAAATTTACTGAATACTAGAATATTGGATCATCATACGAATATTCGAATAGCTTTTCTATATTCGAAAACAAGAAAACTACGCACATACACACACGACTGTGGTCACGATATTTAATTGTTTTTGCATCGCTTTATTGTCAGGTGACACTTTTTTGTTGGTTCTTTTTTTTTTGACGATATCTTTAGTTGTCGACAGCAGTGGAGTGCTGTGGCCTCGTGGTTAAGGGCATTGGATTCGTGGTCTGTGGGTAAAGCTGCAGGTCGTGGGCTCGAGTCCAGCCGGGGTCATGGTGCATGTGCCCTTAAGCAAGGCACTTTGTCACTCATTGCTTCTCTCCACCCAGGAGTAAATGGGTACCTATGAGGGCAGTGATGGTTATTGTGATTGAATTAATTAGCTTCCTTGCGCCTAACAGGAAGCATCGAGCTGTATACTCCCCAGGGAGCTGCGATGGTATTTGGCATGTTTAATTGGCCCAATGATTAAGGGTAATAATAATGTAAAGTGCTTTGATCTTAGTTAAAAGCGCTATATAAGAACCTGTTATTATTATTATTATTATTATTCCCATTTTGCACATCCTTTTAGCAGGTTAAAGCTCTTTACAGTTATAAAAATAATTATTGCAAAACACATATCCATTGCGGAACGCATATTTTAACTCTCGAGCTCTTCGTGCAATTTTTTACCGCCGCATCATACACAGTTGCAGCTGGCAGTTTTTAATATATTCGGACAAACGCAGTTTGTGAGTATTTTGTTTGTGTACGATCATATGGAGGTGTCTGCATGTAGTCAAGGGTAAAAGTTAGAAATTAATGGTTTTGGGGGTTTTTTTCTCATTTTTCCAATAAAAAAAATTAGGGTAGGGGCTGTCAGAATAGGGTAGGTAGGGATACCGGCCGGAAGCAGAACTATTATTTTTTTTGCCTAATTGAATATTTGGTTATTCAAAAGTGGAAAGCTCAAAATTCGTCAGTCCGTTTTTAGTGTATTTTTCCAGGATAACGGGACAGTAATACTTAGTTATTGTTTTCGCTTGAATGTACGTAGTGTTAACAACTTTTTCCAATATTTTTGGATTACTTTTCTTTATACACCCTGTACAGTAAAATGTTGAAGATATCAGAAGCGATCGATGACATGGTCGCCTACACCAACATGACCGACGACATCATCCTTCAGATCATGCGTTCCGATGACCCAGCCCTGGCTGAGTCCCGTCGCATTCTGGAGATGGTCCAACGCCGTCAGCTGTACAAGTGCATCGGCCAGACACAGCCCCCCGACGGAACCTTTATTGATAGGGTATGCATTCGCTCGTACTTTTGTAAATTGTTGGAGTTTTTTTAACTTTTGGATTTTTTTTATGGCTTTTGATGGAAAAGGTATTTATGAATGGGGATAATAGTGCAATGGAGCAGTTATAAGCATGATGTTTAAAGGTAGAGTAGATCATTTGCAGCTATCCAAAAAGTAACTGACGTTGTTGTTGTTGAAAAGCTTTTGTAGCAATAAACTCCTTGGAAAAATTATTCCTTTGTGTGCTGACATTTTGAGAAAAAAAAACACTAAAAGAAGGCAATTTCCAATATGTAAAATGACGCATTTTTGGACATTTCCATTAGTAGTTGGTTTGTAATTCGGCGAATCTGTGAAGGGTGCGCGCAAGCGTTGACACGACGCACATGTCAGCGAGGTTGCGACTATTTATCGGTACTGTGCGTGACATCGCGTAGCTGCAATCGGCTGAATGAGAACGTGTCCCGGATGCTGATTTCGGGCACAATTGACTCTGCAACTTTTGGATTGAAATCGAGTTCCTTGAATATCGTTTTCGTGAAAAACACAGCATTCACAGAGCTGAAACTTCATCAGGTTAGTGTGTTAAGCGCCCTCCTTTAGATTGTGAACAGTATTGTTGCCTCAAACGAAAAGAATGCACAAAGAAAAATGATCTACCCTTCCTTTATATCCAACGGCCAGGACCCAAACGGGTCTTAAACCAGACGTTTATAGCTGCTCCAACACACTTTTGTTGCTATGATTATACCTTGCGCGTGCATGTTCCCACTCAGTCTTGTGTGGGGTTGATTTTACTTTCTGATGTCGTGGGGCTGCTTTTCACTGATTCACTATGCCTCTAAGTTCCAAAAGTGGGACAGTTGCTAATACAGTGTACAATAATTAAAATTACTATACCTCATACATATTCATGATCGAGAGCCGAACGTTCACTGGTCAATTCACCATCACATGCCAGATGTTATTCTTGCTGTTTACCAAACGTGCGCGCGAGGATTCACGCACATTGTAAATACGCATGCGTAGTAGACTGTCGCATGGGTTACCCGTGCTACAGTCTACTACGCATGCGCTTTACAGAGCAATCGAGGAACTGTCGCACGGGTGCAGTACGCACGCGCGAACATCGCACAGGAGAGATGCATGGTTGCACGGTTCGCGTAAATGTTAATTTACAGAGCTCAATGATGCCGTACTGGAGAAAATGTATAGACCGTGTAAAGATGTCTCCTATACAAAAGAAAGTTGTACACATTGCAAACAACTGTATTTACAACTGTAGTAACTGTATTATATTGCAAACGAACCGAACTAGTAATTGAAGTTGAATCTTTTGGTGAGCTGTACAAGTTTCCCCAAATTTTGTTTTAGGTGCATAATAATAAAACAAAATTCGGCAACTGAATATGTATGAGGTATAGTAAAACAAATATAACATGGTTTATTTCGGGTGGACAGTCGATATTCGCTCCCCGAGGTATTGGAAGTTGACAAACTAGTTCCCTCGGCTTCGCCTCGGGAACTAGTTTGTCAACTTCCAATACCTCGGGGAGCGAATATCGACTGTCCACCCTCAAACCATGTTATATTTGTATACTAATGGGGCGTAAAAGTTAAAACACGGCCAACTATAAGTCTTCAAATTTAAGTGCATGCTGACACTAATTGATTTCGGGGAGTGAGGCAGCACAAAATTAATCCTATTACATACAGGGAGATACTATTTCATTTTTTTCCCCCGTTTTCGTCCACAGAACAGAGTTCCTGAGATGAAGGAGGAGATCATTGGAGCTCAGGAAACAAAAGACATGGACGGTGTGCAACTCACGGCCGACCAGCTGATCATACATGTGAGTGCTGTATCCGCTGTACGCTTGACCAATAGAGGGCGCTGTTTATCAATTTCATTATTCCATTCTCTGGTTCATTCCTCTGATTGAACTGTTTGTGCTTTTGGGTTAAGAACTGATTAATAACTGTTACTAACTGTGCACTATTTAAGGTGTAAATCACATATTTTTTTTAATCTTTTTTTTTAACCCTTTCATTCAACATTGTTTATTGACTTGGCTCTCCCCCGGGGCCAAATTGTTTGCTCAGTCATGTGGAAATCACCAGAACGTGAACAAAATGACCACAAGTCGAAAACTCACTTTTTACAACTCAGATTTTCACTGCCAAGGAGTGATTAAAATCATAGGTGTTGTGTGTAAAGTTTGAACCTTACTTTTTTATGTGATGTAAAAGTGAAGTCCATATTATGTGCAAATATAAGAAAGTTATGCTTTTTTGTTCATCTGGTCCCATTTATCAAACTGCAAGCCATTTCTCCACATGACCAAATGGCACTCCATACCTCAAATTGTGCGTGGATACTTCTGAAGCACTTTTCTCATATTTTTTTGTTATGGTAACACCCTTGAATAAAGTACACCATTAGAACGATCCGAAAACACTCTTTCAGCTGGTATATATATATCAACATGCCGCCTTTTTGAAAAGTGTTACAATATCTGTGTGGAGGGTGTTCTGTGTGTGGTTTCCTGGCGCCCATGGGAATCAGCAGGGGGGTACTTCTTGTCGACAAAAGTCGACCGTGGTAAGAAAAGGGTTAAGTTATTGGTTTTGCCTAGAAAGATACTTGATATTCAGCCGAACTTTTGTATGATTATAATTCTACAGATTGTGGATCTGAATTACGGCATGGGTCGGAAGAATCCAATCGACCACATGAGATTCTACTCCAAGGCCAACCCCCAGCAAGCAGTCGTGGTCCGAAAGGGTCAGGTAGGAAACAAAGAGAGAGACCGCTGGTCCAAATGACTTTGGCTACAGCTTTAATTCTGATGCAGCCACTAAAGCACAGTATTCAACGTTGCCGAAATTGTAGTCAGAATGTCCGTAGTGGTCTTTGAACAGTAAACAACAGGAAAGTTGAAAGCACGATCCACAACGATTTCCTCGTTTTTCACCTCACAATCATACTATAATGTCAAAATTATATTTTATGTCAAAAAAGTCCTACTTTTGCTACTGAATACCTCTGTTGTTTACCAATGGAATTAAACCAAAATTTTCAGATCATTTACACAAGGCATGACAAATTTTGTGCAGCAAGTTTCATTAGCTTTGAACAATTTAAACGCCATACAAAAAAAAAACCCTCACTTTCAGAATCTGCCTCTTTTGTCTCGGTGTCCTCCAATGTTGATACAGCCCTGGAGACGGTGGCGGAAGACTTGTGCTGCGGCCGAAAGCTTCTGAAGGAATGCAGGATCATCCCTGATGTCATTGCACACCTCCTCGATCGGTGCAAGACACATTAGATGAGGTGTGCAATGACATCAGGGGTGATCCTGCATTCCTTCAGAAGCTTTTGACCACAGCACACACCTTCCGCCACCGTCTCCAGCACTGTATCAACATTTTTTAAGTAATTATGTTTTTTGAATGGCGTTTAAATCTCACCCTGTTGAGCAAAGCTGATGAAACTCGCTCTGTAAAATTTGACATGCCTTGTTTACACGATCTGAAATTTTGGTTTAATTCCATTAGTATTAGGTAAACAACAGAGTTATTTAGGATCAAAAGTAGGACTTTTTTGGTCACATAGTTCATGTTTGCCATTAGAAATTAAATAACACTGTACCTACTATCAATGTAAATCTTGGACGTCCTGTTGCTTCCCAGTTACATGCCTGGATGTAAGCAATGCCAATACACATTTTACAACCAACAAATAGATGCAGGAACTTTGAAAGCTGATGCTAACTGAAAAATTAGCAAGGTTTTGATTCAACATGTGAACAAATAGGTTAGTGCGGACCTACAGAACTTCAGAAATATTGGCTCTTTGGTCTGGAGTGCTGAATGGTAACCCAAAGCAACAAGTGAAAATGCACGTGCTAATAGAAAGATGATTTCGCCGGCTGATGTAATCCTGTGCTGCCCTGTAGTTCCTCCATGAAATAAATACTAATATTTTTTTTGCGTTCCTCTTACAACTGCAGGTTTCGCAAATGTTGCCAGAGCGTTTCGCTGAGCAGCACATCCGTGTTTACTGCAAGCGACGTGACCCAGAATACATCAACAAGGCTTTCGAGTGCTTCCAGAGCTGGTGTGACAAGAAAAACTACACGGTGCAAAAGGTAAAGTATAGGAATTCACATCACGGCTGTTTTATAAAGCAGACAAAGGTGTGTGCTTGTATGTTTGTGTGTTCAGGAGCTGATTACGGGTGAGGCAGTGAAGCCGCCTATCCCGTGAAGTGAGTGAGGCGAAGCGTCCTTGAACATAACCAAAACCTTCCTGCAGAAGTTTGGTCCAATCTGAAGACTACAGTCAGAAGCCAGTTTTGACAGACATGCAACTTTTCCTCGAATCCACTGATTTCCTCATTTTTTACTTCTCATGAATGTCATTGCAAATTGAAAAATACTGTACAAAGTCATGTGTGGTTTGGCTTTTCCTTGTTTTTTTTTCTAAATTTCCAGTTGCATGCCTGTGTTGAGTTGGTACTCGTTCACATGTGAAAAATGCACCCTCGTTGCTTCTTCGACCAGTAGACTGTTTAAACTTTCTCCTAAATGCATGTGCTCCTCAAAATTAAGAACACATGATGTGTGTCAGCCATCGAATGGCATCGGGGCGTCTGTTGAAGATGTCCCCCCCCCCCACAAATCACTTCCCCCCCCCCCCAAGTTTGTACGTTTCAGTTTTGTCTGAATTCAGACTTTTTGAATCTGAGAGAGACATTAGGCCAAAAAAAAAAATAGTTCTGCTTCCGATTACATGCCTTTCAAAAATAGGGTCGGTCGGTCGGAATTTTTTTTTTTTTTGCCATTTTTTTTTTATGCAGATTTAATGGGGTATTCAATTATGTGCGAAGTTTTTAGCCTGAACTATTTCCATTGCACTACGAAAGCTATACACGAAATGGCAACAAAGAGTGAATAAAAACTACCTTTAATTATTGTAAATATATTTACCAGTATTTACGTTCGATAATTTCGGAAAATAATGGAAAATTCAGGTCGTTCGCACCATATGCACAACGCTAGTCAAGACGCGGGGAGCTGGTCAAAACTCTGAGGTGTGTGATGCGTGCGTGTGTGGCGAGCGGCCCACCATGGGCTGACAGACCTGTTTTTAAGGTCAAACATTTTGGGAAACACGCGGCGTGTATCACTCCAAATACGAGTAGTGCGATCTCAAAATGAACTCTTGAACACAGAAAATACATACACAGACAAGCTAGATCAATTCTGTAAATTAACTTGCAAAAATGTTCTTTCTCCATCGGTGTTTTCTTGGCATTTTTACGATGTCGAATCTGACCAGTTGACAGTGGCCTGCACTGCTAGCGTGCTATCGGTCGCATAGCTATGGACTGGTTACCGCATTTTCATCATGTCTTCGAAATTGGCCCCTGCGCGGCGCGGCGGGAACCAGTCGTCGCCACGTGATTATAGTCGCCGTGACATCGCATTGCGAAGTAGCTATATCGCGAAGCGAATTTGTAAAAATAATGGAGGTTTCTTTTGAAAAAAAAACGAATGTAAGTAAGAAAACAAATAAATACAAGATTTTTTTTTATGCAAAAGGGTTGTTGAGAGGTATTTTGTGAAGACAGAAAAGACAACAAAATTTTATTTTTATTTATTCAATCTTTTTTTTTTTAATTGCCGATAAAATTTTTAGGGTCGCAGCCTAAAAATAGGGTCGGTCGGGTAACCGGAAGCAGAACTATTCTTTTTTTTGGCCTTATCAGTACAAAAAGAAATCTTTCTTACAGACTTTTCATCCAATTTTCAGATTTTTTTAAATTGGCAATCTCATCCCTGGTTTTCCCAAACAAAAATTACCTGACCATTTATACTCCTGGGTGGAGAGAGGCAAGTGGGGGTGAAGTGGCTTGCCCAAGGACACAACACATGACCAGCAGCTGGATTTGAACCCCTGACCCTCTGATCATGAGTCACGAACCCTAACCACTAAGCCATATGTTTATACCAGTTAAAATTTCTCTCTTTTACATTTCAGGCCGGCAATGTGCATGACCCCGAGTTGACCCCGGCCAAGTCCGGGTCGCAAGAGGACAACCGGACGCCGGAGAAGCAGAAATCCCGAACCCGACTGTCCATGTAATGCGATGCATGCTGTGGGACACCAGTGAAAAACCAGCATATTCTGAGGTCTGAGAATGATAGAACTGCTCTGCTATCGCCACACAACGCAGAAGGAGACTGCCATTTACAATGTCGTGCCGTTGCCCAGGTCATGATTGGATCACATGGGATCTACGGTATCTTACAAGATTTTCCAATAAACCACGACAAAGGCTTTCCTTTGAAATTGTTCGTTCCTCGTTACTTGTGACCAGACTTGTGATCTACTTGTGACCAGATTTATGATGCACTTGTGAACCATCACAAGTACTTTGACAACATTTATATATCCCACCTATGTGGAAAATGATCCCACCTATGTGGAAGGTGTTATTTGCTGAACATTAGCCTCTCAAGATCTTTCAAAAAAGTAGAAATTTTCAGGATTTTTAAGAAGGAAGAGTACAGCCACTGTTAACATCAGACTTGAGGTCCTTTGAATCATGAAATGCAAGACTGTGTTAATGCACAGAGCTGAATTTCTTAGGATTCAAGAAAATTTCTTTGGGAGTCAGGGTTAAGGACAAATACCAACTGCACTAACATTTTTTTCCGCTTGCACTGATGCATGTGTAATTGGAAGCCGTGGCCAACACTGCCAAATTTATTCTTCAACTTAAGGCCAGTTCTTACTTGCCGCGAATTTCAGTTAGGGTAACGACAAACGACACAATGAAGCTTCAGCTGTTGGTGCCATGGAAATCACTTCGCTTTCGTTTCGACGTGAAGTATGAATACCAACTGCAGTAACATTTTGTTCGCTTCCATTGTGTTATTGGAAGCCGTAACCAACACTGCCAAATTTATTCAACGACTTAAGGCCAGTTCTTACTTGAGAAGAATTTCAGTTACAGTAACGACGAACAACACAATGAAGCTTCAGTTGTTGGTGCCATGAAAATCACTTCACTTTTGCTTCAGTGCGATGTATGAACACCGGCCTTTATTAGCTAACCTTCCACTTAATGCTAAATTCACCCACGGATGAGTTTCTCAAATTGGCGTTTTTTTTTCCGTGTTTTTAATCTTTTCTATTTACCTGGTCATTAAGCTCAAAAGCCTGAGTTTTTCAGGCAAAGTTTTCATTAGGGTTCATCGTGGTTTTAAAGTATGAACTCATGAGACATGTATTGTAAGCATTGTGCCACTTCAGAAATGTTTTCTGAGTAGGGTCCCTGTCAACCTACAATCCCGGCCATAATGGTTGGGACACTTGGAAATAACCTTAGACTTCCACGGTCACCCGCTCCCCCGGTCAATGCTGTTCTCTCCAGCTGATGGAGCACATGCACACCGCGCAATGAGAGACAACATTGACAGGGGGCGGGGGGTTGGGGGCCCAGCGAGATTTGGCCAGGATTGTAGTTTCCATTGATACAATCTTGCCGCGCCTTGTCGCTTCCCATCATGCCTTGCGCGACACCAGTCGATGTATCTAATGCGCGACGCAGTGCGTAAATTTTGTTTTTGAAGAATCAATTGTTTTTAATCATGAGATTTTGATGTCATGTTGTTTAGTTATTTATGTACCTTTGTTGTCCCTTTACAACACAAGATACAGATTTTTTAGGGCGAAAAACGAGGCTTCCATTATCCATATTGATAGGCATCTTACTGTTTTGAAAACAAAAATGTTTGTATGTGACGTGACATGCAGGAGATAATACGTGAGCGCATATAGGGCTTGAGTCTTAAAAATACGTGCGCAGTATGCTCTGAATAGCCAGTCAGTGTCGATTACGTATTCCTCACAACCAGTGGCGTCGCCAAGGGGGGGCCAGGGGGGGCACGTGTCCCCCCTGGAAAACCTAGTGCCCCCCCGAGTGCCCCCCCATCAAATGCTGGTGCCCCCCTATCCTCTGCAAAATTCTGCGCGTTGTTAAAATCATTACCTCAAAAATAGCAATTTCTGGAGATATCTTCAGATCGAATTTAGCATCAAATGTGGCACCATTTTGCATCTAGCCTATCCTCCGTATGCGAAAATTTTCCAAAGGGGAGGGGGGCACCCCCTCCCCTTAGACCCCTCCCCCAGGACGGCGATCCGTATCCACCTAAGTGCCCCCCCCCCCCATCAAATGCTGGTGCCCCCCCCCCCCCCTGTGCCCCCCCAGACTGAAAAGTCTGGTGACGCCACTGCTCACGACCAGGGATTAGAGAAAGAATGTGCATGCACCCATGGAGTCGAGGCTGGGTCCCTGTATTACTAGTCAAATTTAATGAGACAAAAGTCTGATGGTTGACTGTTTTATGATATACAGACGTTTCTATGAACTAGGTGGTTGGTGGTTGGTGCTTAAAGACTTTAATTGTAGTTCTTAAACAGTCTTCATTGTGATTTTCATACAGTTAAGATGAAGAAATCAATGAAATTTCTAGACTTCCCTGCCCGATGAAAACAACAACATTCTTACGTAGTGTATATTATATAACTGACATACAGATCCTTGTCATTTGATTGGTGGAACTCACATCACGTGGCATTCGTTATTTCTTCCATTCATGCTGCGGCTCAAAAAGTACTATCCGCCCATGGGGAATGGGAAATACTATTCAACAGTTAGGATCATGACGCGGTATTTGTGTGCAAATGCATGCTGGTGTGCGCGTTCAGCGTTGCGCATAGCGCGTATTGTTCCAAGGAGCCAGAGCTACAGCGTTGGGTTCAAACATTTTCGTGAAAGGGTGGTTTGGAAGAGAGAAATGCATTTTCCTCCAGTTTTGTATTGAAATAAAGTTCAAATATATCAAATGACAAGGATCTATATGTCAGTTATATAAAACAAATATTGAGTGGCTTTAAATTGTGAAATGGGAGGAATATTATCGCTCGGTAAAATCTGGACTTTTCCAGTTCACTCGGCGAAGAAAAGTCCAGATTTTACCTTGCAATAATATTCCTCCCATTCCACGCTGAGCCACTCAATATTTGTATAACGATGACGTAGAGAATGATAAATTAACAAAATAGGTGTGTCTATGTTACCCCAAAAAAGCAGCTGTTTTTTTTTTTAATTCACAAGAAATTTGTACGTACATGTACATGGGCATTATGCACTGTGATGAAAACATTATTATGTACTAATATTTATGAAGCATATTTTTATACCTTTGTAAGATGTTGGATTAGATACAGCTGTTTTACTATTTTATGATTGCGGGGAAAGTTCATGTGTCTCAGGATTGATTGAACTTAGGTATTTTTGTTTATCTGGGGTCACCACCTAAGTTTGGTTGGCTGAGATATTCAAATGAAATCCTAAATGTTCCAGGAGAGGGTGAAGAATATGTTTTGTTTTTTTCAGGGAAGTTTTTGCATATTCCAAAGTTTAGTCCCAAGGAAATTGGACTTTTCATCTTCGAATTCTCCCTTTCCGGTATACGCACAAGTCATTTTCATAACATTTGTCTGAAATTAATGCTTTATCATGTTTATTCCCCAAATTATCACAAAACAAAACTATTCAGAGAAAAACTAAGATTGCCCTTTTGAAGAAATTTCCTAAAAATGTCCGAAGTTTTATGAAAATTAGGCCAAAATTTCAATTTTTGTTTTAATTCTTTATTTGTCTTTTTAAAATTTTGTTAAACAATTGTTCTCTGAAAGCAGCACTTTTTCTCAGTTTTAAAAATTCAAAAAAACCTATTTAACCTTTTGATTAATTATACTGAATTGAGCTGATACCTGCTGGAAGTAAAAATTGGTGATTTAAAACTAACAGTTACATTTAGAGGTAATTTTAGGTGATGCAAATAAACTTTGTATTTTGAATCCAACCCTTTTGCTGAGCAACACTTTTTAAACTAACCTGCTTCAATAGAGAATAAAATGAAATCATCTGCATATTCTAAATAAAAACATCTTTACCTGTTCGGCAATATAATATTGATTTTGTTCAGAAAGTGTAGTTGGTGTTTTTCTTCAGAATGTTTGGTAGGTTTTGTTTTTAGTAGAACCTTTCTCATTTGGCCATAAATTAAAATGTTTACTCAGCTCCATGCATAGTAAGGAAACCCAAATGGTGCCCCTCATTTTTTTTTTATAGATTCTTTTTTTTTTATGTACCGCTTTCCAGATCTTGGGCACACTGCCTCACTACTACTATCTGGTGAGCACTGCTCCACATTTACCGTCAATATTTCCATGCTTTCCAGATCTATATTATGACAAAAATTGCTCTGCCTCTGTTAAATTTTTAGAAACATTTTATTCAGTCGGGTTTGTTTGTTCTTTTCCCCTAGCATTGGTTGTATTTACCAAATGTCACTTGAATATAGGGCACATTCCCGATGAATGTAGAACTGGAAGCATTACTTACACTGGTGACCAATTTCCCCATAGTATTTCTTAGAGATTGTATAGTTACAGTGGTTTAACTGGTTAATGGCAGAAGTGTCTGTGTAAAGCAGGCATTAATGAGTACGATTTGTACGTTAAAATACTGTGCGTATTTATAATCCAGTTTGAACGCGGCCGCGTACACGGCACATGCGCGTAAGTTTTTGCACGGGGAGTTAAAACTGAAAATGTTTTGGATTTGCGGTTTATTTTTCGGTAAACACATCGCCCGCCGAGGACATATTATTTACCTTTTCTAAACCAATCATTAATTCTGGACACAGGCAGTGTTGTATACTTGTACTCGGTACTCGTACTCGAGTACTACTGTAGTACATCTCTAGTTTTATCGTACTCGTGCTTGTATTCATACTCGTACTCGAATGTCGAAGTACTCTTACTCGAAATGACGGTACTCGTACTCGGCCAGCAAAGTGATTGTACTCGACATGTTTAAAATTTATAATCGATCATTAAAGTACTCGTACTTGAATAGCAGTACTCGAAAAAACCCAATGGTATAGCTTGACTGACCACGGTCTTATTTTATCGATACTTTCTGTTTGAAATGGTTGATTGGCTTGCGGAGAAATCAGAGTTTCCTGGATTTCCTCTGCGCATGTCCGGACAAACACATTGAACGGCTTGCCATGAGTGGGTCTGTATATCGGTCTGACTGGCCCTGCTAGTTATACAGTGGCGTAGCCAAGGGGGGGGGGGGCCCCCCCCACTGAGATTTTGAGTTTCTAAAAATAAGTATCATTGATCTACATGACGCCCCCCTCATGAAATGTTCCAGCCCCGCCCCCCCCCCCCCCCCCCCCCAGCGCTCCCCCACTGAAAATTCGTGGCTACGCCACTGCAGTTATGCACAATGAACCATTTGCCTTATGGCCGTATTTGGAAATTAAAGTACTTGTACTTGTACTCAGAATTACAAGACCTGTATCTGTTCTCGAAAGTACAAGTTCTCGTACTTATACTCGGTAACCTAAGTACTCAGCAGTACTCAGTACTCGGACAAAAAGTACTCGACTAACGTACTGGACACAAAGAATATATGTAAACGAAATTTCAGTTGCCTCCATTAGGTAAAAATATGAAGAACAAATTCAGGCCTAGTAAAAGTAGGCTAAAAAAAAGTATAAGTCAAGATTCTCTTGAGAAATAAATGAGAACTACATGTAGCTTGAGTACCGGTAACTCCAGCTGATTTCATCAGGAATTCACATGTGAATTCCTGATGAATTTTTGACTTGGTTTTGCATGATAATTTGGTCTTGCATGAAAATTGTGGGTCTTGCACACAATTTTGGGTATTGTAAGAACAATAGTGCAGCATGATTTTTTGGTGTTAAAAAAAAGGAGTTTGGGATTCATTCCGCTTTGGCTTCCCATACATTCCATCTGAAGCATTGCTAATTTGTATACGTAAACATTAATCTTGACCTTGGAACTGAACTTCCTGGTAACGGTGCAATGGAATATCTATTAGCTGGGCTGTTGGCATGACGATCAATGATAAGTGAGCTGGTGATTATGATCCACCAATCAGATGACAAACATTTACGTACGCGTTGGCTAATTTGCATTGATTATCAATCCTTTGTTGCATGCCACAGCACATATTTTTTGTCAGACACTTCATGTCTGGCTGACACTTCCTGCTTTGAAATGTTGCTTGAAATTACATGTACTGATGTATATCTTCGAAAATACTAGATTTATCCCATGTAATTCCTTTAAATAATTTTTGCCCACTCCAAATTGCCTGATCTACATAAATGTACCAAAACTTAGTTTTGCACCTCCTTGCATTGGGCCAACTGCACAGTGTAGCCACACCTGGTGATTGTGCAAAACCAAACAGACGCAGATACAGAAATGTCCTCCCAGCCTACCAAACGTAGGAAAGTCGATGGGAGTCTGCCATTGACCAGCTTGGCAAACAACCACTTTGATTTTGCTAACTTGGAGAACTGGACACCGGACGACATCTGCAATTATCTAACTGCTAAAGGATTTGCTGATGAAGCACCATTGTTTAAAGGTATGGAGAAGCATGTATTCAATGAATAATGGTTTTTAATTTACCGGAAACCTTTACTTGTATGTTTATATATAATGGTAAAAAAAACCCCCAACCTTATCAACTGTCATGAACCACTACCATGACAACTGGTTAAATTGTTGTTGCTGCACGTATATGTATTAATTTGCTCAGCAACAGTCAAACACATACAGTGTAGGGTGTACAGTACAATATTTTCATCATGAACTACATGTAACCTTCACGATGTCAACTCTATTGACTGTCTGGTCGAGGTCTGTCATAGATTGCTCGATCAGTCTTAATATTGCTAAAGAAAACATATTGCAAAAGAAAACTATAAATACTCCCCCCCCCCCAAAAAAGGAACCCATTGTTTTCTACCATAACCTCTGCCCTTTGCACGCTGCGCTAAAATAATTGTATTAAGAGTAATTGTATGCCGTGCATCTATGCATTTATGGCAAGGAAAAACAACGGATTTTGGGCTGATGAAGGGTATAAACTGATAAATAAAAACTTTCCTTTTGCTTTGTGAATAGAACAAGAAATATCTGGCAAATTTCTGGACAAGCTGACAGAAGACTTGCTCCGCAAGATGGGTGTGAGGTGAGAAAAAGTATATCGTTTTTGAAGATACATTCATTAATTTTAAGACATTTAACCCTATGACTGCCCTGAATCCTTCAAAATCTTCTTTGCCAAAGTGGAGGAATTTGGAGGATTGAGGTTACATGGCAAAAGTTTGTTAATGATTTCGTAGGATGCACTTTGTCGAGGTCTTGGGGCGGACCTTATGTTGTTTTTGCTCAGCCATGTCTCTAAATAGAGACAATTGTGCTTGAAATCCTCCGTACTGCTCCAGGATGACACTGGCCAAGCCCCAACATATTCGACAGTCACTACCGCAGGATTCAGGCAGTGGTCACCCCTTCACGGAACATATTCAAGAAATAATGGAGGAATTTGCAGGATTGAGGCTACATCCTAGCAAGGCCTAAAGAGTTAGGGTTAATAGATTTCCATAATATTATCAAAATGGAGTTTGTCATTGCACCATGTGAAATTGTGAATTGGAATCTCTTTGAGAGTTTTCTGATGACGAGAAGAGCATACTATTCGAAACAATTAATTTCCACAAATTTCAGAACCACACAAATATACATAAAAGAACTTTCGTGTCACATATTATTGTGTGCAAGCTCAGTCACTCCTTTTGTCATGTTTGCTTACTTCATCATTACAGATATGTCCTGGTTATACCCAATATCCAAATGTTTGATCATATCAACCAAATATTCGAAAAGCATTTTTGCGATTCAGATCTTCAAAAAAAAATGTAGTATCGAGAGAGATGATGAACAACGTATGGTTAGTGAATCCCCCTTTCGTGAATGATTTGAGAGTATCCGTGAGGAATTTTAGCTCAAATTTCTTCTTTTCATGGTGCAAATTACCTTGAAATCGTATGTGGTTTCTGTACATTGTGGATTTTTAATCTGGTTTTTTTTTTTGCACGATACTTTCCATTATACTCCCAGCACTTCGAAGACACGCTTATTAAAGATGCTTAAAGAAGTCCACAATCTGAAGAATTTGTGTGACGTTGCCAGGACCAAAGTCCCTGTAGATTCCCTCAAGGTTTGTTAATTTTGTTTCTGAATCTGGTACGATAACTTGTATGTTCTTGTTTTGATTGCCTGTGGAGGACTCTGTCCCATTGTGTATAATACAGTAGAATTTTGCAAATAAAAAAAGAGAAATTGTTGTACCACAAAATGGCTGCTGAAAATGTCTATATTTTGGACCCCATATGTTCATTATAGTGAAGTTGTACATATAAATGTATAGGCCTATTTAATTCTGCAATTTGCTCTGCCGTGCTTTTCATGTACCTTTCCATGCTGTGCTATTTGTGATTGATTTAAAGGGAAATATAGGACCTTTTTCGTTTTTATGCACTTTGTTCCTTTCCAGTTGGAACAATACTCAAAAATCCAAAGAGGAACTTTCAAAACCAAACCTGTTGAAGTTTAAAAAAACACAAGTTTTCTTGCCTGTCTTCACAAAACGGTTGCCAACACCTTTTAACATCATAACCTCTGGTATGAGTAGTAACATTTCAGTTTTCCGATGTGTCCGTTTTTTGTTTGTTGTCCTACCTACCTTTGCTATTTTCAAAAGAAAACTGCCGATGTTTTCCCAATGCCATCGGAGAACATTTCGCCTCGCGTTGGTGCTATAATGTGTGCAGCTGTTGTAAACTAGCAAGAGTAATGTCAAAAGGACGGGAACAGATGGCCTACGTAGCGTAATAAAACACGTTGAATTTGAGGGGTCCGCTCATAAGTCCGATGTCTCATAGGTCCAACGCCGCATAAGTTCAACGCCTCATAGCTCCGATGCCTCAAAAGTCCGAAACAACGTTTGTCCATTGTCGGACCTATGAGGCAGAATTAATGCCTCGTAAGTCCGACGCCTCATAAGTTCGGACTTATGAGGCGTTGGAACTATGAGGTGTCGGACTTCTGATACAGTCGCGAGTTTGACACCGTCGCAAACATCGATAAAGAAGAATATTTCAAAGAACTTGACTTCTCTTTTCTGTGTATGTATATTTCCATTTTCATGTACTTACTGCTCGTATATTTACATGAAGTGATAACCAAACATTTTCTATGGCCAGTGCATGTAGAATGCATGCAGAGCATGTGGCTTAAGGGACATTATAAACATCTTGGAATACGCCCAATTGGGCTACAAAACGGAGAAAACGTGTTAATCGGAGATCACATTTACAGTAGGATATAATCATCCGGGGACGCATCATAAGTCTGACGCCACACAGATCCGACGCCTCATCAGTCCCAAATTTTGGACTATATATGAGGTGACGGACTAATATGAGATATACAATTTATTTTTCCGCCTCATAGGTCACGACGCCTCATAAGTTCGACGCCTCAAGTATCTGGTGATACCTTAATGTCAATGTGTAATTGCTAACTCTAGCAATAAGAGGCGCTATAACATTCTGACATTTTACGCAATGTTTGTATTAATTAATATTGGATGTTGGACTCAAGATGCGTCAGACTTACGAGGACTTGGACTTACGAGGCGTCGGACTTAATTATGAGGCGTCGAACTTATGAGGCGTCGGATTTATGAGGCGTCGGACTTATGGACAGAAATAAAAGTAAATTTGATTGTCGGATCAATGAGGCGTCGGAGCTACGAGGAGTCGGAGCTATGAGGTGTCGGACGTATGAGGCATTGGACTTATAACAAGTATAAGGCGTCAGACCTATGAGGTGTCGAATTACTTATGGGCCTTTATTTGGTTGGGGGATGTGATTTTGTCGGACTAATGAGGCGTCGGACCTGTGAGGCATCGGACTAATGAGCAGACCCGGCCTAATCACCCACACAACTATCCTTTCAAAACTGGGTGTTTTTGTGTTTAACATTCTTGTGTCATTCATGCGAGAATAGATTTTGGGGTTCACTTTTGCGACCCTCAAAAATCGGACTGTTCATGCTAGTTGTGATTCCAGCCGTAAAGTTTTCGGCTTTTGCGGCCGTGTAAGAAACCACGTATGCATTGCGTAATTGACACACACACACAATGTGTTGTACATTGAATGAAAACGACAGGAAAAATGTATGCGTACTCCGTCGTGTCTGATGTAAACAACCAGGTGTTTTTTTTGTCCTTTCACAGGAGCGATAATGCATTAGGTTGGTTTCTAAATTCAAACAGATGTTTGAAATAGGATAAACAATCGACAGTGACATTTTCCAGGATTTCAGGACTTAGTGCCTCTTTAATTGCCCACTACATATATACATGTATACAGAATGCAGTTAGAAAGATTTCTCACACTTGGAAATCCCCCTATCATGCATCACACTGGGAAATCCCCCTATCACGCAATGTGAAATATCCCTATTGCCCAATGTTTCTCACACTGGGAAATACCCCTATACACAGTGCTAACGTGCTAACCAGTACCACAATTAAAACAACAGTACAATACGTGGCGTTTTTGTAGAAAACATGAACCCCAATATTATACTTATTATCACTATTATTATTGTTATTTATTGGCCATGCAAAATTGAAAAAAAAGGCATCTTTTGTCCCATTTAACCGTATTTTCAATTATGGGGTTTTCCATTTTTAAGGGTATTTTGGTGTTTTTTTTGGTTTCTATGCTTTTTGCAAATTTCCATGTTCATGAGCATGAGTGTGATATGTCATTTTAGGCACAAACCTCAATTTTATAGCTATATTTCAACACAAAAAAATTGGCAGAATTTTTTTCTCCTTTTTTTTTGGGGGGGGGGGGGGGGTTGGGGGGGGGGGGGCAAACTCCCTTATTGTGCCATCTTGGCAAAGCCCATTGGCACAGCTGACGGTTTTAAATGTCAAGTGTGCCTTGACTCGCCTCTGGATGATGTCTAAACATGCTTATTCCATTTTAGTCAGGTGGCTTAGATCTAATTTTCGTCAAGATCGTGACCGACTGGTCTAAAGCACCAAACTTGGCAGATAGATTCTTATAGACCTAGAGAAGATATTTAGAAGGGGTGACACCTGAAATTCTTTTGAGAAGGGTGCCTAATTTGCATAAATCGTTAATCCCTGACGTGTAATATATTTATTCCCATATTTGGGTATATTTCCATTTTTTAAATTTTTTTGAAAGGTGTATTTTGGGGATTCTACTTACATATCTTTACTTAAATAACATTTTCCAAAGCATATAAGTGACTGAATAATTATGAGGACATAGTAACGATCCAAAATGGCTACTATTATGACCTAAAATTGCGCGCATTTACCTTGTCTCCAGATATCATCAATTAGTCTTGCCAAACATTAGCATTGATGAACTTCAAATTCACCAAGTAGCTTACTGGTACAGCTACCCTATTAAAACCTTATGCAAAATCATGTGAACTATGATAACATTGTGATATTAAGCCCAGAAAACAAAAACTGGGGAAAACGAGGTGTCCATAAACTAGGCTAACAAGTAGGTGAATGGTTGCCTAACATGGAACACTGGAACAAGTTCAAGGAAATTCCCCTAATTATTGTTGAGAAAAGGTTTTGGCGTAGACAAAATTATTGTAAACAACAATAATCTCTTATTTAGGGGGATTTTGTTGAACTTGTTTAACCCTAAAGGGGCCGGGTTATTTTGACCATCTCTCAGCCGGGGGGGGGGGGCGGATTCGGCCCCCCCCCTAAGATCTCGGCCATCGAGTGACGAACAATTTTGAAACTCGATACATGCATAGAGCAACTCTTCCTTGACATACCCAAGAAATTTCATGACTATAGGTCAAAGGGTTTTGGAATTATGGCTAATTAATTATTCATATGTACGAATGGCAATTCTGCTCTGTGTACACGACGTATATGCGAAAATTCAGTTTTTACGGCGCGTAGCGCCGGAAAATTTTTCGCTACGCGGCAACCCGTGGTCCGATTTTTATGTTTTTGGTATCAAAAGATGCGCAAAGCTCGAGGCTAAAAAGTCATAACAGCTCGGGTTGCGAAATTTTTTTTTTAGAGGCTATCACCTAAAATGTTGAGGGGGGGGGGGCGGATTCCGCCCCCGGCCCTTTTAGGGTTAAGTTCCCACGTTACCCTTCCCGTCCTAGCCCAATTTACGGACACCACATTTTCTCCCCTTTTTTGGTCTTTTGGGCTAAGCATCAAGATGTTATCAATTTTCACTTGATTTCCCACTTATTTTTGTTAGGGTAACTATGCCAGTAAGTAACTTTGTTTATTTGAAGCTCATCAATACCCACGTTTGGCGAGACTAGTTGATGATATCTGAGGAAAAGTTAAATGCGCGTAACTTTAGGGTAAAATAGTAGCACACTCTAAAAACAACTTAGTCAAAATATTGACTGGTTTTCCTAGTTATTGACAATTGACTAGGAATTTAGTTAAACATGCAAAGTTTCATACTATGACTAGAAAAAGTTGTTGGGTTCGACTCCAAATTCAGTTATTGGCATAACTATTTTTCCCAAGTCAATAATACTGACTGGAAAAATCTAGTCAGATTGACTGATTTTCAGTTGCACCCAGCTGACCCTGAATGGCTCGTCAAATTTAACTGGTTTCTAGTCAATCTGACTAATGCTTTTTTAGAGTGCAATTGTGGTTCTTTACTATGTCCTCCTAATTATTCAGTCACTTATATGTTTTACAAAATGTTATTGAAGTAAGAATATGCAAGTAGAATCACCAAAATACACTTTTCAAAAAAAAAATATATATATACCCAAATATGGGAATAAATATATTACACGGCAGGGATGAACGATTTATGCACATTAGGCACCCTTCCCAAAAGAATTTGAGGTGTCACCCCTTCTAAATATCTTCTCTAGGGCTATAAGAATCTATCTGCCAAGTTTGGTGCTTTGGACCAGTCGGTCACGATTCCGACCATATGCCACCTGACTATTTGTTTTGTACATGGGACACAACATCCAAGAGGCGGACTGGGTAATGAACTTGAACTTGGCCACTGTGCACGGCCTGTTGTGGTACAAATAATGCTCTGTGGGCATACCTTGGAGTGTTGAAAAATATGAGGTTGCGGTAAGAAATATCGTAGAAATACTGTTGAAATGACTCTATCGAATCAGTAGTTGTGGTATTAATTTGGCTGCATGTATATCACAAGTTGCCTGCTATATTTTACCTTTTTGGAAAATCGAGATATTCGGCCGAAAATAACCCCTGTGCGAATTGGTGAAAGAATTGCACTTTTAAGTAAATAAAATTAACCAACAATTGAAGGTTGTCAAATAGTTTTCATGCATTTAAGGGGAGCAAAGGTGAACAAAATACATGTATGTTTCTGAGAAAATTTCATTTCGTGGCCCTTTAATGTGCTGTCACTGTGTAATTTGTGATTTTGTCATATTAGGTATTTAACGACCCAATCCATGGGCAAATTGAGCTGCATCCACTCTGCGTTCAGATCATCGACACTCCGCAGTTCCAGAGGTTGCGGTACATCAAACAGCTGGGTTGTGCTTACCTAGTCTTCCCTGGTGCCGCACACAATAGATTTGAGCATTCATTGGGGTAAGAAGTGGCTTGAGAAGGAGACTATTTTCAAGTGCAGTGGATAGAACACTGCTACGCCAAACATTTTTCTATAATGAACATCCCCTTTTGTCTTCTAAATTTTAGGTGCTGTAACAATTAGCAGTGGGGCGGAAAGTAATGCTGCACTAGCCATGATTTTTAGCAACATGTATTTTTATCAAATTCATCAAAAATTGCTATAAAATTAGCAAATTGTACTTTTAATTGAAATAGAACAATATTTTAGGCTGATAGTATCAACTTAAAAATGAAAGAAAATTCAGGTAGGCATACATGTACGTACTACAGTCATTAATAGTGCACGTACAAAGTGCAATGGCAAAATCATGGATTGAGTGACCACGGGGCAACATGCACACGCCACCAGCGCTGCTCAAACATTTATACAAATCCAAATTCAGTGCTAATTGGGTGTATGTTTACAGAAAGAAAATAAAAGCATGTGTATACACAAAAGGGAACTTCTAGTTTTGTGACAAAATACTAGCCAAAATCTGCAGTCTGAAAATCACTCTAACAAAGTCTGGCGGTACAAAACAATCTTTTGTGAACATCACTTTGATCAAGTTTTTTAGTGACATTCGATGTAATAGTTTCTTTGAATAGTAATTGTTTCTTTATTCCAATCATTCTTTTACATTCAAAAGGGTACGTCTTAATTTTTTCTTTAGTGCAAAAACAAAAATCCAAAGTCACACCCAGAGTTTGGTACATGTGAGGCAGAGGCAGATATGCCACAGGGTCTGCTTGAAAAAAAAACCCCGGAACTTTATTTTTGGGACATGGCTGACTGATTCTGCAAAAACTCTGAGCAAGAGGCTCAGGATGAGTGGGACTAACTATACGTTTTGTCTACTTTCCGTCAGAGTGTGTCACTTGGCAGGGAAATTATGTCGGACACTGCAGAAAAAGCAGCAAGACCTGAACATCACAGAGAAAGACGTCCTTTGTGTTGAAATTGCGGGTCTCTGCCATGACTTGGGTAAGGGCATGAAACAAGAACTTCTAGGTATACAAATAATGAAAGTTTATGCCATGGAGTGCAATTATTTGCATGACTAATTTTATGAGGTGGCAGATGGAATGTTTCATTCCGCGAGGCATAGCAGAGTGGAGTGGGACATTCAATCTGTCACCTCATGAAATTATTCTTATCATTGCATGAGCGTGAAACATTCATTATTTGTTTTACACAACAACTGAATAAATCCTCATCATCTGATTGGTCAGATCCACCAAATGCACTACCCCGCAACAGAGTTGTAACGAGTCACTGATTTTTGTGACTCGAGTCGAGTCGAGTCATTTTAAAGCAGTGACTCGAATCAAGTCGAGTCATTAGGTCAACAAGGTCGAGTCGAGTCACAGTGTGTGGTCGAGTCGAGTCGAGTCAAGATGTAGCTCGAGTCAATTCGAGTCACAAATATTTGAACACTATACAATAAATACAATAAAAAGCAACAAACACAAGATGGAAAATCATTTTCTTTTGTTTTTTATTTTAAATTTGGGCTACTACATGTGGTGACACCACATTTGACATTACGGGAATACGGGGCTCCCTGACCGTCATGACCGTATCCCAGATCCTATGCAGTTCTACTTTCTGAGAAAAAAATAGGCCTATATCAAGTATTCAAGTTACCCTGCACAACTTTGAAACGTACAAGTATGAAACGTTTGAACCAAGCCCTTAATTCATGTTCTTGGACAATGCACAAGTTGGCTTATTACTTACTGTCTTGCATGTTTTGCTTTTAAATGTCTGGAAAAGTTCGACGATGTCCCCCACGGCGCTCGCTGATGTTTGATTTGCAAAATGTGCACGACACCTTGAAATGCTTATTTTTCTGTTTGTCTACTTTGTAGTTAGAATCCAAACGATACTAAAGCTGTTTCCATTGTGAACAGCTGTACGCGATTTATTTCTTAATTCTCCGGGTCAGATTTAATACTCACAAAAGATAATGATTGTTAAAACAATTTGCTGACATGAACGTGTATAAAAAACGTACGTGAAAAGCGAACTCGGCTGCTATGCGCATTAATGGACGTAGGAATACAAGGCACCAGTCTATTATGAAAATCCAAAGACACAAAGAATGCTGTATGGTACCCAACCAACAGTTTCCAATGCTAGCTCACGTCACAGATAAGAATTAAGATGTGAAACTTCGATCTTAAAACTGGTTTGGCTTCGGGTCTAGATTTTGTTGTTCGCTGATACTGACAACGTCAAAACCTAATTGCATTATACAAAACTGTTTCTGATTATATAACGGTGGGCCCGTCCGTATCCATTTTCTTTGTGAAATCGGGACATAAATTTAGCCAGCGTTCCACCAAGAGCTTAATAAGAAATCGCCCAAACCAATGATGAAACTTTAGGTTTTTTGGTTGATGGAATAATGGAATACACACGATGTTGGTCCTACAGCAACTTTATTCTAACAATCGAACAACTAGACTACGGTATTCACACAAGAGAGGATTTGGAGACATGTGTCTCGTTTGATGGTTGAAAGAAGAGTGAGCGAAGAAAGTAATAAAGGAGAGTGAGTGAAGAATCTAATAAGTAATGTGGGGCTGACTATCCAATTTAAAAGCAATAAAAACTAGAGACTGAAGGAATGTACTAATGGACTTTGTGGCTAGGTGATAAAATGTGGTAAGAGGGGCAAAGTAATAAAAGTGGGGCTTGGCTCAGTAATAGTAATCAATCAATTAGGGAGATTGATACCATAGGGTCATAACTTTTACCAACCACTGGACTGTTGCTGGGGGCAATGTACGAGGGGTTAAAAGTTCACAAATTAAGCTATAATAATATGGAAGAAAACGCTACAGGAGCCCCCTTCCAGTGAGTGAGAAGTAACAAAAATTGATAAAACACTTAAGAACGAACGAATGTGACATAGCGTTTGGGCCAATTAACTGTGCGGCCTGAGCGGGTTGTACGAGGAGGTGGAATATCTGAGGTTGGGATATTCTGCTCGGTATTTACAGGATTGGTTTGAACTATTGGGATAGAGTGGTTGGGTTTGGGAAGAGCAGAATTCATAGCATGACCTATATCCAAATGGGCAGATTTAAGGCGATCTATGCTAACTGTGTCCTGACGATTGTTCAGTTCAATGACGAAATGTTTAGCTGAACGACTGAGTACTTTGAAAGGTCCGTCGTAAGGCGGTTGTAGAGGTTTGCGCACTGCGTCACGACGAACAAAAACATGAGTGCATGTCTGAAGTTCCTCGGGAACATGCACTGTGGGACGCTGCTGTGCGCGGGTTGTTGGTGGCTGAAGATCCTGCATGGCGCGTTTCAAGCGATGAACATAGTTCGTAGGCTCTAAGGCAGTGGCATCAGTGGTGTTGTCAAAGAATTCGCCAGGCAGGCGAAGTGTGGTGCCATAGACGCGTTCGGCAACACAGTGACCGAAATCGGACTTGACTGCAGTTCGGATTCCCAAGAGAATCAGCGGCAAAGTCTCTGTCCATAGGCTTGCGTCTGGTTGTGCCCGTAGTGATGACTTCAGTTGGCGATGAAAACGTTCCACCAGTCCATTCGCGATTGGGTGATAGGCTGTGGTACGTATGCGGGTGGTACCAAGCAGATTTGTGAGTGCGCAAAAAAGTGCGGATTCAAACTGGGCACCGCGATCAGTGGTGATAACCGATGGAACACCCAATGAGGCAACCCATCGCGTTACAAAAGCACGAGCGACTGTTTCAGCTGTGATGTCAGGTAGAGGGATGGCTTCTGGCCAACGTGTGAAACGGTCAATACAGGTCAACATGTATACACATCCATTGGATGTGGGTAATGGTCCAACAAGATCAATGTGAACATGCGAAAATCGGGCATCTGGAGTTGAAAACTTAGACAGGGGTGCAAAGGTATGGCGATGGACCTTTGAGCGCTGACACTGTATGCACGATTTTGCCCATTGTCGCACATCACGGTTAACACATGGCCAAACGTAGAGGTCCGTGATGAGGCGTTGCGTAGCGCGAATTCCAGGGTGAGATAGGGAGTGTAGAGCGTCAAACACTGCACGACGCATCTCCACTGGAACAAATGGACGTGCGTTTCCAGTAGAAATGTCACAAGTTAATGTAATGTCACATGATGGTAGGGGAACTTGTTTGAACTTGAGCGAGGATGACGATGTGCGCAAGCGTTGAAGTTCCTCGCTGGTGTTCTGCAATTCCGCCATTTTGTGGAAATCGATGAGTGCAGTATGATCCGTGCGAAGAGCATTGAGTTCGACACGAGATAGGGCATCTGCGGCAGGGTTATCTCCACCTTTAACATGTCTGATATCACAGGTAAACTGGGAAACAAAATCGAGGTGGCGAATTTCGCGAGGGGAGTGTCTGTCCATTGTGGTGCCGTGAGCATATGTGAGTGGTTTGTGGTCCGTTAGCACATGAAATTGACGACCCTCGAGTGAGTGACGAAAATGGCGGATGGCAAGGTATATGGCCAAAAGTTCGCGACCAAATGTGCTGTAACGTGTCTCTGCTGGTTGAAGTCGCTTTGAGAAGAAAGCAAGTGGTTGCCATGCATTGTCTATTCGTTGTTGAAGAACAGCTCCCACTGCGACATCCGAAGCGTCCGTCATGACGCACAGAGGCGCGTCTGGCTTTGGATGTGCAAGGAGAGTGGCGTTAGCGAGGGCAACTTTGATAGCGTGAAATGAAACGGTGGCAGAGTCATTCCAAGGGAGTGGTGCCGACTTCTTTCCGGTATTAGAAAGTAGATCGGTGAGTGGTTGGAGGACCTGGGAACACTGGGGAATGAAACGGCGGTAGAAGTTGACGAGACCGAGAAATTCCCTGAGTTTGGTGAGAGTTGTTGGTTGGGGAAAATCACGGATAGCACTGACCTTTCCAGCAAGTGGTTGCACTCCGTGACGGTCAACGTGATGTCCAAGGAATTCCAATGACTCTGTGCCAAACAGACATTTCGCGGGGTTGATGATCACGCCGTATTGTTGGAGGCGGTCAAACAGAAGGCGAAGATGCGTTTCATGTTGATCGGCATCAGTACTGGCAACTAAGAGGTCATCGATGTAGGCATAACAAAAGTCCAAACCTCTTGTTACTTCATCAATGAAGCGTTGGAACGTTTGGGCGGCGTTGCGCAAACCAAATGGCATACGGGTAAACTCGAAGAGCCCAAACGGAGTCGTGATAGCGGTTTTAGCAATATCGTCTGGTGCCATGGGAATCTGATGGTATGCGCGGATGAGGTCGATCTTGGAAAATATCACAGTGCCATGTAGTGATGATGTAAAGTCTTGGATATGTGGCACTGGATAACGATCAGGCACTGTGGATTTGTTGAGAGCCCGATAGTCACCGCATGGACGCCAATCCCCAGGTTGCTTTTTGGGGACCATATGAAGAGGTGAGGACCAGTTACTGGCCGAAGGGCGTACGATACCTAAGTCCATCATGTGTTGGAACTCGTCTTTGGCGACTTTCAAACGGTCAGGTGCAAGACGGCGTGGGCGTGCGGCTGTAGGGGGGCCAGTCGTGATGATATGGTGCTCAACGTTGTGTTTGATTGGAGTGTCACTATAGGTGGGACGCGTTATGCTGGGGAAATCCTTCAAAATGTCCGCAAATCGAGATGGGGTGGGCGGTTTGAAGATGGGGCTGAGCGATGGCGATGTTGATGCTTTTCCATCGATGCTTAAGCTGGTCGTAGCATCAACTAGCCTGCAGTTGCGAATGTCAACAAGAAAGTTGAAATAACGAAGGAAATCTGCGCCTATGATTGCATGTTGAACGTCGGCGACGATGAACACCCATCGGCATGGCCGCCGAATCCCAATGTCAAGTGTCAATGACCTTTCACCATAAGTAGCGATTTGCGTTGCGTTAGCTGCTTGAAGGTCATGTCCATGACAGCGGTGGGCGCGGTCGTGAGATGAAGGAGGGATGACACTCACCTCTGCTCCTGTGTCCACAAGGAATTGTTGCTTCGTTACTCGATCTGTGACATAAAATAGGCGATGAGATGGGGAACGGCCGGCAGAGCATGTCGCCCCTACTTGCCGGCTTGGTCGTTTTCCTGGTGACCGGCCTTATAAGAACATGGCTGCGTACATTTGTGGGCCATAGCTCCAAATTTCTGGTGGTACCAACACTCTGCATCGTGCGTGGCCGTGGCTGCTGATCTACGGTCATCAGTGCGTTGGCGACGCGGTTGACTGCGGCTGCGACTGCGTTCACGTGGACGGCTGGTGAGGTTGGATATCATTGATGCCAAATTCGCTACTTCGGCCCGCAGTTGTTGAATTTCGGTTGGTGGCGGAGATTCAATGGTAGTGATGTGTGCAGAGACGGGTGCCTGGGTAGTGGAGACTTCCATGATTTTATCTGCTAACTTTGCTAATTGGTCGATGTCGACCTCTTCTGAGGTGGAAGCAAGAATTAGCCGAGCATTGGTTGGAAGCCGCTGGAGAAAAAGTTGTTTCATTATTGATGGCTCCAATGTTCGCTCCCCCAAGAGCTGTTGCATCTTGCGGAGCAGTTGGGAGGGTTTTCGATCCCCCAACTCCTCTGTTGTCAAGAGTTGATGCAAGCGTTTTTGTTCAGATTGAGATGTGCGCTTGATAAGCTCCTTTTTTAGCGTTGTGTATGGAGCCTCTGAGGGTGGAGTTATTAAAATATCCCTCACCTCCTGCGCTATAGTTGGCTGCAGGGACGCCACCACATAAGCATATCTGGTGTGTTCGGAGGTTATGCCTCGAGTGGTGAATTGTGCCTCCACTTGGGTGAACCATATTGTTGGGTCAGATGGCCAGTATGGTGGGAGTTTGAGGCTGATGGTAGCGGTTACGGGTGGCTGTGCTGTTGCGCCGGTACTAGTTGTAGCAGGAGTAGTAGGCATCGCTGCAGTTGATTCCAAAATTCCACTGTTTTGTTGTATAGATCACGTCAGGGTCACCAGTTTAGGTTTTTTGGTTGATGGAATAATGGAATACACACGATGTTGGTCCTACAGCAAATTTATTCTAACAATCGAAAAACCTAAACTACGGTATTTACACAAGAGAGGATTTGGAGACATGTGTCTCGTTTGATGGTTGAAAGAAGAGTGAGCGAAGAAAGTAATAAAGGAGAGTGAGTGAAGAATCTAATAAGTAATGTGGGGCTGACTATCCAATTTAAAAGCAATAAAAACTAGAGACTGAAGGAATGAACTAATGGACTTTGTGGCTAGGTGATAAAATGTGGTAAGAGGGACAAAGTAATAAAAGTGGGGCTTGGCTCAGTAATAGTAATCAATCAATTAGGGAGATTGATACCATAGGGTCATAACTTTTACCAACCACTGGACTGTTGCTGGGGGCAATGTACGAGGGGTTAAAAGTTCACAAATTAAGCTATAATAATATGGAAGAAAACGCTACAAAACCACGAATTGAGAAATGTGTTTTAAGTCTGGTTCTGGGTTTAGCATTACATTGTTGTATCATTATGGAGGAAGGAAAACAGACAGCCGCTGTACATGAACGTACATTATTCGCGAACATAACGTAACGTGAACAAAAACTGGCAAAGCGAACGGCGCGGCGTAAGTCATTGCAAATATTTTTCGCAAATAAGTTTTGCTTTTATTTTTGGGACTCAAGTCTTAATTATTAGCCTTCCTCGAGTCGAGTCGAGTCATTCTGATGAGGGACTCGAGTCGAGTCGAGTCATTTGCTCGCAGTGACTCGAGTCGAGTCGAGTAATTTATCCGTCGGGACTCGAGTCGAGTCGAGTCGCCAAAAAATGTGACTCGAGTCGAGTCACTGACTCGAGTCAAGCCAAAACCATATTTTTATAGTATACTTTATAGCCAAAACTATATTTCTACAACCTTTAATTAATTTAATCTTTTTACACAGAAAATAGCATTGTTGCAGCTCCCTTATTTGCTAAAAATAATGGCCAATGCGTGACTTTTTGTCTGTTAATCTGAAAGCAAAGCTCACCCCGTGTAAGGCCATGTCCGAATTACCTGGCTATATATGGCTCGAGTTACACATATGCGCCCACAGACGTGTGTTATTTCCAGCTGTAGCCAAGTAATTCTGACACGATTAAATATTTCTGTGTTGTTACTTTCTATTCTTATTCAGGCCATGGTCCATTTTCCCACATGTTCGATCAGCTCTTTATTCCGGTAACACTACCAGATTCTGAATGGAGGGTAAGCAAGTATGACCAATTACTGCCCCATCATACAAAACAAAACAAATACTCCAGCCTGCAGTCAAGTGTCCGATTTCAATAAGCAGAAAATATTGTTGATGTCCTCTATACGTGTTGCGGCCCCTAATGTGGCTCAAATTTCACAGTATAAAGTGAGATTTCATCAAGCTCACAACAATCACAGCCAGTGAATCCTGCCATGTGAAGGCAAGGAGCATTCAACTGTTAATCCGTCACTTAATTTATTTTGACTGCTGGGCTAGCCTTGTTGATGAAAGTGCCGGCCAGAGAGGGAAGGTTTTAATGAATCGAATGATTTTTTTTAACCTGGGAGGGTTCTGATGAAAGGAATGCTCTTCATATACTATGATCAAAGATAAAAATCTGTTTTAGTACGTGAACTTTCAGAGGCAAACGACACATGGACAAGAAACAAACATGCAGGGGACATGCACACAGGCAGGGTTAATTGGAAGGAGAAACACAAAAAAGGGAATTGGGGAGGGAAGGAAGGTGCACAGCGGATAAAAGGAGATTAGGGAACAAGGGAGTGTGGTGGGAGCGGGGAACAAAAGGGAGGGGGGCCTGCAGGGGGAGCAAAGGAGAGTGGTGATGAATGTAACAGGGTTGAGATAAAAATAGGGAGGGCAACGACAGTGTTGTCAGTGTCTTCGTCCAAGTTCTGCGCCAATTTGTTGAAGACTAACTTCACATTGTTGGGTTTGCAACTTGTGGATGGAGTGCGTAGCCTACTATTTTAACATTGAAGACTGAATTCATAGTTAGAATCTGCTTAAACTCTGAAGGGTTGCGAGCCTTTACAATGAAGGGTTGCGAGCCTCTACAAGAGGGAGGGGGGGACACAAAGGTTGAGTGAAAAGCACATAGGGAAAGATGGATCTGAAACAAATTACACTGGGAGTGATAGAAAAATTAATCGTTGCCTTGTTTGATGTTGAGACCATGTGGTTCAACAGTACAAAGACGCTAATTCATCAGCACTTTCTCCCTGCTGAGACGAACTGATGAGTCCTTGCGACGGCCAAGTGACTCTCCCCTGTAAAGTCATATTGGAAATTGATTGGTTAGGGAGGTTGTTAGGGAGGTTCAAGTGGTAGCCAATTAACAGGGGTGTCCAGCCTCTTTGTGTTGACAGTCCAACTGTACTCCACAGACCTTGCAAGAGATTAGATATGACATTAGATATGTTGCAGGTGATGTTGCCGATGGTGCTGTGACTGTGAGGGTTCCAGACAGCCCATGTTGGCTTCTAGACGTCCCCGCAATCTACGAGATCTGATAGTTCAAGCCGAAGTCCCCATCCTTAAATGCCCCCCTCCCACCCAGCATGGCACTTTTAAAGTGCAGTAGCAGATGTGTTGTTTGCCAGGTCCACATCCAGAAGTCTGATTTCTTTACTGGCCATTCTTCTGGAACCACTCACGGCACCATTGGCAACATCTCCTGCAACACATCTAATGTTGTATATCTATAATCTCTTGAAGGGATGATGGAGTACAGTATATGTTGGGGAGGCTAACACGCTTAAGAAGCGTTTCTGTGGTAATTGAGTAACTGTCGACACCAAGCGACGGGCCTGTTGGCTACAACTTCAACCTCTCTAACCATTCAATTCCCAATATGACATTACAGGGTATAGAGTCACCTGACCGCCGCAAGAACTCAGTTCATCTTAGCAGGGAGAAAGTGTGGATGAAGTGTCTTTGGACTGTTGAACCACATGGTCTCAACATCCAACAAGGCAACGATGTATTTTTCTATCTCTCTTGGTGTAATTTGTTTCAGAGCCATCTTTCCCTCTGTGGTTGTTACTCATCCTTTCTGCCCCTCCCCTTCCTTTTACACTGACTACACTGTTCTTGCCTCCCCTTTCTTCATCTTTACCCTGTTACATGTATCACCACTCTCCTTTGTTCCCCCTGCATCTTTCCCTTCCTTCCCTGACCCCCTTTTGTTCCCCACTGCCACCACACTCCTTTCTTCCCTAACAGTTGTCCATGTGTCATTTGCCTCTAAAGAAGTCTTTGCAAAAACGAAATATATCAGGCCTCTCAAACTTTTTGATTGGTATATTTCAGGTCAATCCAGTCATTGAGCAGCTTGCAGCTGTTTAATTATTTTTTGTATTTTTCATGTTTTAGTACATGTTTGCTATCTTGGTAATTAAGATTTCTGGTTCACCCCATCTTTTACAGCACGAGGATGCCTCGATAGCCATGTTAGATCATCTGATAAAGGCCAACCACCTCGATAGCGTCTTTGCCGACTATGGTTTACACGACCAAGACATCAGCTTCATCATGGACCTAATTGATAAGCCGAAGAAGCAAAATAATGTAAGAACGCAGCGCAGTACTACTATACATAAGAGCAGATTTTGGGGTTTTTTTTGGGAGGGGGGCAGTGGGGGTCCGTATTCTCTGGAGTTGGGGGGGACACTTTGTGAACACACATGCATATTAAAAGAGGAAGTATATAGTAAACTAGAATGCTATAAGGGTTATGGGTCAAATTAAAAAATTAGCTTTTAGCAAAATTAAAATTATGATTTTCTGCGTGGCAAATATTTTTCAGTTTGGAGAGAGGGGAAAATTTCAGTCAGGGAGGGGGGGGGCAGCTTTGGGTTCGCCTCAATGTGAGACCGCTGAGTAGGCCTACACCGCGTTATGAGGAATATTTTTGTTGTTGGGCAAATACAGCATTTTTGGTCCTCGCGTACCTCGTAGCGACAAGTGTTCTTCCCCACAACAATGGAACTAGATGGTGTGTACTTTCAAAGGATACCGAAAGGTATCCTTTATGCTGGAATCACGCATATAAATTTGCTGGAATCACTCTTCCCTGCAATATCATTTTTGTCTAGGCTGTTACCTTTTCTCTGTGTTATATGACCAAAGTACTGTAACAAACAAGCATCCATACTGTTGATTAACCTGTGTTGCGTCTGGGTGTGTCTTCCAAATTCACTCATCATTGCTCAGAAGAAATCTTATCTTCAAGTCATCCTGTATATGTTTTTTTTTCAGAAACGTTTGCCTTACAAAGGCTGTGCCAAGGACAAGAGCTTCCTGTATGAGATTGTCGCCAACAAACGAAACGGTATCGACGTGGACAAGTGGGATTACATCATGCGAGATTGCCACAACCTGGGCATCTCTAGTAGCTTTGACTGCAACCGATTAATGACGTTCTTCCGAGTCAACGAGGTGGAAGGCGAGAAGCAGATATGCGCCAGGGATAAGGTTGGTTTGGAATTTCATCTTCTTAGAGTGAAAGAGCTGCATGAAGTTGAGTCCTTAATGTCTGATCCACCAAGTACACAGAATTGTATGAATTGAGTCTAAATGAGTAGCATTGACTGGATACTCTGAATAAGTTGGAATATGAGTTAGTCCTGTTCACACGTATCATAAGATTTTTGAAATAGCTACAGTTGGTACACATGCGTACTACTCATTGTTGTTGAGTTTTTTTTGCATAGCCAATGGGAAATCTCCGGCAGGGTTTATGTTGTTCACGTAAGATCTCACCCCAGTTTGTATTGCCCAACAGGTGGAATATTAATTGTCACACTAGGTGATTCAGTGGTACTTGGCTCAAAGAAATATGATTTTCTTTGTTTTTTGGCTGTTTCCTATTCTGATTGAGGGAAATTTGAGCGACATGTTCCACGCAAGATACAACCTCCACCGCCGCGCTTACCAGCACAAGGTGACCAAGATCATCGAAATCATGTGAGTTTGTATCCAACATCTTGGAACAGTGCCCTTGAAAATCTGCTGGTGTTCGAACACCCCTCCCCCCTCCCTAACACACACACACACACACTTCCGAACTTCGAAGGTACTTGCTGTTCCCCCCGTTCCCCCAATGTTGACAGATAATAGCCGCTGCTGGTCCAAAAAATCCTTTTGTATGATCCACCACATTTGTGTCAGTCCAAAAAATCCTTTTGTATGATTATTTTTATTTCTCTTCCAAGATATTTAAAATATATTTAATTTTCAAAATGTTCTTCTTTATCTTAAGTGGACTGGAATTAATTTCTGAGTTTTGTTTTCTTCAAATTTTACTTTTTGATCTACGGTAGGCTTGTTGAAGCATTAGTAAAGGCAAACGATCACTTCTTGGTCAAAGGAGAGGAAGGGTGAGTAGAAACTTAGCAACTGAATTTTTAAACAGTTTTAAACGGCTTTACGAGTAAATGCGGATGGGCCCAGCAGGCTACGACTCCTTGGGAAACGATGGCCTTTACAACTCTCACGTACATGTATCCTTCAAATCATCTAGGGCTGTCAATATACACTAAATACTCCATATATATACTCTAAATAAGTTTTAATGTTCGAAAACAACAAAACTACGGGCATATACACTCACGGTTGTGGTGTTATTTAATCACATACTTGCAGCGCCTTATTGTCAAGTGGCACTTTTTGTCGATGATATTATTTTTTTTTGACAGTGGTTCCCATTGTTCACATCATTTTTGCAGGTTAAAGCTGTTTACAGTTAAAAAAAAAACCCAGTTGTTTACAGTTCTTCACATGCGAGTTCTTCGTGCAACTTTTTACCTGTGCCGTATACGCAGTTGCAGTGGGCAGTTTTAATATCGGTCAAACACAGTTTTGTGTAATCGCATACTAGGTTATTCGAAAATGGACAGCTCTACAATCTTTAAGGAAGATAATATGTCTCGTCATTACTTGGAAATTGATTCCACTTGAAAGTACATAGTGTTAACAGCTTTGCCTGTTATTTTTTGGATTACCTTTTTTTTGGAATACGTACGCCTTGTACAGCAAAATGTTGAAGATGTCAGAAGCAATTCATGACATGGTCGCCTACACCAACATGACAGACGACATCATCCTTCAGATCATGCGTTCCGATAACCCAGCCCTGGCTGAGTCCCGTCGCATTCTGGAGATGGTCCAACGACGTCAGCTGTACAAGTTTATTGGCCAGACACAGCGCCTGCCTCCAGTTGAGTATTGAGTAAAATGGTAGCTCAAAATTGTTGGAGTTTTTCAACTTTTTTTCATAACTTTTGACGGAAAAAGTATATATAAATGGGATAACAATTTGATGGAGAGTTAAATGTGATATTTAGAACCGGTTTAGGGACTGCATGGCTGCCATTTTCGGTGGCTATGCATGAGGCCCCTTTTAAATCTGGTTTTAAACCAGACGTTTATAATTGCTCCACAGCACTTTTATCCCGTATGATTGTACCTTATTACTCGTGTATACATGTGGGGTAGAAAACACAAATAGAACAATAGACCCCAATAAGGAAGTCTTTAGTTTGAGATTTCAATAGGAACAGTGAACAAAAGAAGGGAACCAAGGGTCGACCCCATAAGTATGTGATAATAAATAAACTGCGCTTGTATAGCGCTTTCCATCGTATCAACAATCTCAAAGCCCTTTACAATTAATACCCTGTTCATCAGGCCATGGGACTACACGGCAGCCGATATCAGTGTTCAATCAGTCAATCGTAGCTAAGTGTCTTGCCCAAGGGCACAAACACCACGTTCCTGGCAGGGTTCGAACCGCCACGCACTTTCGTACATAAGTCAAACACCGTAACCACTAGACCGTGGCATTCTACGTGTCTAAGACTGGGCAGGCCGTCACCACATTATATGGGGACATTTTTTTTATTGTAAGGCAAATTATAGGACCGAGTTGTGGGGACTTTCTGCTGTCCCCACTGCATATTTGGTCCCAACAAATACCTCGTAGAAACGAATGTCCCCACAACTACAGAACAAGAATGTAACACACTTGGTCTTATAATTATTTGGGGTTTGTTTCTAGTGGCTTATGATATGGGGGTGATTTTTACTTAGTCGTAGATGCTGGGCAATTCACAATGCCACCATGCTTTAAAATTCTATTTGAAAGTTGCTAATACATGTACAGTAAAAAAGAAATCATTAAAATAATAAGGTTTAAAAGTTCAAACACAGGCCAACTGTAATTCTTCAAATGTAAGTACATGCTGACACTTGACATCAGGGAGTATAAAGGCGGCACAAAATTAAAAGGTCACATTTTTTTTCTTTTGTACATTTTGTTTTCCATTTCTGTCCACAGAAGAGTGTTTATAAGGAAGAGGAAGAGATCATGAAAGAAGAGATCATTCAGGCTCAGGAACTCGAGAACATGGACGGTGAACAACTCACCGCCGACCAGCTGATCATACATGTAGGTCGGCTTTGCGCTTGACCGGTAGAGAGCGCAGTTAATTTCTTCTTGGTCTCGATCTGGTTCTGTTTGCTATGTGAACCATTGAGTAACCTCTTGTAATGTGAAAAGGCCTGTTTGACCATGCATATGTGACTATTAAAATACTAAACATTTGTTGACTACTATGATGCGCGACATTATATAATTGTTGCCTGCGAAATTCCGTATTTTCTTCGTGCTGATGATGTCCTGTGTCAAAAACGTAAATTTCTGATCTCGTCCTTTGAATGAGAGAGAAACCTCTTCTTTTGTATGATACTCTACAGATTGTGGATCTGAATTTTGGCAAGGGTGGGAAAAATCCGATCAAAGAAGTGAGATTCTACTCCAAGGCCAACCCCCAGGAAGCAGTCTTGTTGCGAAAGGATCAGGTAGGAAGCCAAGAGAGAGAGAGAGAGAGAGCTAGAGGCTGCGTCCGAATTATTTTGCTGTATACTGCTTGCAATTACACATGCACCTATGGGAACGGCTAATTCACTCGGCGTGGACACGGGTGTTACAGCTGCATGGCCACAGCTATGTTCGGGTGTGCATGCCATAGATATCAACTCTGGCAATGGACTGTGCGCATGAACTGGAGAATGGCGCTGTTTGCAAATTCCACTCAGTCATTTCTAAAGCTTACTAGTGGCAGTCTTTTGAACGTCCAGGATGGTATGTAGACCCTGTGAATGCACAAAAGCTGAGTGGCATTTATTTGGGACCCGTCCAGACAGCTCTTTGGGAGGGACACATCATGCAGATCGATTCGTGCATGTAGGGCCTAGGTGATGGGATTGTGTCTTTGGTGACATAAGCATTGCTTTTGGCACATGTACACTTAGAGTGCATGTATGTCATATAAGAAAGATATCTGGCTATAGGGCAATCGCAGATTTGTCCTTTGAAAAACAATAGGTAGAATAACAAGAAATGGCAGCCATTTTGAGCATTTTGGAAATTGCTTGTTAGTCGATCTGCCTATATTTTTACAAAGGACAAATATGCGATGGCCCTATAGCCAAATATATTTCTTAAGACATCCTCTGACTCCCTTCTTGCTCTGTCTTTGTAAGCTAGTGAGGGTGCGGGGGTAACTTTTGCCTGGAGTCCTCAGGGCTGTTTGAACAGTAAAATAGACTGTAAATAGCCACCAAACAGATGCAGGAATTTTGATAGCAGATGCTAACTGAAATATGAGCAAGGTTTTAATTCACAATTTTAACAAATAGTTCAACCGTGCAAAATAACTTGTTCTCTTCCTCTATTGCCCTTGAAACATTACAGGTTTCACAGCTGCTACCAGAGCATTTTGCTGAGCAGCAAATCCGTGTCTACTGCAAGCGACGTGAGGACAAATACATCAACAAGGCTCATGAGTGCTTCCAGAGCTGGTGTGACAAGAAAAACTACACGGTGCAGAAGGTAAAGGATAGGAATTAAAGCAGACAAGGTGTGTGCTTTTATGTTTGTGTGTTCATGAGTTAATCACGGGTTAGGGGGTGAAGCTGCCGACCCCACAAAGTGAGCAAGGCGGAGCCACGTCATACATACCATGAATGGGCTGCAGATTGTAAGACTACAGTCAGAATTAGCCATTATTAAGTTGTAGGCCTGTTCACAGGTGAAAAATGGGCACCCTCATTGCTTCATTGACTAGTAGAATGTTTAAGCTTTCTCCTTAATACATGTGCACCTCAAATTAAGAACAAAAGATGTTTATCAGCCACCCTTTGGCATAAATATCCTAGCGAGGTGTGGGGGCATGTTCCCCCCCCCACAAATTCAAATACCATCCCTTGGTATTTTCCACCCCCCTTCCCAAATTTGATATTGCCCCCAGAAAACATAAAAATCATAATGCATTATTAATATACCGAATATACTGCATGTATCAGTGGGATGTATATGTATGGCTATTGAATTGAATAAAACAAATGTAAGAAAAAGGGGAAATAACACTTTTCTAAAATTACTACGGCCAGCAGCCCCCAAACATTTGGTTCGGGATCTGCCCTTTGTGCCACCTTTTTAGATGCTGATGCCTCAACCTATACCCCCCCCCCCCCCAACTGAAAAAAATCCCAGCTATGCCATTGGTGCCAACTCACCGATGGCATAGTATTTTTTTTTTCTTTTTCCAACTAAAAAATACCTTGAGTTCCCTTGGTTCTTTTCAGAACCTCACAAGCTCACACAAAAAGAGATTTGCTACATGGTTCAATTTTGTCTTATTACTAAAAAAAAAAAAACCCATATTGACCAATTGCTCAAAAACAGGATGAATATGCCAGTCTTTGGTTTTTTTTATCTCTTATTACAGGCTGAGAATGATGTGCTTGACTCTTCAGAGGCGACCATGGAAGTGTCGACCACAGATGTGTCCTGGTTGCAGGACACCCAGACCCCGGAGAAGCAGAGAATCCCAGATACGGAATTCCAGTGAAAAACTAGCATAATTATTATGAGGTCCAAGAAGGATTGAACTACTTTTCTATCGCAAGCCACACAAAGAAGAAGGAGGCTGCCATTAACCACTGTTGTTGCCCAGGTCATTGGATCACAAGTCTTCACAAATCAGTCACAAGTCGGACGCTTCTACCGTATCTTACAAGCTTTTCAAATGAATCATGACAAGGGCATTCCTTTGTTAATTATTAGTCATCCCCTATAACTTGCGACTAGACTTGCGATTTACTTGTGACCAGATTTATGATGCACTTGTGATCCATTGCAAGTACTTGGACTTCAATACTGTTATATCCCACCTATGTGCAGTGGAGTAGCTAGGCTTAATTATAACATTCTGATGAGGGGGCACACCTTTTTCTAGAGGGGGAATCTGTGAAGGCAAGAGACATATACATTTTATATGTTTCTGTTAGGCATCCATCTTCTTTCTCAAGTTGTGAAACTCCAACTTTCACCTTCTGTTTCTGTCTAAAGTAGCTATAGAAAGCTTTTGGGCTTCTCTTAAATTCCTTCATAAGTCTTTCTTCGTAATATTGGCTTGCGCTTGTCTGACAATTTCCCTGTCTTGTTCCGTTTTTTGTAGCCTACTCTACATAGTCTTTGTACTGAAGTTTTCTGAAGTTTTCAGATTGTACTTTGTTATTATTGATTTCTTTACTTTGGAACATATCCATGGTGGCTTGAATCTCTTCTTTGCTTTCTTCCGTGGTAAATAATATCGCATGGCGGCACTCATTTGAATTTGATTATCATTTTGCGTGCAGCAGCGATTGTATTGCGTGTAGTTCATTAGTTTGTTTTCATTCCTAAAATGAAACATTGTAGCAATTTCACTCAGTGCGTTGACCTCGGCGTCAAATTTTCGCAAGTTTTTCGCGCCGTTGTGATTGGCGGGGATAATTATTGTCGATCCAATTATTAATGGCATGACTGCTGTGCCAGACTGCAGACGGTCATTTTCTTGGTTAATTGTGATTGTATGCAGACATAGGAATCAGAGCTATGTATAAGTATTGAGCATTGTTCTAGATTATCGTTTGTAGATGTTATTGATGATAGATAGAGTCGTTCTAGTCTAAAATATGTGTTGAAAAAAACACCAGGAAAGTCGTGAACATGAAGCACGCTGTACATGTGTGTGCTATTGTAGCTGCAAGTTTGTGTGTGCTATTGTAGCTGCAAGTTGAATCACCACCACCGCATATGTTGCTTAAATGGAGTGCAGGGTTTATACCACTGATCTCTATTAAAGACTGGATAGCTAATAAAGAGCCGCACAATGTACGAATTTGACGCCATATTGGTGAGACCGGCTGGTGATCTACAAGGACAAGTTGCCGTCTTTATAGACAGCTTGATTTCTTTTGTAACGTCGCGGCTCACTTGACTTATATTTTGGCCACCACCACTGACCAACTGACCAAGGTTAATTTACTACAATTTTTCTAACGTAGTGGTTACTTTTATAATGCCGCCAATCACTTTTTCGGCGTTTTTGAAATAATAATCACTACGGAAATGTGTTCCTTTTAGAACATCATAATTTGTGTACGTGACCAAAATGCGCGTAAACTGTTGATACAACGCGCGCGTATTTACGCGTAGAACGTTCGTATTATACGCGGCCATCTTCGTGAGACCGGGGGCGAATTGGTCAATATGCAAAGTCTACTGTGTGAATGTTGTATGCATATCCGCTATCCAGTCTTTATATAGAGATCAGTGGTTTATACCAAATTTAGATCCTATAGCGCCGTAGGATCTTTATACGTAGCCATTTACAATGCGTAGGTCATGTAAGTATTTGAATTATATTTCCTGGTACAGATGGTTACTAATGTAAAGATACTGTTCAAAAATACTTTAAAAATTGACTTTGTGATTTTGATGCTTTATGAACATGATGAATATAACTTAAAATTCAGATATTTGTATACATGTAAGTTATAATGTTGACACAATCAAACATGTTTGATAACTTGTGCATTATATATTAGTTAAGACCAAATTTCAGCATTGTTCGATTTTGAAGGTGTTTTGTGTTGCAGCCAAACATACACACGTGTAAAGTAAATGTTACTGCCCTATCATTACTGTTTTAATATTGAACCTACTCGCATTTTGTGTGAAATTTACTCCTATGAGAATTATGAACATTTTAGTGTGTTCCTTAACTTCTGTTTTGTTTAGGTCATATGTTGGCTTGAATTTGAAAGCGGGGATGTATTCGTTTTAAGTGGGTAAGAGTGTAGCAAAAATCACATTGTTCTTTTGAATAATCTTTCTGTACTAGCTGTAGTGTGGCGTCGGTGCCGGCCGGCCAGCCGGCAGAGGGCGCCAGCACGACACCACATTCGCTCGTACCCCCCGCCCTGCAAACAGGGTGGGGGTACGAGCGAAGACACCGCAGTGGAGCCGTGCAGTGTAGCCCCTGCTGGTCGGCCGGGGTAGACCCGTTGCCGGGCTGCGCTGACTCAGTAGGGTTTCTTGGGAAAAGTACGTTGTTGTGTTGTGAGCTAAAAGAAGAGAGCCGAGCTGTGTACAAAGTGTGAGGAAATAAAGAGCTTCGAGAACCTGAGAATCGCTTCTGTGATTTTTCTGTCTCGTCATGTTCGTGTGTAAGGACCCAGGATTCAGTCAACGTTACATTGGTGAATGGCAGCGGCGCAGCAGCACGTTTGACGTTTAACTTCAAGTATTTTTCACCATGATGAATACACCAGGTTGAGTTAATAATAATATTATTCTATTCGGCAAATTGACATATATACACACAATTACAATAACTACAATGTACATAGAATTTGATATTAAAACAAAAGGATATTCAAACAATAAGAAACCAAGTACACACGAAAGACAGAACGTGGACAGTGCAGGGCTGCTAACAAAAGTGAAACAAAACACTGTCGCCAATAGGGCGTGTCTCTCCAACCCTGCACAATGACAGACACATTAACACAGACCAAGCACCAAACAAAACTACCGAAATTGCACAAGGGAGGAAATGTCCAAGGGAGCTAGTATAATATATGGGATTCAAAAAACGGGCAGGGCAGATGAGGCTAAGTAAAGGAAGTGGATAGGAGAACCAGGCAGAACAACAGAGGGAGGGAGGGAGACAGGGAAGGAGAAGGGGGGGGGGGACAAACAAACAAACACCCCAACAAACAAACAAAACCAGGAAGGGGAGGGTTAAACAGGGCCAATGGGAAGGGGAAGGGTAAGACCAGCAATGGGAAGAGAAGCAACAAAACCAACTTGTGGAGGAGAGGGCTGGGGAGAGGATGGTGGACTCAGAGGAAAATAATTATCCAGCAGAGCAAAACAAACAAGATCAACCAAGAATAGCATAAACATTGTGCTAAAAAAACAACAGCAGAGTCTAAAATGGATGTATCAAGTAATGTCTCAGTAAAAAATCAAGGAAGAGAATGTAGATTACAGAGTTAGTCTGGCGTCCGACTTGCCACACATGCATACAGCGGGGACGCAGGCTGGATCAGGGTCTCACAGAGTGTATAGACCAGCCTAGTACAGTGCAGCAGATAACTGAATATTTCAGGAAAATCGTTTAAATGTCGATACAAGTACCAAAATCGGCACAAGAAATACTCCTTAGGGATTACTCTTTTGGAAAAGCGGATGATAGGTCCATGGTTTGGTGAGCCCGCCATAGTGATGGTCCATCGTTTAGTTATCCTAAGAAGTTTTGGTCAAATAAATAGCTGCTTTTGGCTGCATCAAAGAACCAAAATTATGTGTTTCCCCCCTAAACCTCATATGTAAAACTCCTGAAATTTAATACAAACCACGGGAATGACAGCAGGGCGCTACTTTGCTTCAAATTGGCCACTATTAACATAGATTCGAATGCTATTTTTGCGAAATTGCAGTTAGTTTGGAAAGGGATTTAGGCCACTTGTAGTCCGAGCCTCAGCCATTCGCTGCTGAAGGTACAAAAAAGGTGGGGGCACCACTAGGGTGAAATTTTAGCATAGAGGAAATCTGGCCAGAGGACTAATGCGAGCGCGGAGCGCGAAGCCCTTAAGGCGAGGGGTCCGGGGCCCCCTTAAGGGCCCCGGAAAATTTTGGATTCTAGATGTTCTGTGGTGCAATCTGAGACACCACTTTCCCCTGATTTTTTTTAGCAAAAGTTTTTAAAATTATGAGGGGATATTTTGTTTCATTTGTTTCAAATACATGTAGGCCTATATAGGCCTACTCTTAAATTTATCATGTTTCTTCTGTATTCAAACCTTAAAGTTGAGAACATGCACATATTTGTAATTCCGCGCTCGGTCACATAACCGACATGAAAAAATATTTCATTTCAGCGGATGCATATTTAGGGGTTTGACAAACTGGCATGAAACGTATCCGAAAAAAATATTTTAACAGAATTAGAGTAGATATTTCTTAGAGATTGTATAGTTACAGTGGTTTAACTGGTTAATAGCAATCGTGTCTGTCTAAAGCAGGCATTAATGAGTACGATGTGTACGTTAAAAATACTGTGCGCATTTATGATCCAGTTTGAACGCGGCCGCGTATATACACGGCACATGCGCGTAAGTTTTCGCACGGGGAGCTAGAACTGAAAATCTTTTGGATCTGCAGTTTATTTTTCGGTAAACACGTTGCCCGCTGCGGACATATTATTTACCTTTTTTAAGGCCAAAAAAAAAGTCTCCGGTTTCTGGTATGGAGCTTGTCCAAAAAGTGGTGCGGCGACGCGGCTTTTTTTTTTTTTACCCGACTTTTTTGCTTCAAATGTCGGCTGATGACTGCAAATGGTGCCCGACTAAACTTAGTGCAAATATATGGGAGTCCAGAGAGGCCACATAAAGCTTATTCTCGATCATAACCCCATCTAAAAACACGTTGAAATTGCGCAGCAGCAGAATTCCAGTCAAACCAGTGAGTTTGGCGGTTTTGAGACATCATCTTTCATTGAAAAAAAACTTTTCATTTTGCCGACGCGCATGGCTACGGCGACGCGCACGCATACCAGAAACCGGAGACCTTTTTTTGGCTTAAACCAATCATTAATTCTGGACACAGGCAGTGTTGTATACTTGTACTCGGTACCCGTACTCGAGTACTAGTCTAGTACTCTTTTTTATCGTACTCGTACTTGTATTCATACTCGTACTCGAATGTCGAAGTACTCTTACTCGAAATGACGGTACTCGTACTCGGCCAGCAAAGTGATTGTACTCGACATGTTTAAAATTGATAATCGATCATTAAAGTACTCGTACTTGAATAGCAGTACTCGAAAAAACCCAATGGTAGGCCTATAGCTGGACAGACCATGACCTTGTTTTATCGATACTTTCGGTTTGAAATGGTTGATTGGCTTGCAGAGAAATCAGAGTTTCTTGGATTTCCTCTGCGCATGTTCGGACAAACACGTTTAACGGCTTGCCATGAGTGGGTCTGTATATCGGTCGGACTGGGCCCGTGCCAGTTATGCAGTGGCGTAGCCGGGGGGGGGGGGCGACGTCCCCCCCCCCCCATGAAACCTCGTCGCCCCCCCCCCAGTCGCCCCCCCCCCAACTGAGATTTTGAGTTTCTAAAATCTACATGACGCCCCCCCCCATGAAATGTTCCAGCCCCCCCCCCCCCCAGCGCCGCCCCCCCCCCCCCCCCCCCCCCCCCACTCAAAATTCCTGGCTACGCCACTGCAGTTATGCACAATGAACCATTTGCCTTATGGCCGCATTCGGAAATTAAAGTAAAGTAC